CTCCCCTTGTTCCCCGTGGTTCTAGAAGGTGGCAGGCTGCAGCAGTCGTCGGCTATTGTCGCCAGCGGCCACCGGGCATAAATCCCCCCCCAGTTAATCTCCGCCACTGACTGATCAAAAAACGATCGCCCCGATTTCGGCGTCGCGGGGTAAGGCTGCTGCTGCCCGCCGCCGTTGCCGAGTGACGTTCAGCAAACGAGTTTTTGTGGGGCAACGACAATTTTGTGTCGCCATGCTGTCTCTTGGTTGTGTGCCCGGGTGCAGGTCCTCCTGTAGGGTCTAAGTGGAAGGAATTCCCGTGCATCCCCGGCTCGCGCACCCTAGACAGCAACGGGTGACCCCATTTTACCCCCCAATCTTTCCGAATTTTCCACCCCCCGCGTCGTCTCGATGTCAACGCCTACCGTTTCACGTAAGCCACGCAATTGTGGGGAACCCCGGGTCATTCGCCGGCGACCGCCGACATTCGCCAGAAACCCACCGACACGACATTAGGGATGGATCGGGGATCGGAAACGTGGTTATATTATTAGCAAAATTTTAAAGAGTGTGGTGAGGGTGGTGAGGGTGGAGGAGACCCGATGGAGGCTACAGGGTCTAGCCAACGGGACTGCCGGCAATACCGGGCACCTGTTCGCCGGGTTCACGCTTGGTTTTGTAAGACTTTTTGTAAGACTTAAGACACTCCACATTTTTTTTTTTTTCGTTGACGGTTACGATTACGTCATTGGCGTCACCCCGACACGATCTGCCCCGTTTGATGGGGGAATCGTCGCGCCGTGCGGATATAGGGTCATCCCCTAAGACAATTCCACCGTTACTCCCGGTGCTTTTTCTCCACGGTTTGCTGTCGAATAATAACCGCGTTTTGTGATGCCGCTGCCGGCGGTTGTGCTCTAGACGACGACCTGTCCCCTTTTCCCGTGGTGTAGCTTGCTTTTTGCTTCGCGATCATCATTGCCGAGCACAAGAGAGAGGCCTGGAAAAATATCCGGGGTCAGGCCTAGCGTCGTAGCTAGCGTCGTAACCATTGCTGAAACCTGCGACGTGGTTACGGAGAACAATTAGAGGACAATTAGAAGACAATTAGGAGGCAAACCTGGAGGATAATGCCATTATCACTGTATACGGGTTTTGACAATGGCTAGTGTCTGTTATCAGTGAGGAAAAAGGGGGGGTTGATAGTGGGGTAGTGGGGTGATCCGCTTTGGCTCCACAATGCCATCGTACACTCCCAATGACGTCGGGGGAGCAGTGACATCCGTATCGCGTTCGGAGTTCATTACCCACTTCTAGCCCCACCAAAAATATGTCAACAATGGTTGGCCTCCCATTGATACTATCAGTGACTACATCACAACAACAACGTCGATAACTCAGTTAGGGAATTAATTTTGCGGTTGTTGGAGTGATCAAAGCTAACAATCAAGAGTGACTCTCTATTTGTACGTTAAGCGATTAAATATAAGGTTCTTCTTAAACTTTCCTTTTAATCTCATAGTCAAGCACTAGCAGATGAACGTAATTTTCATGGTTCTTGAATTATTGTGGTTACAGTGCCATCACCCATATTCTCCAAACTATATCAACATTGACTGATATCGCGAAATTGTGTCACCGTTAAGTGTCTCACCGTTTAAAGAGACCCCCCAGCTAAGCACTCAACCTCTCTCCTACAATAACAAAATTTACACCAACGTGTCGCTATCATTCCCCTTAGTATTATCAATCGCTTTGGAGTCAATTTTTCACTGACCTTCCCCCCCAATCACCTTCCACCGTCTTCCACCTTACTCCTCGAACGACCCCCCCACCAGTCGCGTTTTTCTCTTCGCGCGCCCACTATCACCCCCCAACCTGAACCGGATGAGCCTGGCCAGTGTAACGCTGGTGCCTGCCACCGGGCTGAACCCTGACTTCGACGCCGCCAGCGACGCCCGCTCCACCATCGACGACATCCTGGAGTTCGCCGCCGCCGCGCCGGCGCCGCACGCGTGCTCGTACTGCGGCATCGACACCCCCCAGGCCGTTGTCGAGTGCTCCACCTGCCACAAGTGGTTCTGTAATACCAACCAGCCCCACCTGCGAGCCGGGTCCCACATCGTCACCCACTTGGTGATGCTGCGCCACCACCAGGTAGCGCTCCACCCGGAACTGGACCTCGGCGACACCGTCCTCGAGTGCTACGCCTGCGGCAACAAGAACGTGTTCACGCTCGGGTTCGTGTCGGCGAAGCAGGAGCTGGTGGTGGTGTTGTTGTGCCGGATCCCGTGCTCGCAACACCCGGACATGAACTGGGACACGCTGCTGTGGCTGGCGTTGATCGACAACCGCTACTTGCTTCCCTGGGTGGCGCTGACGGAGATCACCCCCGAGGACGAAGTGAAACGCATCGACGTCACCCCGCAACAGATCGCCAAGCTTGAAGCTCAGTGGCGTCTTAATCGCGACGCTACCATTACCGATTTGGAAAAGGCCGAAAAGGTCGAGGAGGAAGTGTTGCCGACGCTTTTACGTTACAACGACGGGTTCCAGTACCAAAGACTGTTTGCGCCATTGGTGAACTTGGAGCTGGAACACGACAAGAACTTGAAGGAATCGCAGGCTCTAGAACATATCTCGGTGCGGTGGTCAGTGGGGCTGAACAAGCGCCACATGGCGCTGTTTGCGTTGCTGACCTACGAGTCGAGTGCGATCAAAGTGGCGGTGGGCGACGAGATGGTGTTGCGCCACCCTGGTGACGGCGAACCGTGGACAGGCCAGGGGTACATTGTGCGCTTGCCCAACGCCTACCACGAAGAATTCCTTTTAGAACTTAACCCGTCCACTGCTCCTCCTCCCACTGACTATACCACTGGTTTCACCGCTGAGTACGTGTGGAAGGGGACCTCTTACGACCGTATGCAGTTGGCCATGGAGACGTTCGCCTTGGAAAAGCAATCGGTGTCCGGTTACATCTACCACAAGTTGTTGGGCCACGAAGTGGCGCCGATCGAGTTTGCCGTCCACCTCCCGAAAAGGCTTTCGATCCCCGAGTTTGCCGAGCTCAACGACTCTCAACTTAACGCGGTGAGAGCGGTGCTTCAACGCCCGCTTTCCCTCATCCAGGGACCTCCAGGTACGGGTAAAACCGTTACCCTGGCCACCATCATCTACCACTTGGTGAAGATGAACCGGGAAAAGGTATTGGTGTGCGCTCCCCTGAACGTCGCCGTCGACCACTTGGTGGATAAACTCAACCAGTTGGGGCTCAAAGTGGTGCGGCTCACCGCTAAGCTGCGTGAGGACGTCGAGCTGAACGTGCTGCACTTGTCTTTGCACAATTTGGTCGCCAAGGAAGAAGGCGCTAAGTACGCTAACTATCGCGAACGTGAAGGTGAGCTCGATGATGCTGAGGTGGCTAAAGTGGGCAGAGCCATCAGACAGGCGGAACTGCGGATCTTAAAGAAGTGCGACGTCGTTTGCTGCACCTGTGTTGGTGCTGGTGACCGCCGTCTCGCCAACTACAAGTTCCGTTCAGTGCTTATTGACGAACTGACACAAGCCCTGGAACCCGAGGTTTTGATCCCTATCGTCAAGGGGGCCAAACAAGTGGTGCTTGTGGGTGACCACCAGCAATTGGGTCCGGTTATTTTGAACAAAAAGGCCGGCGATCTGGGGCTCAGACAGTCGTTGTTTGAACGGCTTGTGGTGCTTGGCCACGTCCCTATCCGTCTCGAAGTGCAGTACCGGATGAACCCGTGCTTGCTGGAGTTTTCCTCAAACATGTTCTACGAAGGTTCGCTCCAAAATGGGGTTACTAAGGACCAGCGTTCGGTGGGCTCGATCAACTTCCCTTGGCCGATTAAGGACTCGCCCATGATGTTCTGGGCCAACTACGGTAGAGAAGAAATCTCCGGTAGTGGTAACTCGTTCCTTAACCGTGTCGAAGCGATGAACGTGGAAAAGATCATCCTGCGCCTCTTCAGAGACGGTGTCAGCCCCGAACAAATCGGTGTCATCACCCCTTACGAAGGGCAAAGAGCTTACATCATCCAGTACATGCAAATCAACTCGTCGTTGGCCGACAAGAAGGACCAGTACATGAACGTCGAGGTGACCCTGGTCGACGCTTTCCAAGGGCGGGAAAAGGACTACATCATCTTGCTGTGTGTGCGGGCTAACGACTCGCAAATCATCGGGTTCTTGAGTGACCCTAGACGTCTTAACGTCGCGTTGACCAGAGCTAAATACGGGCTCGTCATCTTGGGTAACCCCAGAGCTCTCTGTCGTAACACGTTGTGGAACCACTTGCTTGTCCACTTCAGAGAAAAGGGGTGTCTTGTCGACGGTCCCTTGGACAACCTCCAGTTGCTGACTGTGCAACTTAATATGACCAACACTAGAGGTCAACCCCGTGCGGGTCACAAGTTTGCAGCGCCGCTGACATTCCAAGGGTCCAGCACCGAGTTTGATTCGGCGCTGATGTTGCTGTTTGTGCCTCTGCAACAGCTGCACCGCGGTCCTCCCAGCGACCACCACTGGCCCTCGCTTTCGCGTGCCGACCCTAGAGGTGGCGACCCTAGAGGCGGCGCCCAGTTGACCCTGAACTACTTGTCTCGTCTTGATAGACAACAGCCGTTTAGAGGTCCTGAGATTGAGGACGATATCAAGCTGATCACGCTGTCGTTTGCCGCTGGCCTCAACATTTGAAAAATTGACTAAAAAGAAAGGCATTCGTTTTTTGTCAACTACCATCGTCAATGTGAAGAACCAGCCCCGTGACCGGTTTGTGGAGTGAAGATCTGAGCCTGTTGAGTCTACTTCAGCGTCAGTTCGTCACTACTACTTAGAGAAGCATGATTCGTGCCTACCCTTCTTGGTGACGGTGTACCTTACCTATATAGTCGAATATCCTGATCTCTTCAGGACAAGTGTAAATGCATAATCAGTGCCCTTAAATCAAGCCTCTTCGTTTGTTGGTTTGTCGCCTTCAGCAGCCTCAGTGGCAGTCTCAGTAGTCTCCTTTTTCGGGTGACCATAAGTAGCAGTGGCCAAGATATCCTCTTCGTAGCCAGGTATCACCACATACTCAATGCCAGCTTCTCTCAATCTTGACACACTGGTATTGTTTTTGACAAAAGTATCAGGCTCACTGACACCCACAAACACCGTCTTAATCAGGGTGGCTAAGATACGGTCAGTACATGGCAAATTGCCACTTAACCGCAAACTACACGGCTCCATCGTCGTGTATAACTCCAGTCCCTCAGGCAAGTGGTCCAATTTGGCCAAAGCATTCTGTTCGGCGTGAGTGTTACCTTCAAGTTCTCTCAGATGGCCGGTACTAATCACTTTACCCTCGTGAGTAATCACACACCCAACGTTAAACTGAGTATCAGTAGGCCCACACTTTTTCGCCTCTGCCAACGCTAATTCCATAAACTTACGGGCAGGTGCAATCGCCCATTCCGGGTACTGTGTCTGGTAAGTCCACAGGTCTTCGGCATCGTCCAGAGCCAGGTACCGGTAAGCATGGAGCCACAACTCCATATCGTTGACACCGGGCTCTGAGTATAATGGCATCCCCAGTACTTCACAAATTTCCAGAGTAATCACTTCACCATCAGCATTAGGGTGAAGCCACAGCTGACAAGGACGCGTGATCCCCATCTCTTCGAGACGAGAAATGATGACGTCATTATCGCCTTGGTTATCCTTACCAAGCTCGGGACCCCACACGTACTCATTCGAATAGATCGGGTCGTTGGCAATTGGGTGGCCCAAGTACTGAAGATGCACTCTAATCTGGTGTGTTCTCCCCGTGTAAGGGTAGCACTTCACCACCAGCGTATCCAGTTCTGGATCATAGTACACTCTTTGGAACTCAGTGGTGGCTTCTTTGCCCTCAGGATCGACACGGTTGAGACCGATTTTTGGCTGGATCAGCTTTAAGGGTTGATCGACACGGTGTTTACCTAAAGGAAATTCACCTTTGACACGAGCAATGTACTCCTTGCGTACCAGACGTTCGCGGATCTGTTTCACCATCCATTCCGCCCCTTTAGCCAGCTTACCCATGAACATGAGCCCCAGAGTAAGACGATCAAGCCGGTTACACGGGTGGGCAAGCACTCCACGCTCATGTTCCAAGATCTTGGTGACACTATTATACCGGTAGCGTCCCGCAGGGTGCACGGGGATCCCGCCAGGCTTGTCAATAGCGATGATCTGGTCATCCTCATACACGATACGAATAGGCGTAGTGGGTACTGGAGGCTCGCGGCGAAGACATCGGTGGCTGATCAAGTCGCCATTCTTGAGTATCGTGTCCAAATTGGCCGGTTTCTGGTTCACGGTGACCTCACCAGCAGCGATTTTGTGTTTGTAGAACTCAGGGGCCCGGTCGCGGAATTCGTCAGTGAACACGTCGAGAATGTTGCGTCCGAGCCATCTTTGTTTAGCGTAGGTGAGGTAGGTGAAATAGTAAGGGGTCACTCGTCTGAGTCCGCCTTCAAACACGTAGCTGGCGCCTTCGGACTCCTCTTCATCGATGGTTTTGGAGGCATCGAGATCGGCGTTATCCATCTGCTTAGCCGCAGTAAGATGGGTTTTATCCATCACCTGTTGACGGATACGGAACCCGTTGACATCACGGTATTTCGCTTTGGCCGCTGCCGCCGCTTCTTTCGCCGGTCCCGGACGGCGCTTCATAGTGGAGGGTGAGAGAGGGATGAGCGTGCGGCAAGAGCCAAAAGGTGGGACTTAAATTTCTGAAAAAACTCTATTGTAAATAGCTTAATCCACTCATCAGAACCAGTGGTTGAAGTTACCGTTGGGTGATTGTCAATTGGTGACTACAATCGCTCACTCATGTCTCACCCATGTCACTCACTAATCGTGACCGGTCACCGCAAATAAGGATGATAAACCCGAGTGTTTACCATGTTCCCTTTCAGGAGAGGTGATTGCCATCGCTCCCACGCAAATCAGTACGATGCACTAATCGAATTTTTAAGGCAAGCTATTAACATTCCCCCCCAATAATTATTATCGATCATTGTCTCGACAGATGGCCGCCACCGACGTGCTTCATTCCACCGCGAGGCAATGCATGTAATCTATCTTAACTTAAAATCCATGCCGTGCAGCGGGAGTTTGGCGGCATCTGTTGCTCTCGGTCCCCTTGTACATCGTGTTTTGGTCGCTTGGAGGTCGACTGCCCGATGCGGCTGAGAGGTAAACACTCCCTAGCCTCATCGATCAAAGTGCGTGCGTCAACGAAGGATAAAGCAACATTGAGGTGCGGTGTTACCCCCTCTCCAGGTGGAATTGTAAAACAACCGAGGTCATTGAGACCAAGTGGCGGGGTCACCGTCGCCGGTTTGCCGGTGATGTGGGTGTTTGTGGTGATGTCCATCACTTTCTCAGTTTATGCGAATATCACCTTATAGTGGGACTGTAATCACGCTTAAGCTTAAACTACGCCTCATCCATCGGTAAACAATAAACCTAAAAGCAACCACTTAACCCATTGATCGTCTATTGATGGTATTTTCCGCTAGGGACGGCTCTGGCGGCGCCATACGTCTCTATTACTTGCATTGCAATAATCACTTCAGATCTGCCAGACGCATGCAATTTGCGTGAGCAAGGGCAAATCAACGCCATGCAGAGAGCGGGTATAACAAACAATGCCAAGCGTATGTTTACATGTCGCTTAATCGAGTATAAGGTGACTTTTTAGGTAGGTGGTATCGTTTTGGGGATTAAAGGAAAACACACATTAACGCCCCCCGCTGACGTCGGCAGTCACCGTATTCAGTGTCTTAATAGCTTACCTTAATGGCAGCAATGTCCGATCATTGCATCGCTTCGTCGTTGGCGCTTAGAGTCTGTCATGTTGACGGCCTCGTCGGCGATGATCCGAATGCGGATGAAAGGTAAACTGAACCTCAAATATACGAGCAACAGCCCATAGGGTCGTAAGACATCACCAATTGATAGCAAAGTGCCAACACCGTAAGCATTAGAATGGTAGAGATTAGTAGAGTCTAGATTGTGTGCCTAACTTGTTCACTCCCTTCCAGCAGTCCTATAAAATTTGCCAAAAAACATTGTAGAAACCCACGGCGGGATTCGAACCCACAATCGCTCGATTAGAAGTCGAGCGCCTTAACCATTGGGCCACGCGGGCGGTTCTGGCGGCTTAACAAGTTGGCGTTTTCTTGAGTTCTCGCCAATACGTAGATTCGACGCTTGTGGGGCTTTGCTTACGCCGAACAATTTTTCAAGGTAAGGTTCATTATTTGTATCACTACAATTGTATATTATGTGGTTTTCCCTCGTATCTGCCGTATCTAAGGCGACGTCATCATGCGGCAATACCCCCCATTTGCCACCCGACAAAAACCATGTGCTCAGTTATATAGTCCCTATCACAAATACAATGTCAGTGCAGCGAATTACTCCGTGCCACGGCTTCATGCAGGTCTATTGTTCTCCAATTATCCCTCAACAAGCTGTCTAAAGCCAGTGTAATTCGAAACATGTTGTAGTCTTTCAGTAGCTTACGGTACCGACTACATCGTCGACGTTAGACAATGATTATTCAAATATTTCACTCAATTATCTACTATACTTCTTGTCAATCCCCTACTTTAATTCCATGTTCGTTACGAACCCTTACGTTGCGGATATGTCTTTATCCATGTACGCCATCCCTGTTCGGCTGGCAATAAGCCACATCAGTAGGCGTATATAAAACCCCCAGTTGAAGCCTTAATTCTACAACCCCTCACTGACCAATGACCGCGTACACGTTTTCTGCTCTCCCCATCCCCGGCCGTTTTGGCTATGGCACGATGAACTTGACGTGGAACCCTCACCCACCCCCCACGTCTCAATCGATCGAAACGCTTCAATTTGTCACTCAAAACGACCAATTCGGCACAAAGTTGTTGAATGGTGGGGAATTTTACGGCCCTGACAACGCCAATTTGAAGCTTTTCAAGGAATTTTTGGCGGCAAACTCACCGGAAGACAATGAAAAGTTGGTGATCTCGATCAAAGGCGGGTTCAATCCGGCCACTCATGGTCCCGATGGTAGTAAAGAATTCATTACCAAGTCAATTGAGAACATCTTACTGTTTTTCCCTCCCCCAGGAACCGCCGGTCGCCCTAAGCTTATCTTTGAACCGGCGAGAGTGGACTTGAACCACCCTTACGAGCAAACGATTAGCTACGTTGCCGAGTACGTTCGGGCGGGAAAACTCGATGGTTTCTCGCTTTCCGAAGTCGGCATCGGCTCGATCCAAAAGGCATTGTCGGTGGCAGCCGTGCTGTGCGTCGAGCTTGAATTGTCGCTTTTATGCCAGGATATCTTGCAAAACGGCATCATCGACGAGCTCACCAGGCACAGCATCCCCGTGGTGGCCTACTCTCCCTTGTGTCGTGGTTACTTGACTGATCACACCGTCGAGAACAAGGATACGTGGTTGAGCTCGATCAAAGAGGGCGACTTCCGTCTCACCATCGAGAAGTTCTCGCCGGAAAACTACAAGCACAACATCGTTCTTGTGGAGAACTTGTACCACTATGCCCACGACAAGAAGAACTGCTCGTTGGAGTCGTTGGCGTTGTCGTGGATTTTGGCGATCTCGGAAAACCCCCACTACCAGGGTCGCAGGATCACCAAGATTTTGCCTATCCCAGGTGGGTCGACCCCTAAACGGATCGAAAGCAACTTGTCGTCGCTTGTGGAGTTGACCGACGCCGAATTGTTGGAGATTGACGCCATTTGCGCTGCCACCCCAGTCCGTGGTCGCCGCTACAATGAGGCTGCAGAAGCGCTTAATTTCGCCTAAACAGAAACGATCACAGAAATTGCTTGTTGCGTGCCCTGGTTCTATCACGTCTCGGAGAAAAAAAGTAAATCAACGGACATTTCATCACCCATGGAGTGGCTCAAATGTGAATTAGTTGCCGTGACGTGAGACTGGTACCATGTAGTAGGGAATTCGACGAAGATCTACATTAGTTAGCGGTGTATAGGTGTATTTTGACGTTTGGCGTAACTATTCGGGGCGAGTTTGCTCGGTTGCCCCCAGTTTGAGTAATAATTATCGGGTATAGGGATTTCAAACTCCGGCCTCCTCCGGTTGCTGAGTCAGCTAAAAGTCGATTGAAGTCGCCGTGAGTCCACTATAGTGTCCGTTTACCCCGTGATAAGCAACCTCCGAGCCGCAGTTTTGTACTGTCATTGAAATGTGTAAAATTAACATACCATTCTCGAACTTAAGACCCATGGTCATATCCCCTCATAGGGATAATCGTTTCCTGATAAGAGATACTGACCTGAAACCATTCACTCAAAATACAAATAAACATTCACACAATTATTAATTGTTATCACTTTCTTTGGAGCTTGTCTCACATCGAGCGTTGCTTGTGCTCAGTTTGATCTGACGCGTCGCGGCCATAACAAAACCCGCCTCTCACTAGTACCTACAAACCCATCGACCAATTACCTCATGTTTCTGGAATACGAACAGAACGGAAACAAACGACGGCGAAAGAGTATCTCAGGAGTCGAACAGGTTCCCGCCGAAGCGTTTGTTCTCGAGAAAGTGGCGCGGACTGAGTTTCCTCCCAGGCTCTCGGAGCTGCCGATCAAACAGGGACAAGCAGTGGCTCGCGAGATATTGAGTCAACGAGCCACTCCCACCGAGCCAAAGGTGCTGAATGACCCACATGAGGTGGTGGATTCGGGTCAGGCTCCATCAAGCCCATTGCGTGAGCAGACTATGGATCTTACTATCAGACCCCTGAAAATCCCGAAAGCTCCTGATCTTGGGTACCAAGCTCCAATCGACACTATGGGTACATCTCGAATCCCTCGACCGTCTCAGATTTCGCCTCAGCCATCCCAGAGGTCCCCTCAACCATCATCATCATCTCAACCTTCAGCGGCGCCGATAAGAGCGCCCCTGCCTGAGTTATATCACAGTTATGACGCTGAGGTGCCTATGGAAATGACAGTGCCCATGACGGCTCAATCGCTTGAGCATTCTGCGGAATACACGAGATCGCCGCCACAAGAGGCGACCCAACACAACGAGGTGCCCATGGACGAAACTGAATTTCAACCAGCAGTCAGGCATCAGCCATCTCATTCAACTGGAACTCTGCATAATGAAGTGGCTACGGAAGAAACTGATCAAGTGAACGTGACTCAAAATCAAGAAGTTCCTATGGAACAGACCCAACATCGATCAGTGCAAACGGAACAATCTCAATCTGGTCCAATGGAGAACACTCAATATCAGGATGTAACGATGGAGATGACGCAACACCAACAGGTTCCGATGGAGATGACGCAACACCAACAGGTTCCGATGGAGATGACGCAATACCAACAAGTTCCGATGGAGATGACACAACAATTTCAGGTTAGTAGTCGTGTTGAAACTGAGACTCCATCAACTGCACCTCAACCTGAAGCGGAAGATGTTCAGCAACATCCCGAAGTGGCTACCTCTACTCAATCACGTCAGGAGCAAGTCCCCTCTGAGTCACAAACCGAGACACCTATGGAACTCACTCAATCATTTCCTGTTGAATCTCGTACTGCAGAAGCACCAGTACAACTGTCTCAAGCCAAGGAAACCACCCATGCTCAAGATGAAGTGCCGATGGAGATGACACAATCTTTCCCATCAATAACTCGTATGGGTCAGACGGAAAAGGCGCAAGCCGAACCACTCAAAGAGTCTACTCACACTTCACCGAGCCAAGAAGAAGTACCCATGGAGATGACGCAATCGTTTTCGGTTGGGTCTAAGAAGGCACAAGATTACCCGCCCAAAGAAACTACTGAATTACCTAGAGCCCAAGATGATGTGCCTATGGAATTAACGGGAGTGCATCAATATGCTCAACAAGTGAATGCAATGGTAGAGGCTCGCAGCTCTAGTGAGACACCAGTGAATAATGCCATTGCTCCCTTAGCTGAGCCTGTGACTCAACAATTCAGTGATTTCAGTCATGTCGAGGTCCATCGGTCACAAACGGTTTACATGGAAAATGGGCAATTGGGTGAGGTTACCATGGAGTTTACCCAGCTTAAACAGACTACAGTTGATCGAATTGAACCACCGAAACTAGATGAGGTTCCCATGGACTTCACTGAGCCCTTGTCGCATTCGAAGCCAATGGATACTGAAGTTGTGTCGAAGGAAGTTTTTGTTGAACAATTTTCATCAGCTCAACCGGAAGAGGAATCTGTGGGTTCAACTCAGTTGGAACTGCAAGACCAACAGACGACTTCCAGTAAGGGTGATGAGTTGGCAGCCTCAACGCAGCTGCCTTCACAGCATACACGTGAACCATTAGCTCCTTTGGCTGTGCCTGATCACGAGCAAACCACTGAGAAATCTCCTCAGCAAGTTGTTGAGCACAATCAGGACAATAGCGCTAATGAGGATGATATGGATATCGATAATGAAGGGGCTGCAAATACCCCAACGCCTGTGGAGAAAACCGAGCCTCCTGCTGTTCAACAAGATGAGCCCCTGCAGATTCCTCCGACCGCTCAGGAAGGTGAAAATTTTACGGACAAAGCTGAACATAGGGGCGACAACATCGCCACTTCCGAATCAGTTTCTACTACTGAAGCAATGCCTCAGGAGGTGTCCACAAATCATAATGAAGACGCAATAATGGAGATTCTGCGCTCTCCAGTGGAACATTTGCTGGACTCACGCCAAATTTCTTCGGATGCTCGGGAACCAGAGGTACCTATAAAAGACAACCACGCGAATGCGGTTGATGCTGACCAGACGTTTGCTGAAAATTTCGGGCAGCTGTCGCTGGAGATATACCACACTCCGTCAGCGCTGCCATTGAAATATGCTGAGAACCTGGCGGACCTGCCGCTGACACCTAGAGCCCCGCTAACCCCGAACGAAGTGCTTCAGGCTTCACCAGAACACTACGCTGCTGAAACTGGCACTGTACCCAGTGATGATGAATATAGTCTGCTACTCTCGCAAGACCCTCAAATTATGGATACAGTGGCCCAAGAATATGTTTATGAACGCCCGGAGCCGATACGGGGCTACCAGCAGTCGGTATCGGTGGAAGAGTTTGTCAACCACCTTCGCAATCGGGGTCCCGAACACATGGATACATTGTACGAGGTGACGGAAGTGAGTGAGAGCGACCACACTCAGAACATCACTAATCCTCGTGAATCGATATTGTCGCCCATTAACGAGCCTGACACTCCCGCAGAACCTGCGCAAGTGCCAGAGACGGGTGATAATGATTACATCCCCACTTTATCCGATCCAAACTTGGCGAGTATTGACTCTCTGATTTCTGGAGATGACCCGGAGATGAGCCGAGTGATTGATGAACTCAGGCTGGTGGTAGATGACGACACTCTCCTTGGGGTATGTCGAAAAATTGGACTCACTGAAAGCGCTGAGATGGCCATATTGTGGTCGCTTAGTTGGGGTGCTACTACCGATAGTCAGCAGGTACTTAAGAAGGGGTCGGCTCAGTGGGTTACGGATATTGTCGAGAACGTGAAAGAGAATTTACCAAAGGTGAGTGACTACTATGCTCGTGCCAATGACAGTAAAGCTGAGGAGTTTGACCAAGCGGTTTATCAAGTTGCTCGAGTCAAAGTGAAAGGAGTGAAAAAGCAATGGCAATATCGAGCTATTCGCGTGTTGGCGGCGTTTGCAAAAGTTGAGCGGGCTCAACAATGGATCACCACCGAACTTGAGTCATTTGAACGCACCAAAGAGGACGCACTTAGCCAGTTGGAGCAGCTTGTTGACCATGTCTCAGAATTAGATGAAGATAAAGAAAATCAAGAGGTGGCGGCACCGGAGAAGTCGGAAACGCCTGAGGAAGATGAAGTGGAGCCCACCAATGATGTGTCCAATATGAAATCACCGACGATCGAGGAAGAAGCCGATGCCAGCCAAATCGAGAAAGTTGTGGAGAGATCGTTTGAGAAAGCTGATATAGCGCCAGCAATTGAACCTGATATGGCTCATCTGACACCTGTGCACCACAACAGACCCAAACCACCGGCTGCGTCATTTGGCGAAGACCAACGGTTCTGGCTTGATCCACAGACGTCACCACTGCCATCACCGCCTCAACCACTGAAGCCACCCACCTTAGCCTCATTAGTGGCCGACATCGACGGTTTTACCGCTTCCTATTCCGATGATATGATGGTCACAGGGGTCGTGAATCGTCACCTCAACGTGACTTTAACCTCTCACAGTTTGACTGCCAGTTGTGATAAATCGATGGTATGGCGGTACGCCCAATTGGAGGAAGCACTCCCCTATTTGCTTAGCCACATTGAAGACCAAGCATACGATTCTCCCCGGGACAAATTGGCTCACTTGGCTCGTCTCTGGCGGTCGCTATGCCAGTTTGACCGGGAGCTCGGAGTTATCGATATCAACACCCGGGTGGTGGTGATGGAGATCATCGATGCCGGCATATACTGCGGCTTGATCCACCTGAACCGAACCGGCAAAATCGAGATCCGCATGTTGATGCTGTGGGCTGGTCTTGAAACGTTTCAGTGTGAGGTAACCACCGAGGTGGTGCGGGGGTCATTTGCGGGGTGGACGGTGTGGCAGCAGCCCAACGCACTCTTTGACCATCTCGGCAAAGCCATTGCCACCTCTATCGATGCTTGAGCCATCATTGCCGCCGTCAATTACCTAGTTTTCTTATCGATGACTTCGGGGATACTCTCGCGAATCACCGAGGGCGATTTCCGTTTTTCGCAACCGAATCGGCAAACAAACACCATCACTGAAAAGTCGCGTACCTGCGGGGCGGGTCTTGCGATGAGCCCGGCGAACCACGGGATACAGATACAGCCACTTGGTATGGCCCTGGTTGGGTAGATAAGGTACATAGTTTGTCGACCCAATGCCCTCGTCCCGGAATGCCAAAATTCTTAACCCCCGGCACTGCCGCACGTATATGTATCGTTGCCAACCCTAGTCCTCCGTGTTCCGAGTTATCCCGATACGGCATGGCCCAGGGAATCTGTGGAGGTTTCTTTTTTCCCTCGCACCAGCAGCCACAGAAATTTCGCGGCAGGGCAAACCTTAGATCGACACTTGACTACCAGCGTGTTTCGGGCGACAGGGTACCGGGTGGCTGATGACCGGTGGCACAAACTATTGTAGCGATGAAATCATGACTACTGCTAGTGAGTTATATTTAATAGAGGTTGCAGGCGCGTGACGTCTCCATGCCATCACCCTCGCATCTCGATCGGCGGTGCCTCCAGGTGTCGCCCTGGAGCCGCAAGCGCGTTTTTATATGCCGCATAATTTTTCACCAGCCAACGGTTAGCATTTCCCCGTCCATGAGCATTTGAACACGGAGATGGTAGAGTAAACAAACGTAATTCTGACTACATCGGTAGCCCCCTAGTGATGTACTAATTTTTTTAGGCTATTGCGGGGTCGGTGCTGGCGGCAACGGCGCTCAGCCACTGGCGGACACGTCTCCCGGAACGTGTTCCTGCACCGGGGGTTAGCCCGGTTCTAATTGGCTGAGGGAAAAGTTTTTTCCTCGCTTCTGATATATAAACCCCATCTGCCCCGAATTGAAAAAGCCAGTTTCATAACTCCATTTCCATACATTCATAATGGCCAACGACTCGAACTTCGTCATCGACTTCTTGATGGGTGGTGTTTCCGCCGCTGTCTCCAAGACTGCCGCCGCCCCCATCGAAAGAGTTAAGCTTTTGATCCAAAACCAGGACGAAATGATCAAGCAAGGTAGACTCGACAGAAAGTACGCCGGTATCGTCGACTGCTTCAAGAGAACCGCTGCTGACGAAGGTGTCATGTCGTTGTGGAGAGGTAACACCGCCAACGTCATCAGATACTTCCCCACCCAAGCTCTTAACTTCGCCTTCAAGGACAAGTTCAAGAAGATGTTCGGTTTCAAGAAGGAAGAAGGCTACTGGACCTGGTTCGCCGGTAACTTGGCCTCGGGTGGTATGGCTGGTGCCACCTCGTTGTTCTTCGTCTACTCGTTGGACTACGCCAGAACTAGATTGGCCAACGACGCCAAGTCGGCCTCGGGTGAAAGAGAATTCAACGGTTTGATTGACGTTTACAGAAAGACCTTGAAGACTGACGGTATTGCCGGTTTGTACAGAGGTTTCGGTCCTTCGGTTGTCGGTATCATTGCTTACAGAGGTTTGTACTTCGGTTTGTACGACTCGCTTAAGCCCGTCATCTTGGTTGGTCCCTTGCAAGGTAACTTCTTGGCCTCGTTCTTGTTGGGTTGGGCTGTCACCACCACCTCGGGTATCGCCTCGTACCCCTTGGACACTATCAGAAGAAGAATGATGATGACCTCTGGTCAAGCCGTTAAGTACAACGGTGCCATCGACTGCTTCAGACAAGTCGTCGCCACCGAAGGTGTCGGCTCGCTCTTCAAGGGTTGCGGTGCTAACGTCTTGAGAGGTATTGCCGGTGCCGGTGTTATCTCGCTTTACGATCAACTCCAAATCTTGCTCGTTGGTAAGAAGTTCTAAGCTGCTTATTAAATTTCCTGTTAATAAATATAAGCCTTTTGAAAACAAAAAAACTGTAGATTATCACTTCTTGCTTTCTTCTATTTCATTTTTAAGGTTAGCAAATTTCAGGCTTGGCGCAAGTGAAAACTCGAACTTAACCTCGGCATTAACGGACCCCGTGTCGCCGTTAGCGGAAAGAATTTTCATCGAAATTACCGAAAAATTGCCAACTCAGCGACCTGTAATGAAAAAACTTATTCACGCGTCAGTGCGGCGCATATGCGCCAGGGGGTCGACTCGATTGTCGAGTCTCAATTTAGTTAATGTGGAGTAGCCATCGTTAATACTTACTATATATATAGTGTCCTGAAGCATACATCTTTGCGTTATCATCTATGACTTCGATAGCGTTGATAGATAATACGAAAAGAAACGTCGATGGGTGTGTGATACCCGAAAGATTATTTAAGGTCGCCTAGACAATTTGCGGGGGATATAATGTCAGATTTTGTCAATGACTAACTAACTAATACACGAGAGAAACATAATAAAAGGTTTAAACGAGGGTACTCATCTAGGCCTCAGCGGGAGGAGGAGGGTTGTCTGAATTATCGACCTCCATGTCCTCATCATGGGCTCGCATGATGACACTTTCTGTGACCAGCCGTTTGTTAATGGGACGGGCACCTAACAGCAGCACCTTGTCCTGTTGAATGATCCCACGGGGAGTGGGGATAAGTTCATGCAGCAGCGTCTTACGAATGTGGGGCAGGCGAGGTGACGTCAACGTCATCACCACATCCTCGTTAACATGGACGCCATTACCACCATTGATGGTCAGAAGAAACAGATCGTTGTCATTGATCAGCCGCTTCAAGTTCTTGGAGAGCTCCAGTCGGTTCAGGTTCAGCTGCTTCGAAAGCTCTTTGAGCTGGTTGATGTTATGGATACACTTAGTGATCGTTTGCATCAACAACTTAGGCTTCAACGGTTTCAGCACATAGTCGTCCATACCCTTAGCTAACAGCTTTTCCCTGTCACCCAACATAGCGTGGGCGGTCAACGCAATAATCGGAGTACGGAACGAGAGCAGATCGATGGGGTTTGATTTCTTCTCCCATTGTCTGATCTTTTCCGTTGCCTCAAACCCTCCCATCACAGGCATCTGAACGTCCATTAACACGACATCGTAGCGCTTCTTCTTGATTGCCTCATAGGCCTCCAACCCGTTCTCCACCACCTCAACAATGTGACCTTGCTTCTCCAAAATACGCACTGCCAACTTCTGATTCACCAAGTTGTCTTCAGCAAGTAACACCCTGTACTTCATCAGCTCGTCGGTGTTTTGCGAAATCAGTCGCAGCTCAAGCGCCGGAATAATCGCCAGGGCCAAATCGGTAATCAGACAAGGAGTATTACCGTACAGAGAGATCCCCAAATCAATACACACCCGCATATTGAGCTCAGGGATCAGATGGTGCAAGAGTACCAACGGAATGTACTTCACTTCGGGTAAAAGTCTCAAATTCTTTGCCGTAGCAATCAGGTCAATGATGATAATATCGAATTTGACGGGGTCATCGGTCAAGTATGCATCCTCAATATTGCGAACAATCACTGGGTTGAGACCAAGCTCAGTGATGCCAAGACGAATGTTCTCAAGTTCTTCCAGCAGGTGTTCGGTGGAGATGACTAAGACGTAATGGCTGGAGAACGGAAGTAATTGTTCCGTTTGCCGCGTGTAACGTATTGTCAGCGGCAGCACCGTTACGGTAAAGTAGAAGTTCAGCCCCTTTCCATACTCGGAAGTGACCCATATCTCGCCCCCCATAAGGTGAATAAGTTGCTTGGAGATCAGCAACCCAAGCCCGGTACCACCAAACTTACGCGTGGTCAGCCCATCGGCTTGACAGAAGGTATCGAAAATAAGGCCAAGCTTATCCTTCTCGATACCAATACCAGTGTCCAGCACGCATACTTCGAGCACCAACTTGTCTTCTTGAGCCTGAACTCCACCCGGGTGATGAGCTCCAGGAACTCCAGCCGGCGGCGCTCTTTGAGGCTTCGACAGCTTCTTCACCAGCACCAGCACTTTCCCTTGCTTAGTGAATTTGATGGCGTTACCAGCAAGATTCAAGATAACCTGGCGAAGACGGAATGAGTCACCAATCAAATTATCGGGGAAAGACAGGTCGCAGTGGTAAGTCAAGTCCAAATTCTTTTCGATGGCCTTGACAGCTAACGTCTTTAGCGCACCAAACACCGTACCCCTGATGCTGAAGTCTATTTGCTCAACCGTCATCCGGTTGGCTTCAATCTTCGAGATATCCAAAATGTCATCAATAATCGTCAACAACAGGTTAGCAAGGTTGTTGACAATGGAGAGCATTTCCCGTTGGTACTGAGTAAGTTCAGTGTCAAGGGAAAGCTGAGTCATACCGATGATACCGTTTAAAGGAGTACGAATTTCGTGGGACATGTTAGCCAAGAACTCCGACTTTGCCAGGTTGGCAAGTTCAGCAGCTTCTCTGGCGGCAGTGTTTCTTTGAATTGATTCACGCAAATTGAGCACCATTTGATTAATCTTCGTCTTAAGCGCATCCATTTCACCCAGGGCTTCGACAGTAATGAATCTGGTGAAGTCACCATCGGTAGCAGCGGCAGTAATCTGAGCAAACGCACGCACTTGCGACGTCAAATTCAGCGCCATGGTATTGACATTAGACGTGATTTCTTTCCACAACCCGTCGACATCGGATACTTGGGCTTGGATACCCAACTTACCATTAATACCGACATCACGAGCCACCTTCAGCACTTCCAGAGCGAATAACTGCAATGAGTCCACCATCTTATTGATGGTGTTTTTCAACTGAAGTATTTCACCCTGGGCGTGGACATCAATCTTTTGTGACAAATCGCCATGAGCCACAGCGGTAGTCACTGTAGCGATGGCCCGCACTTGATTAGTCAAATTAGTGGCCATGAGATTGACGTTTTCCGTCACCGCTTTCCACGCCCCCTCCACGTCTTGGACATTAGCTTGTCCTCCTAGAATACCTAGAGTCCCCACCTCTCGAGAAAGAGTGGTCACCTCTAGTGCGAAGTTCTGTAATCGATCCACCATCTGGTTAATTGTCAGTTTCAAACTAAGGATTTCCCCTTTACAATCAGCAGTAACCTTTTTCGATAAATCACCTTTAGCCACTGCCGTAGTGACGTTAGCGATATTCCGTACCTGTGTCGTCAAATTCAAAGCCATAGCGTTGACGTTATCCGTCAACTCTTTCCAAATACCTTCCACGTTTTCGATCATCGCTTGACCCCCTAAGATACCAAGCACCCCGACATCACGGGCCACTTTCAGCACTTCGAAGGCAAATGTCCGTAACTGATCCACCATGGTGTTAATCGTCATTTGTAATTGCAAAATCTCTCCCTGGGCGTGAACATTAATCTTCCGACTCAAATCGCCTCGAGCCACCGCTCGGGTGACGTCGGCGATCTCACGCACCTGGTTTGTCAAGTTAAGCGCCATAATGTTAACATTGTCTGTAAGCAGTCGCCAGATCCCCACCAGGCCTTCGTTTTTCGCCTGGCCCCCCAACTCACCGTTGGCCACTTCAGTAGCCACTTTGGTGACTTCGTTAGCGAACGTCTGTAACTGGTCCATCATGGTGTTGATGGTGATTTTCACTTTCAAGATCTCCGGGTCCAGTTCCACCGGGTGGATTTCGACTTTCTTGGATAAATCCCCCATGGCCACCGAGATCACCACCGTCCCGATCTCGGAAAGCGCCTGCTTGAACGCCTTGTTGGCGCTCTTAGAGTGGTCCAAGTCCTCGGCGAGTTCGACGTTGCGCTCATCTTGAGCCACCAAATGGGCCAGAAGCTGGAGGCGGACATCGTCAGTTAAAGGTGCCCCCAGGTCGAGGAAGGCGATAAGGTCCTGGGTTTGAGGCAGTAGCGCCGCCAGCGGCAGCAGACACTCCAGAGTGTCGATCTTGGGCTTTTTTGTGGGCGGAATGTCGACGGAGATGACAGGAAAGATCGTCCGTGGAGCAGCTAATTCACACCACTTGACAGTCTCAAGTATGTGGTGGTGCGATCGACGCCAGCGTTAAATTACCAGGTGACGGCGCGCGCGCCCTCTCCCCCAGTGACGTCACTGCAGTAAACGCTTATAACCCCCTTCTCCCACCGTAAATATTCTATATTTAGTGAACTCTAGCCATGCTAGCGGAGGTATATGGATAAACACAAACGCATTATCTTACCTACGGTGTATTTGTCAGCAGCCGACACCAAAAATTAACTCTCATCACTATCATTTTTGAAATTTCTCATTCCACACCACGGTGGGAGTAGGGGCTTTGGCAGCATTGTCTGTAGACGACGTCCGGCATGTACTGAATTTGCCTTACTATGCACTGTTCCTGCATAGAGGACAATTGTCTACAAATCGAACTACTTTCCAGTTTTCTGGCAAGAAAAAACCTATTAAAAAGAAAAAACCTATTAAAATGTATCGTTCATGATCATCATCACTATATGGTCGTCCCCCTTCTATATATGAATTACAAAAGCCCATAGGATTGGAGCCGTTCACAGTGAGGCATCCGCATCGCCTGCGCTCGTTTCATCTTGTGAGTGTCCTGACGGAACCACCCCTGAGCCTCCTCCATCAACTCCTGCCGGGCCGTCCGCTCCCTAACACACTTATTAAATAACTCGGCGAGGTAAGTTTGCTCGACCTTGCGGTCAAAGTTCAGTAACTGTTCTGCCAGTCGTTTGGCGACCAGATCGCTAACATAGTAGAACTCACTGGTTTCTGGCATCACTCGTTGATGGCTATATTGCAGCAGTCTCAGCATGCTGTACTGCGGCGTCAGATCGCTACCCAGACCGAAAAGCAGCGTCACAAGCGGGAAAAGAAGGAAAAGGAACACCGGCAAGATCTGCTTGAGCGTGTCCCACACCAGCGGCTCCCCACGACGTTGGCCACCCGCAGCCCGGGCCCCGCGAGCTTGTTCTCGTTGTCTTTGAGCACCAAAGGGGCTGCCACCACCAAACTGATGGAATTGAAATCCACCGCTACCGAACGAAAACGTCTGGCCGGGGGCGCCACCAAAGAACATGTTGAACAAATCTTCTTCGGTAACTCCACCGCCACCAGTGAAAGGGCTTCTGCCGCTGGCAAACGGACTGGCGCCCGAAGCGTATTGCGATGCTCTCAGGTCAGGATCAGCGCCGGTCTGGTCAAAGATCCGCTTCTTGCTGGGGTCCAGAAGCACCTCCCACGCCTTATTAACCACTTTGAAGGCTTCCGGAGCCTGGGGGTGAGGGTTCTTGTCTGGGTGGAGGCGAATAGCGAGCTTGCGGTACAGCTTTTTGAGCTCACCGTCCAGCACTTCCTTGCTCACTTCAAGCACCTCATAGTAGCGGTTCGGCGGGTGTTTGAGCACCCGTTTCACAAGCCTTTCCTGCTCAACCGTGTATGAAGCCATAGGGCCAGAAAAGATCGGGTTGAGTGGCACTAACGGTGTGCTTGAAAAAGGGTGCGGTTGAGGTGCGGTATCACAAGGCGCAGGGCTCGCAACTTGGAACGTCATCGAAGGTGTGCGAGGGGAGTGGGGCGCTGCCATCAGCCTAACAATAACGGCAGTAACGTCCTATAGCTACATGAGGCCACCCATTTCTTTTTAATTTTTGGTTTTGTAAATGCCTAACGAGGCAATGCCGGGCTGATTGGGTATAATTGCCGTCACTCACTAGAATTAAGCAGAACTTTCCTTAAAATCATACAGGTGGCAATTGTCTTTTTGCCACCATCACAGGCACTACCTAGTGAATTATTATCGTTCGTTATATTCGTTTATTTACCACATGGTATTGTCCCACTTGGCCATTTCTTGAGCCTGTTGCGACACGTCTTTCTGAACTTTCTTACGCATGTAGAAAATGGGACAGTCCTTGTTGGAACACAACACTTCCTGGTACACCAGCCCTTGGCACCGTTGGCACTCAGTCCATAACCGAGAGAACTTGTTTTCCAAGTAATTCATTTGACTGAGAGTGTCGCAGTACATTGCCAGCGCTTTGCCTTCATCCTTGACACAGTTATCACAGAGGGCGCCGTGATTGCTCAGAGGGAGGGGCGTCTTACAGCTCTTACACAACTCCAGCTTCTTGGCAAACTTCATCAAACCCCCAGTCTTAGGAGCTGCCATCTTAATGGTACGAGTATGGGCCCCACCTAACAACTCTTTAGTCTTCGCATCGCCCAAAATAGGATTAAAGATACGTTCCAACGGTTTCGTAAGCTGGTTGTCCAAATAGTACTTGGTGTCAATGGGGAGCAGGTGCTCCAACACGTACAACGGGTCCTCCAGCTTCTCGTAATTTTTGTCCAGCAGACTCTTGATGATGACATAAGCGACACGGTCCCCTAACGCCGGAGCACTACCGGCGTCACGTTTCTTCATCCGTTCGGCTAACTCAACGTGAGCTTGTTTAGCAGCGTAGTCCGTCTTAGCGTAGGCTTTGGTGATCACCAACTGCAGCAAATCGACACGGTTCTGTAACAAGTCAGCAATCGTCTGCTTGACAAACCGTTCAGCTTTAGGCACATCACGGTCTTCCAAAATGAATTCCAACACCTTGGTAATGACGTTTTGCACTAAGCGACAGTTATCACGCCGCACCGTTTCGATACCCTTGGTGTCCATCTTGTCAAACTTGTCAGGACGAGTCCAGTACAAGCCGGCGTACCGCTTCTTATTGATAAGCAAGTACGGGAAGTAGACCTTTTCGAACTCCAATTTAATGGGAGCCTTGAACTTCGTCAGAACATATGCCGCTGCTTCTTCACCATACTTCATACACGTCTCCAAATCACTGAAGCCGAACTTCACCATCACCGAATCGGTATCACCGTAAATGACATCAGCGTCATACTGGAACCCATTCTTAATACTGTATTTCTCTTGTACCTCTGTTTTCGTTCTTTCAATCATTTCACGCCCGAATGCAGTGACACTCAGCGAGATGGCAAGACAGGGAAGTTTACCAATGGTAGCACCAGTAAAACCGTACACTGAGTTGGCAGAAATCTTAAGTGCTAGTTGACGCCCGTTAAGCACGTCTCGCTTAAACGGGTCGGTTTCCTTCTTGAGATCAGCTTTAGCCTTCTTTCTGGCAGTCAACAATTCGTTGAGAATCGTGGGTAAAATCCCTTGTCGCTTATGTTCACTGACAAAATAGTCACCATTAGGAGTCTTGATATAATCATCAGGTCCTAACTTGTAGGCTTCAATCGCTCGCTGATTGAGAAGGGTGGTGTAACACAAGTTATGAGCCATCATAATCGATGGATACAAAGATGCAAAATCCAAAGTGGCAATGGGGACATCGTAGTAACCACGCTTAGGTTCAATGACAGTAGCCCCTTCATAATCCTCATTGACACTTTCCAGTTTCATATTGGGAATGATGACGTTCTGAGTAAGACACTTACGGAACAACTGTGAAATGACCTTAATTTGTTGTCCTCGACTCAACAAGTATGAGAATGGCACCCCTGTGACTCTGGCCATTTCAGTGTAGTTAACAAGACACATCAATTTGTCCATCAAACGCATGGGCAAGTAAGCATCCTTCAAACAGTAGACTGCCAACCGTCGACGAGTTTCCGCGGTACCGTTTTGAAGATCAGTAATAATGCTATGTTGGACATCTTCCTTTTGCTCCCCCAAAAAATGGGCCAGCACCAGGTTAAGGGTGTACAGCCGCAACTTGTACTCACGTTGAATGAATTGAAGCAAATCAAGCTGCATTCTCCCTTCAATATTAACGTCTTTGTTTTCTCTGGTCCCGTAAGCCTTCGACGAGAAAATCAGACTCAGCACTTGTTGCTTAATCAGTTTGATTCTGCCGAAGAAAGGGAACCGGTCGAGCTTAAGCGCCGCCGCCCGATCCAAAAGGTACGGGAAATCGAAGTTGGCGGTGTTGTAACCAATAATGACGTCGGGGTCGGATTTAACGATGAAATCACGCCAATGCATCAACATCTCTTGTTCAGTCTTGTGAGCGAAGATTTGAGACCCAGTAATAGGAGCACAAGTGTTAACAGTAAACACATTACGGATAAATGGTTTACCATCACCACCAACTTCACTAACACAGTTAGCGATTTGGATCACGGGATCTTTAGACGCTTCGGGGAAAATACCTTTACGCCCAGCACATTCAATATCGAACGAAAGCACTCTGAGAGGAGCCATCTTAAGCCATTCACCTTCGGACGGGTGACTAACAAGATCTCGATAGTCAATTTGACATTCGATCTGACAGGTACTGCGACGATGGTTAGGGTCATTGACCATCTTGTATTTACCAGCAGGCAACGTGATCCACGACATTCCCGTAATGTCACAGTCCACCATTAACCGTAACAAGTAATTGATGTTGTCAAACAGGACGCCGGGAGTCCCCTCCCACAAGTCTTCAAATCTCACTTCACCTCTTTCGAACCCCCCACGCACACGGGTGAGGTTCTTCAGATTATTGCAAAACACTTGGAAAAACGGCAGCTGAGCATTATTGTTGAAACCCCAAATACTTTCCTTGGACACAATCTTGACATCGGTGACCCCGACGTAGTTAGCTTTCAAAAAGCTGGTGAATCGCGGCAACAAGTCATTACCAAACCCTCGGGGCACGGGGACGTAGAAGTAATGAACGAACCCTGTAACTGTACAAAACACAGAGTACCCTTCTTCAGTAAGCCCGAAAAACTGGGCACATTGGTTTTCTCCTTCCATTGCTTCTTCACCATCTAATTGCTGGAACACGACGTCAGTCACCTTAGGGTTAAACAGCGATGGAAGCTGGGGACGAGCCCACAGCTGAGTTTCAGCGTTCCCCCCGTCACCGTTATGCATATTCTCAAGTTCAAGTTCAAACAGAGACGGTTCTTCGGGCGCCACTTTCGACTTTTTGGGTTGGTTCTGAGTAGGCACGATCTTGGCCTCGACGCCAGCAGCCTCCAGGGCCGCAGCAATCTCGATGGCCACATCTCCCGAAAGAGTATCTGTAGCACCTGCGTCCACCATATCGTGGCTCCGCTTCAGCATGGTGTGTGTGGATCAAAGGGTCAGGGGCAAGTGGAGCGCTGAGGGTGAAGATGAGCGAGACGCGTTACGGCACGCGTTCGCACTACCCCCAATGACACCAGTGAGGGATGTCACGTACGGAATGGAAACGTAGAAACGGGAGAATGACCCCTTGAATAATGATGATGTTTGCAGCCATTGAATTATGATGATGTTTGCAGTTGGGATTTGTGACGATAACGGATTCATTGGAATTTTGCAGACTTATAAGTAGAGTATGCCAAACTACAAATAAGTGATGTTTCCAGATATATCAATTGATATTACATGAAAAGAACGTAAAGAGATCATTGTCGTGTCGTTTTGGTTGAACATTTCACCCATAGTTGCTTGTCGAATCGACTACTCTTCACACGAGAGAGCGAAGATTCTTCAATTATACTGCTTGAACACCACTTATGGCTTAGAAACTTGACGTGTATGTTTGATACTCCACGCTCAATTACGGCTGTTGTTTTTCTAGTCACAATTGGTGAGGATAAGTCCCCATCACCATCATCTTGTTCATCGTACCATCGATGAAATCTCCCGGGCTCTCAACCGGAAGGCACTGTGGCCGAGTGGTCTAAGGCGGCAGACTCAAGCGTTTAAGCTTCTCAACTGTAAGGTTGGGGTTTCTGTTATCGTAAGATGCGCGTGTTCGAATCACGTCGGTGTCATCTCTTTTTCCAAAACCAATAGCTTGAGCCCATGACGCTAAGCCGCACAATTTTTCATTAACCTTAGGTCCCCTCTGCTCCTCGAATTTCGAAATGAGATGACATTAGTCTCATCGTGATCACCGTGGCCAGTATAGTCAATATCGATACACAGACAACCGATATAAGCAAATAGAATAACTGGAATATATCTACGAAAAAAAAAGCGGCATTTCAAATTCTTGACTTTTCAAAAGACGACATGAGCTTTTCGAATGCCATTTGATGCCGTCTATATATGCTATTCGTTGCACTTTTGCGAGTAACATTTGTAAGCACACTCCTGGTTCAACCTAGCTGAGTCGAGAGAACGGTGAGTGTGAAGGATGCGTTTTGGCAATTTTTGAGGTCACGCTCTTCAAGTTCTTTAATCCAAAATAACACCTAAACGGGATTTTATCACCACTGTTGCAATAATTATCTTATAAAGTCAAAATGAGTACTGAGGTAAAGAATGAGACTGATCCCGCGCTCGTGACCCTTATTTGTCAATTATATCCTGCACATACCGTGGTGCACCACTCGTCAAAGTTTCTCTGAATCTCATCCTGCATATAAAGCATTGCGCCGCTCGTCAAAAATTCTTTCAAATTTTTATTTCAAATTTTTTTCAAGATTTTTCTTTTTTGTCGGGAACATCTTCTGATGTCTATTACAAATATATTTGAACCGTGCGAATTATGGAAATGGCATCAGAACTCAATTAATTTGTCTTGATGGTGGTGAAAGTTGACTTGAAAGGTTTCGCGCTGTATGCAGGAATACTTTGAACATGCACTTAAAAGTGTGATAAGTATGCCATTCTTTCCTTTGAGTTCATGAAAGTCTTGTAGCCAGAAGTATATCTTATCAAAATTATAGCGGCGGTAACATACTTGACCTACTCATGATTCACAGTTGAAAAAGCCAGATGTATTGTGAGTATTGCACTCATAAAAGTATCCTGCATATAGTTAAAGTACAGTGTCATTGCTAAAACTCCTTCAGATCGGACGTTAACTCGCCCAGATATTTATCTACTATACTTCTGGTACCAAAGAATTTTATGAAACAAACGGAAAGTTTGTAGCAAATCTTCCTGATTTTATATCACACTTTGAAGTTTTTCTTAAAAAAATTCAGAAAAATCCCGTTTGCTATTTTAAAATTTATTTGCACCGTATACTTTCGAGTGGTTTATTTCAAGTTTTTCTAAAGCGTCATATACGTAATGAAATACCAGATTGAAAATTTATGAACCATATGCACTCGCAATGCTTGTGTGCAGAACCCCAAACTTCAAAGCATGATATAAGTGTCAACATCTTTGTTGACCCTGGCTTTGACCCATCAAGCCAAACAGGCGTGCCCAAAGATTATAATAATGCTAACAAAATAGAGCTGGTACCTCTGTAGATGCGTGTTGGAACTCACCTTGATATGTCTTGCATATTTTCCATGCACCTGCATATAGAATTGAACGTTGACGAGGTGTTACACCCATCTCACCACTGCTACGAACATCACAAGTCGGGTTAAATGCTCACTGGGTGTAATAGACTACGCCACAAACTCAGAGGAGTGCGAAAAAAAATTTGCAAAAAAAAAAAAAGTTTTTTTTTTCCACCGTTAAACTCATATTGAGACGCCAGTTTTGAAGTCAACTCACCCAAAGTTACACCAAATATACTTCCAATGCCAAAGAATTTTACGGAGCAAACGGATTGGTTTTATCGATATTCTTTGAATTTATAGCACACTTTTTAGTTTTTTTTGAGAGAAATTTTAAAGCATTCAAACAATTCTCAATTGTTGTCTCACGTACTACTTGAGCATTGAAAATTACAGTGATGTGGTTCGTTTTTTTCTAGGGTGTCATTTGCCTCATGAATGAACTTGATAGGGTTTTCATTTTTCCTGTATATGGAACTTTTGTGTGCAGGCATGGATGGTGCATAAACATGGTGTTTACTCTCAGAAAACTTGTCACCATATAAATATGCATACAAATGGTGCCAAGAACAATGAGCTAACCGCTTTAAACAAACTTGAACTCACGATCATCATACAACCTGTTAGGTCTTACACTTTGATTATCATTGCTTCAAGTATAGGTCACCTTCAATGTTCACTACAATGCGTTGATGCTGGAACCAAACATACATCTGCTTCCATTGGTTCAATTTGTTAAATGATGAAGCTTTTCATGATATTATAGCTCACATTTGAAGAGACTCTTGTGGTTTGAAATTACTCCATGGATGAACAGCTTCAATCCAATTCTATTTTTGGGCTAGCATTGCAGAACAGACGAGGCTCAGTTTCTATGTAATTGCCAGCGCTAGCTCCACAGCAGAAATAAATTTGACCGTACCTACCATCAATTCATTAGTTCAGCTATAACTGTTTGATGTCCTTTCCAATGCCATCAATTAATGACATTCACATCCAGGGACTTCTACGAACCTCAACCTGCCATTGTATATTGTGGTGGCGGAGGGTTTCCAAACGAGGTCTCTAAAGTGACTAAACTAGACATGGTCTGATCAGATCCCGGCCACAACTTGGCACGCGTCATTTAGCTTTCATACCCCTTACTGTTCAACCCCTGAAGTGTGTTCCACGTGTTTCTTCACCGGTTGCCGCTAGATCCCGCCCCACTTCAATCGCGCTCACTCAATCAAGGTCGCCAATCGCCTTCTCCGGGTACGGTTTCGGCTAAAGTAAGCTCAGCCACTGTTGACCAATGTACCGAGATTGTCCGAGATGGCCCGAGATGGTCTTCGAGGATTGGAACTGATTTCTTGGCCTCCTATTAAATTGTAAGCTTTGAAAAGTTTTTATCGTCCTTATAGCTGTAAAAGAAAAAGACAGTTGATCTCATCTACGTAAAAGTAGGAGATCTCAATAGAAGACGACTAAGTGAACACGAGTTCACCAATCAACAAAATAGACGAGCACAGCCTCAATCACGAACTGTAGGTCTGTTTGTCATCGCCATACTGGTTCTCAGGCATATTCTTCAGTGTCGCGTTCTTTGGCGCAGGTTCAGATCTTCCGCGCCCAAACAGGAAACCACTTTCACCTAATCGAGCACAACAATAGTTTCAACAAATGATTTGAGCGATTGCCCTCTACCAATAAGTTTAAATGTAAAACGGCTCCAAGCCCTATTTTGAAGTAATCCATACCAACAAGAACTAAATCTGTATGATCAAGAATCAAAGTATGTATGAGGTTTTGTCATACTATTATTCATTGCGCAATTATCCTGGATATATTTTTCGCGTCATGGGTGTGGCTGTCGGCGAAACGCCTAGATCTGATTTTGTTAAAGCCGGCGTACGTCTACATCACTAGGATAGACGATAAGGGTCCTAAAAGGTTAAATTTTCATCTCCAACGCATGAATGAACATAGACGACTAAAACCGATCTAAACGGTATATAAGTATTCCTCCCACCACCGTTAGCAACTCATTCTTATCCACACACATTTAATAATGCAATTGACTGCTTTACTCACCTTGGCTACTGCCGTGCTTGCCCTTCCTGCTCAACCCGCTCAACCTGCCCCTGGCGCCAACGGTCAAGGCATTCAGTTGCCTGAAGGTGTCACTGAGCAAGACGTGATTGATGCTCTTCCTCTGGACGTGTTGGCGTCACTTCCCTCTGGCGTCACCGTCCATGACATTATCAGCGGTAACGTTGACCCTAATTTGTTGGCTGGTGAAGGCGGCAGTGCCGGCGCCGCTCCCGCCGCTCCCGCTGCTGAACTGGCTGCCCCCGCTGCTGAACTGGCTGCTCCTGCTGCTGAGTCCTCGGCTGCTGCTCCTCTGGAAGCTCCTTCTACGGAGACCGTGGCCCCTGCCGCTGAACAGACTCAAGCTCCTCCCCCTCAACAACAAGAAGCCCCCGCTCAGCAACAAGCCCCCGCTCAGCAACAAGCCCCCGCTCAACAGCGAGACGCTCCCACCCCGTCGAAGGACGCTCCTGTGCAACAACCCACCTTTGGCTCTACTCCTTTCAACGACGGTCAGGGCATCTTTGACATTACTCTGAGTCAATTGGTCTCGGCTTTGGTCCAAGGTGCTCAAAAGGCGTTGGATGATTCTGGGTTGTCGATCAGCGACCTCTTGCTGAAGGCCGCTGCCGCCGTCACTCAGCTTGCTGCGCAATACCAGCCTCTTGTTGAAGAATACTTCAAGGAACACCCCTTAAACGTCACAGCGGGCCTCTTGCCGGCCATCACTGTGGGTGGCCCCGTCTCTGCGGGCCTCTTGCCGGCCATCACTGTGGGTGGCCCCGTCTCTGTTGCTGGCGGTCAACCCACCGCTGCTCCTTCTGCGTCTGCTTGATCATAGCTGACGCCAATGATACCCCATATATCGTCTTCGGTTACATTTGAAGGTTTTCCTTTGAACTCTTGCAAAAGTAGTCTGGGTCTCTCCCATAGATTTCGGTATAATAAATTATGTTTCTTTACATTGATGATTCAAAAACTACATAAAAAACACACTAGCAAATTCTGCAACGGGAAATTAATAGTTTCCATCGGCAAAATAGCCAGGCACTAACGAGATGTGTTGCTGACGAGCCATGTGTTTTCAGAAAACGTATTCTGGTCGGGTACTTCCCGACTTGCAACTGAGAGAAATAGCATCGAAAACTCGATCATGTACTTTCAATTGTTCAAAATTTTACGGCATGCGTCATTAAGGTATCTTTATCACTTGAAACCATCAGTTTGTACAGCATTTTACGGGAGAATTAAGCTACAGACTCAAAAACAACCATATTGCTATAGACTGCTGATTGCCCTAATGAAACTCTAGCCAAAAATGACTTCGTGGCCCAGTGGTTAAGGCGTGCGACTGTTACTTCTTAAGGACATCGCAAGATCGGGAGTTCAATCCTCCCCGAGGTCGTTTATTTTTTCNGTTTTTTTTTTTTTTTTTTTTTTTTTTTGATTTACATAGCTAATTCCTAGTTTCGTTGTCATGTCATATTAATAATACATTGGTGTGTTTTGAACACCAGATTTTAAGTAAAGCGATTTGTCCCTAATAACAAGTTGATCTTTTCACGAATCAAATCTTCGTTATCTTCGAAGAATTGTGCGCGTCTAACAACATCCTCGTTGTAACCTTCGTCACTCTTAAGTGCTTTGAGCGTCTCCAGTTGCGTGCGCAACCACTGGTCAATAAACTGAGCCGGATCTTCGCTCAATTCTCTGTAGAAAACTTCACGAGTGTTGGCATTTTGCAAACCAACGATCGCCTGCGAGATTTTTTGGTTGAGTTGATCGATGGTGGCGTCAGCGTTGGTCAAATTTTCAAACGCTCTCTTGTTGAATTCGAGCACCTCTTGTTGCTGTTTGGACATGTTAAGCGGCAATTCAATGGGGATATCGATCACCACATCACCAAGAGTGGTCAGTTTGCGAGTGTTGACGGTGTATTCAACCATCATCGGTTGGCGAGGACGACAATGAGGTTGTAAGATCTTGTACAAGTCACCAAACTTGAATGCGTCGACACCCAACAACTTTTTAAGAACGGGATCGCATCTGACCACCGTCAATTGATCCTCTTCTTCATCAGGAACAATATCCAGCGAAACTACTGGCACTTTAGTCATGGCTTCAGTATTGCTGAAGAGACCCTTGTAGATCACGTATTGCCAAATGGTGTACATGAGCTCTTGCTGGGTGGCTTCTTGCATACCCACGAATTGAGCCAATTGCGGTGAAAGAGCGAACTTAGGCAACGGCGAGTGTTGCTTAACCAAAAGGGCGATCTTACACTCGACATCGTACATTCCTTGACGCTTGACGTCAATCCCATCAAACCCGGCGTTTTTGTCGCGGGGGTCTTCACGCCATTCAATGACATTTTGTTGAGAATTAGTCCATTGAGGGTAGTGTTCATTGGGGATCAAGTCGATGGAAATGGCCAGCAAAAACAGCGAAAACTTCACTTGGTCCACGGGGTAAGTAGTTGCCAGGTTGTCGGCAATGAATCGACCTTCAACTCGCAACGTCCACGTCGGTTCGCCTTGTTTAGAGTTCTTCTGCCATGGCTGGTGGTCACAGGTGTTGTAGACGAACACCCGCAAAATCCCGGTCTCCGAAGGGATGTTCAGAGGGTGTAACAGCTTTTGCTGGATCGCTTGGAAGTCCAACGCCTTGCGACTGATGAGTAAGTCAATCTCACGTTCGCGGTCCTTGAGTTGCTTATACAACGAGAGCGACGGCACTTTGTCGTAGAGATAAGGGGGGATGTTGAGGTCTGTAGGGGTGTACGACACTCCGGGCGTCGCTCCAACCGGTGGAGCCGGCGCCTTTTGTGCTTGGCTCGGTTGCAGCATCGTCGTTGACAGATTGGGGGGTGGGATGGAAAAGTTCGCGCGCGACCCGGTTCACTCGAGGGACGTGCCGTGGAAGTCGAGGAATGAATAGAAGTGGTCATGTTACATTTTCAAAGTGGTTAATTGTTTCGATGTTTAGTTCTATACTGGGCTCTGTTCAAAAGAGCGATTTATTCTTTTCATTTGAGTTTGAGGCGAGTCATGAAGTCACTAATTACAATATTCGTCAAGCATACTCTTGATTATAGGCTGGGGGTTCTTCATTCGAATGCATTCGAGATGAATTCATCATGAACAAAAGCTACTAACTTATTAATCACAAGTATCAGAAGTGGTGGGTGGTACATGCATCAACTGATCCCACACTAAACACACCGATGCAGGTAGGCAATAATAACTAGAATAGCGCAACTCAAGGAGGATTGGTTTTGAGAATTACAAATTGTTTCATTAAGCATTCAGTTTACCGATAGATCTACATACACCTTGGACTACTGGTGATGCCCTAAAATTACTCGAACGCGGTCTCACAACTTTTAGTAATTTTCGTTTACAATTGGAACTCCGAGAAAAGACGCCAGGCGTGCTATTATTCCCCTCCATAATCTGTTCTAGGGGTGTCAATTTGATGACAACTTTAGAGCCCACTCATAAATCCGACTTGCGCTCTTCGGTTAATTTGAAACACGCCAGGAACCAGTCGCGCATAAACACGCCAAGTTATACATAGTATATATATACACCTTCATTGCCACCAAAGTTCGATCGCTTATTTTGACTACCAGAGACACAATCTTTCCGACTCACCTGCCCCCACTACTCGGATACAATGGCGCCGTCGACCCCCTCTAGTCTGCGACCGTTCAGAAGGCGCGCGTATTATTCTACACCGCGCGCACCCTTACCACCAGACGACTCTCGCCTCCCCATGACCCGGTTTAGGGGAACCGCTGTCGGCGAAAAGCGATATAAGTACGCCGAGGATACTCGACGAGAGCTCGAGGCCACATGGAGCCTGCTACTGGCGCTGTTTGAGCGCGACGCCGACCTCGAAGCCGTCTACATTCTTGTGCTGCGATGGGACGAACTCCGCTACCAATACCACGCCCTCGAAACCGAGATCAACGAAAGCCATTACAAACTTAATCGGCAAGACCAAGTTTTGTTCGACACATTGGCTAAGCAGATAAAGGTCATCGAACGCAAAATACCCCACCAATTTCTTGCAGAGGCTAATTCGATAACGACTAAACTTCGACGAGATATCTACGAAAATGCTCGAGAGACCGCACGAATGTCTATACGATTACGAAAATCGCGATCTTTGTCACCCGTACCCTCAGCATCGTCGACATCTTCGGCATCGGTGCCGCTGTCTGCTGGCACCATATCTTCTGGTCCCAAGCTACCACCACCATCTATTCCCACTGAATCCGCCCCCCAGTTGTCCTCGATGTCCCCCAATTCTATAACATCAGCGTCGCTGGCGGCTCTGGTGGTTACAGCATCCACCGAAAGTCCCTCGATACCCCCACCGCCAGAAGCAGCTAATTCCGGTACAAGCCGAGCCAAGTCCGTCGAAGGACTGGCTAACAAGTCAATATCGCGGGCCGCCACCAAGTCTCCTACTAATTCTTCCCCACAAGCGGTTGCCAAATATGTTGTTGAAAATACTGTCAATCCAGTCGCTGAAACAGCCAATATAGATGCTAACAAGTCAATTGCGAAACCCGTTATCGAGGTTGTTGTTCCGCCTGCTTCGAAGCCATCAGGTAATGATGTTGCCCAAACAAGTGCGACGTCAGTCGCGAAACCAGCCGAGAAGGTGACTGTCCAGCCAACCACGAAGCCAGCTAGTAACAGAACTGCACAGCTCGCCGATAAGTCAGCTACCGAACCCGTGGTTCAACCTCCTGTGTCCAAGTCTACCGCCGAGTCCTCTGCAAAGCCTAGTGATCCACGAAGTACCCAACCCAATGCTCAGCTGAATGTCGCATCAGAAGCCAAGTCATCCCCTCAAGCAACACAACTGCTGAGATTTGAGCATAATGATACCGCTAATCCACTCAGACCTCGGTCAAGCTCACCTGAGTATTATGGACGATCGCTGACTCCACAAACTGGCGACATTCCCCCGAACCCAAACTCAAATGAACATCGAACGGTTGCTGCAAGCACTAGAGCAAGTGACTTTCACGAAGCAGTGGCAGATCGATATGCGGCTTCAAAAATGCCGGTGATACATAATCAGCAACAAACGCTGCAAACTGTGCCAAGGGTGAGGAGTCCGGCTCCATACCTCCCCCAATGGATGGGATTGACTCACTGGGGGACGGAAATGGTTGATGTATTGTTTCATGCCTACGTTAATGGGCACAGTGCTTATCAGCGCCAGAAAATTGCTCAGACAAATTTTGCACGATATGGAGTCAAAGTGGATGAGTTTGTGTTTCCTACATTTCTTTGGCGTCATTATGGCCTTATCCCGTGCTATGGGTTCAAAGGAGAGTCTTTTCGCGAAGCTCTTGATCGAGTGTATGCTGAGATCCCCTACGAGCCAGAGTGTGAGCGTGCTCGGATCAACGACGCTGTACAAATATGTCGCCAGCGCTATCTGAAGACTGTGAGTGAGATGGATGTGGGCGTCCTTTATCGCGATTTCTTGCTACGACTCTATGGTTCTCCTACTGAGCCGATAGGAAATCTCGATCACGCCAAGAAGCTTATTGAAAAATACCGTATAGTTGACGGCTCAGTACTTCGTCCTCCTCGGTCCCGAAAATTGCCGCATTTTAAGCGCAATTGGGCTGAGTCATTTGAGGAAGAGTGGGTCTTGGACGTCGATAATGGTCTCAATACAGGGGAGCTGGCCTTCAAAAGACCCCGCACGTCAGTTGCTTCGACGCGTTCCAACCCACCGCCACCACCACCGCCACCACCTCCACCACCTCCTCCCCCACCACCACTATCCGAAGAAGCCAGCAGTAATACTTCTATGGATATTGATGTATGTGAGCAACCTCCGGCGGAACCCGAACAGCAAGTGATAGAAACGCAGTCTCGGGAGGAGCCCCAACAACAGGTGATAGAGACGCAATCTCGGGAGGAACCCCAACAACAGGTGAGAGAAGAGCAATCTTCGGAGGACACCACGCAACGACAGCCCGTGGAGGAATCAAAAGAACTTGCAACAGAGTCCACCGTTGATATGGTCGAAATGAATCGCGTTGTGGTGGAATCCACACAATCAACAGTCAAGAAAGCTCTGGTGGGGTTTATCGTAGAGCACGCATCGGTGTCTTCTGATGAAGAGGATTCACAAGTCATGTCAGCACCGCCGCCCCCTGCTCAAGTTGCACCATCGTCGTCATTCCCCTATCCACATGTAGCGTCTACCCCGCGTGTTGAGGTGGAAGCTACGCAATCGTCGCTGCTTGATCTCCAGCTGTCACCAAACAAGATGCCGCAGGCGGCCCCACAATCTGTTCATAGCCCCAGTGTGAGCCACGATAACGAGACTACCACCACCAACCTTATTCTGTCCCAAGTGGCGGCGACAGACCCTCATGCTTCAGCCATTCTGAGAGCTAAAGCTCGCAAACCTGCCAACCTCTCTCGGCTTGAGCTACTTAACATCGAGCGAGAAGTGCTTATTAAAGCCAAAATGGGTGACTTTGACGGCTCACACGCATTGTATCGAGTCGATTCTTTCATTCATAATCGCTTCTCTAAAGAGTTGCTGTTCGATCAGATCAAAGAGATTGCCCAATCGTGTGGCATCACCATTGATGACAAACCTAAAACCTTTGTGATACTTGATAGCACATCTTCGGAGAATACGCCCGATTCTCTGATGATCGTTGTTAAAGCTGAGGAAGAAGATGCCTTTCCGGATGCTGCCATAGAAAAAAGTTCAGATCTCTTTGTTGCACAAGCAACGCAAGACTCTCCGCCAAATTCACAATCAACGCAACTCGCAATTGTCGATCCGGCGCAAGCACCTGTTCATGTCTCCACTTCGCAAGCGGATGATATTCACAACTTGCCTAGTATCGACGATCCCGCATTTGTCGAGCTTTTGCAACAAGCTAACGCGGTTATCCCGTCAATTGCAGATAACCGTGCGGGACAGATAGCCAACTTCATTCGCACTCAACTGGGGTGGAATTTTCCTGATCCCATCATTTCTGATATCTTGGATAATCTCGATGATAATGATGACGATGACGACGTCATCGAGATCGGGGACGCAAAATTGGTGGCATGGGATGACTCGAAGCTCTCGCTGCAAAATGAATCGATGGCAGTAGCGCCGTACGACTCGATGGCAGTAGCACGAGAGTATACTTTTCACGATAATTTGAACGAGTTTGCCGAGGCCAATGAAGAGCTTCTTGACAGTATGTGTCAAAACATACCTGACGACGTATACTGGCGCCCGAACATGGATCGAGTGTTGATATGTGTTACAGAATGGCATGCGTTGCTGGTGGATTTGCTGCCACTGCTGACGAGCCACATTGACTTGATTAGACAGTGCACAGGAGCACTTCTTGAAAATGGACTTATCACCTACTATAATACTGTGGAACAAAGATTACAGCAACTTATTGATTATCAGGCATTGACGCCGCGAGCGGTTGACCTTATTCGCCGTCTCTACCCTGACAAGAAACCGGAAATTTGAATGAGCTAGGAGACTTCATCCACCTCGCGAGCAGTTTCGTCATATATCTATTCATTAATACCGAAGACATTGTCGGTAACGTCGACATTTATAATACCACTTATACCAGCAATATCTATAATAACACTAATACCATCGATATTGTCGGCACATGTACGCCATTTCTCCCCAATCAGTATCGAGACTGATTTCAACATCTGTCAGCAATAGCTCACCTCCATCAGCTAAAAGTTGCCATAGAAGATTTCGTTCTTCCTCGAACTTCTCTCGCAATGGCACTTGAATCAAGAGCGTACCTCCAGACTTCAAAAATTGACGAATTGCGCCCACTACCCACTCTGGGTGATGCTTCGAATAGATGGGATCAGCCACTACCACCATCAGGTATTGTATATCGCCATGCTTTGCAATGAACGACGAGGGGTCCCGCCAGTCCAACGGATACACTTGAGCATTTGAATCGAGCTGATTGAGTTCAACATTACGCTGAAGATTCTCGCAAATTTCAGGAAGATCAGTAAGCATTACCCGAGCCCCCTTGGCAGCACACATCATACCCACCAATCCAGTGCCGGCACCAAGCTCAAGAATGTCCTCTGAAGGGAGGTCAATAGCGACTAAGCGTTTAGCGAGGATCAACAGCGACCCCCAGGTTTTAAGTCCGAGATTGTCACTGGTAAGGGCCGGTTCAAAAAGCTTAAACCGATACTCATCAGTAATAATTACCGTTCGAGTGATATCGGGAAGCGCAGTACGACCACAGTTCTCCAGAAGTCGCTTACTGGCCAATTGGCGAATATCGTCAGCATCATCCTCCTGAAGCCAATCAAGAGGACTAGACACAATCCTGGTCATGTAACCGTTGTAACCAGCACTATCCTGTTGTCGTAACTGATCACTGGCTTCCATGAGCGTGGTCATCTCCTTCTCCGTACCAAACCGGTTGTCATGAGCTGCCATCCATTGTAACCCTTCATTCCATTGCTGAGACTGCGACAATAACAACTTTGGCTCCACCACTGATTCATGTGAGTCTTCCCGAATGTCAATCACGTACTGGGGTGCCACTACCTCCAATAGTATCCTCAAGACACTTGCGGGTGGGTGTAAGTGCAACAGGGGAAAGTCGAGTATATGAACACCCACACTTTTATCGTCAATCACTTCAGACACATCATCAACATCAGTACTGATCTCCGGCAACTCAGCTTTGTCAGGTTCGTCGCGGGGTTTGACTGCCGTGAAGAGATCCAACGGATCAAACATCGCGCGATGCCTACCCGCTCACACTGGCGTTGGTGGACAGTTATAGTGGTGAGCGGTGTAACGTGTGTCATGAATTCGTATACGCATAGAGGATGATAATGATGATATAGCTACTTTTTAGAAGTCAGTAACGCGGCCGTTAAACAGCCAGTCGCCGTGGCGAATAGGGTCCTGCTTGGGACCACCGACTTCACCGGTCTTGGGGTTAACATCCCCTTCGAACTCAGGGATGGTGTGGTTATACATGAACGTGCCAATATCCAGCTTAGGCAACACGGGACCGCTGTCACTGGTTTCGCCCGTCACTTCAGCATTGTATTCTTCGATTGCTGCTTGCGACGCCGCAATCTTTTGGAGCCGTTCAAATTCTTCCTGTTGCTCCTTGGGCAAAGGAGGAGGGCCCGGCTTCTTGTCGAAACCAAAATTGGACGAGTAGGCTGCCCGCAATTGGGGTAACGCCCGTACCAGCGTCGATCTCACGGCTTTAAGCATTAGCGTCATGATATGGAGCTACTTGATAAATCATTTTTTCGTGGCGGGTGCAAAATGCGACTCCGACCTCGGAGCGAAAACACAGACCGGTAACTCAAGAGTTGGTGCGATCGAGCACGCCTTCGAAGACCCGCGTGAGCTCAATGTCCAACACTTGACGCAAGCTGGCGTAGGTCTCATCCTCAACAAACACCAACTTCTCCATAAACGGACCTAATTGCGCCGCCACCACCATCCGCACCCGATTTACTAACGGCACCAACCGAACGAGCTCGGTCCGGCTCATTTGATGGCGTTTCTGCTGGGGCCCATCGTAGCCATCGATAAAAATCGACAAGTACACGTCTAGACTCTGGAAGAAAGTGAAATACTTTAGCATTTGCGTCAACACGGAAGCAGGAAGAGCGCGGCTGACATCAACGGTGCCAAAAGGGCGACGGAAATGGGCTAAGATATCTTCAAAAAGCCCTAATATGCGAATAAAGTAGTCTTGTTGACCGAATAGCCGGTTGCGCTGAGTAACGGTGGTCCAAATTGACGCTATAATTGGATTAAATCCGTCAATCATTTCGAAAACACTGCACTCGAGCTCACCGGCCTGACTCTTAATAAATCGCCGCTGCACCGCTAAAATCTGGGCGTCGATATCCATAATGAACTGCGACACCTGCCCGCCACTGAGTACCACCGGCTCAGTGACAAACTGCAGCTTGGCATGGTCAATTGCCAACTCGGTCAGGGTGGTGAACGTGTCTACCAATTGCGACACACCCGTCGATGGTGGTTCCTCGGTGTCGCTAGCATCGTAGAGTTCGGGATTGAGATCAAGATCGTCGTCGAAGTCCTGAGGGAAGTCAGGAATGTTGCCGTCAGGCGGCGGGTGTTCGGGGGTTGCTGGGCTGTCCATGGTGGGCATATGGTGCGACCACAGAATGATGGGTTATAGCGCAGTGGGAAATGAAACAATCACGCGGTTAGAAAGTACTTGTGGATTGGAATCTCATGTCGTAATAAAGCTTTGTCGATTGAGTTGTAGATGAACGTGGACCGATAGTAGTTTTACGAGATATCTTACTTTATTTGATATTGTCTACGACACTAAATGTGGGTCGATTTGTCAGGATGCTGAATAATCAGAAGCGTACTCTTTACGTAACACAAAGGAGCTCGCCGTGTCTTTTTTGCGTCAAACAATGGAGAACCGAAAAAACGATTTTCGGTTAGTACACGCTACTTTTACTGCTTTTGGTACAGACACGCAAATTTGATACGTAAAGAGCGAAAGTGACAGTATAACAGACGTTAATAGAGCTTCAAATTCACTACAATTGTTGCCAATTCGATTATGCACGTCTCTATATCGATAATATACAATTTGCCGAACTAAAATCAATCACGTCGGCACTTCATTATGTTGCAACACTGGCAACAAGTGGCTCAAGTAACGATGGAGATTGCTCAACAGCGAGTACACTCCACACGTGTATGGTAGTGAGGTTACTTTCTCATCGGCGTCACCAGCAGAGCCATTTTTCCCCTTGTCATGTCCTAATACCTCACTCAAATAGTGTACAAACAGCAGCAACTCTTCCAGGTTCAGCGCCACCTCGTACCACTCAGTGTGTTCGTCCAGATCCACCACCGTCAGCGCCACTTCATTACCATTGGCGTCAAACTCAAGCCCATCGTTAGTGTAAGCTCGGTTCAACATTTTGTGGACGTCCTGAACATATAATTTGAACGCCACACCCCGACGACGACGTGTTTGCGGCCCACTGGATTCGGGGTTTTCCCACACCTTGCGCATAGTGTCCATCGAGGCTAAGCCTCCAGTGTTGGGATCAAGCATACCACTGATGTAGAAGCGACCAATAAACGCCCCACCATCACCAGCAAACCCTTCCACGAGCCGCAATCGTAACCCGTGATCGAGGGGATTCAGGGTAGGGTCGACGTACTTTTCCGCCTCTTCTGCTTTCCGCCGATTGAGCTTAACTTCAGCTTCCTTCTTCATCTCTTCACAATTTTGCGGACCTAGCAACACGATACGAGCGGCGTATAAAGTATCCTTGTCCCCCAGCATTTCGAATGTCTGGTATTCGGAGTTGATGATTGATCTGATTTGGTCCAGTTGCGCCATGGCCCAGTGTACCAAAGTTCTCAACATGATGAGCCGGTCTTCGGGCAGAAGCATCGCCAACCCTTCCTGCTCAAACTCAGGGTCGTCAAACGGGTTATACTCGATGTAGTGGCGGTAAAGATTGGGCGATTGTAACGGAATCAAGTCGGGACGACTCTCGTCCACAAGGTCATTGAGCGCCAACGGTTGATTGAAGCCGTTGTCGTCGACCTCGACCAGTTTACCTTCATGGTCAACTTTCACCACCACCGTACGCTTCCACTCTTTGGCAAGCCCCAAAGTCACCGACTGCGGCCGGAGCTCCATGATTGCCAGTGCCTGCGACACCACTTCCTTCTTACGGTTGAGTACCAACGCCAACAACTTGAGGAACACCAGTTGCATGTCAGGGCTGACAAACAGCGCCGTAAACTTCAGCTGACGCGAAGGTCTGGAGGTGAGACCAAGTCCCTTTTCGAACAGTTGCGGACTGAGTCCGTCGATGCCAATGATATCCCGAAACTTATTGAGGAACTCAAGGATGTAGACAATGTCCGCGGCGTATTTCGCTGGTGTCACAGTGAACCCACCGGCAATTTGTTTGGTCACAGCGTCAAGCCCTTCTCCTGTCACCAGCGGTTTGTTGATGAAGTTATCATCGTATAAGTCGTAGTGGACACCAGTGACGGGACCGGGGAGCTGGCGACAAAGCTTATTCTCCACTCTCGGGGTCAACCCGGTGCGAGACACGCTGCCAAAGCTAAGGGGAGTGGGAGGGGCGGGAGTGACGCGAAATTTCGTCTCCAGCGGCGCCAGTGAGGGAGGGGAAGTCTCTTCCCGTTTGATCACAGCTTCAGCTTCAGTGGGTACGCCTTTAGTAGGGGCTTCAGCGGTGGGTTCGGCTTTGACGGCCACTTTTTCCGCCAGTTTCGTAGTCAGTTTCGTTGTCAGCTTTGTAGATTTCGACGGGGTTTTCACCGCCAGTTTTGTAGGTGTTTTCAGCACCGGCTTTTCCACCGGTGCCGGAGCTGCTTCAAGCTCCTGAGCAGCCGCATTATTCGCTTGAGCCTCTCTAGCCTTTTGGCTGAGTCTGGTGGTGCGCCGAGGCCGCTTGGTTTCGGCAATTTCCACCAGTCCACTGCCCACATCCAACTGCGACTGAGCCATCCGTTTACGAGGAGTGGTGGTGGTAGATTTGACTGAATTCAGCTTATCAGATACTTGTAACCCCGATGAAACGTCGAGGGGTCCCAGTTCGTCGTCGGCTGGTTTCAGCGCCGCCCCCGGCTCCTTTTCCAGCTTGGTGGGGCCTTCATGGCCAACGAGGTGGCGCCGAGGGCGTCCTAGCCGCTGGACTTTTTGCCCCGGCTGATATTCGACCACTTTCACGGTGCTCACTTGGAAATCAGGGAGCTCATGGCCGTTGGTGTCGCCCTGAGGGGGCAGGGTGGGTGTGTAGTGTTGGAGCTTGAACTCCGACAGCGGCGAGTAGTCGGCTTCCGCGGGTGGTATTCTCAGCGGCGACCGACCGTCGAGTTCGGGCGAGGGGCCCGATGTGGTTAGCGGCGGGTGATCTTCCGGCGACGCCATATTTGCAATGGGAGATGGGGTGCACTCTCCTTGAGTTTGCGTTTGTATGAGGGGCGCGGGGCTCACAACACAGATCACCATCACAAACACAATTCGGAATATCCTGATAAAACGGTGGTCAGCAGATTGAATGAAATTAGCTTCTTCTTCGAGATATCTACGTAATTGTATTTCCCCCAGAATTTATACGGTTCGTCGGGGGGTGTGCTACATCTCGTGGTGCTCTTAAGCATACCTGATCGTCAACACGAGACGATGAAATCTCACTGTCACGATGTGTCAATCTCTATGCCCGTGAAGTGTTGGCCATGTTTCACGTGTAAATCTATCAATGACAGTTAGCCGCTACTAGCTACTCGAAACCTATTAAATTTCCGTAACGTTATTCCTCATCGTCAATTCTCATCTACAGTATACGAATGTCGTCTTGAAGTGGGCCGACTCAATCAGGAAAAATTGTCGCGAAGACAAAGCTGGTTTGCGATTCTGTTATTGGTCGACAAAGCCCGTAGCTTCGAATGGACGCAAAGCCAGGTTCTACATCAAATAGCATTCGTCTAGATGGTCCCAGCAAAATGCCGGGCCGATTTTTGGGTATCTAGATCAATCTAATCATTTCAGAAAAAACAAACTATATACTCATACTTACGATCAGCGACTGTCTTGGCTATATACTAATTCGAGGATTCCCTAGACGCTGGTGGACTCCTCGACTAATCTTTTGATGTCGAAGTTCTCGTCGCCGGCGGTGAACAGGCGCAACAACTGCAACTTGGCCTCGTCATCGCCCAGGTAGAATCTCTGGATGTTGAGCACGGTCAAGTGGGCCTCGTCCATCGACACCAGCGAGTCCTTATCGACGTGACCGTTCATAAGCACCACGCCAAGCTCAGGCATAAGCTCCTGGTGGAACTCCAACGTGGTGTGGGGTTTAGCGTACTCCTTGTGCAATTTGTATTCCGCCACCGTCGTCACCATGCAATGAGTGGTCTGAGGACCAGGGAACGACCACTGGACAAAGTTCATCTCGTAGCCATCCTCACCCTTAGGCACAGGGAGGATAAAGCTGGGGTTTTTAAACGCATTAGCGTACATCTTCATAAACAGCTCAGCTTTCACCACCGCATGCAAACTGCGGTCGTTACTAGACCAACGAGCTCTCCAGATCGCCTCAACATCATCTAACGGTAATCCCTTAACTTTGGCAGCGTCGATGTACAGATCAAGCGTTTTATACGGCAACTTGGGGGCGTCGGGATCGACGGCACCCCGGTCCTTGGTGATTCTCTGGCGGTCCTGGTCGTATTCCTGTTGCTGTTGACGCTCAAACTCCTCTAATTCTTTTAAAGGGTCGACGTGGTTCATCTGTTTCTTCTTCTCCTCGATCTCATCCTTCAAGTGTTGCTTCAACTCTTCGACGTCTTTGAGGCCTAATTGCTTAGCTTTCTCGGCCAACTTGGCTTCGTACTTGGCGGCAAGCGACGAATTGAGCCGGAGATAGTGGCGTGCCGGCGCCCACACCCGGGGCTGGCGGAGGATCAGGCGGAACATGGGTATCAACTTTTCGTAGCCGCGCTCGTCGCCGCAAAGATGGTAACACCAAGACAAGAAGGACTACTAGATTAAATTCCATTATAAAGTTATATCAGTGAATTTGCTCTGATCCGCATCTATCTAGTGTTCACTTGAGACCGAAATTTTCTCGTCCTCATTTAATCTTATAAACATATTTGGTAAATATGAGTTCATATCGTCGTATTCTAAAGGTGTCTACTTATCTTTAGCAGGAGGAAGTTCGTGGTTAGACTCTTCAGCATCCTGGTACTCTTCAGGAGCATCCTTAGCGTAGCGACCAAGAGTGCCTCTCATATCCTCAGGGATATCTTCAAATACCAAGTCCCCCAAACCTCCCACATTCTCACCCTTATCCTGCAAATACTTTTGCAAGTCAAACTTATTATCTTTGAAGATCCCCAAGTGATCAGCAATCAAGTGGTGGGCGTGGCACCCGGGACACTCAATCATCACTGATCCAGTGAGGTACGCTTGTTTGGAAAATAAGTGTGACGAGCGGTTATTGCACTTTTTGCAGGTAAAGGCAATCATGAGCTGAGGCTTCTCTCCCTGGATCAGCGCCGTGGTGCCCAGCTGGAACCGTTGGCTGAGCACAGGGCGCCACTGATGGCGTCTAGTGAGGGCCACCGGCACTGTACGGACAGCTGACACTCTCAGCATACGAGCACCAGCAACAAGCAAGGATCTGAAACCAGTGGATAACATTGGTAGTAGGGTATTGATTTAATAGAATTGGCGACGGCAATGATACTGCTAGACAACGGGATGAGTGGAGACCAGCGCGCCTAACCAGCGAACCTCATCCTCAAGCTTAAGGGTCCAGTGATACCTACGACCCACCACCAAAAAAACTCCCGACAACAATGTCGGCGATCAAGCAGGCTTTGGCGGAAGCCCTGCGACTATACGTGAAGGAGGTGGGCAAGCGGAAGGCAGGCTCCTACGCTGAATACGCTATGGGCGTCCGAGAACTGGCGGGCCATCAACACTGGCTTCGGAACCAATTACTCAGTGGGAAAGGGTACGCTGACGCTAGTGATCCCATCACCAAACCATATATGGATCTACTATTTGGCACCCCTTTAAACGGGATAGAACGAGCAAAACCCGCTCGCCGACGCCAGGACCCCATCCACTCGCAATACAGTGCCAACCTCCTCACCTACCTTGACCAGTTCCCCCAACCCGAAACCGCTCAAGTTTATCATAATCCGCATCCTATGACCCTCATTATTCGCCAGCGACATCGGCTATTCAGTGAACACCTGCTTGACCAGCTAGACGTGGGGCTAGCGCTGTTGGCATCTCAGATTAGTCGGTTTGCTGATGGGTGTACCATGTACGAAGAGAATAATCTTCGTCAGCTACGGAACCTGATTCGGAAACAGTACGATGACCCTAAACAAGCTGAAGCCGATGCCATGACTCAGCTCATTCGCCTTGAACCTCGGTTTTTCCGGAAAGTAGCAGACAGTGACGGCACTTCCGACACCCGGGAGCTGCCGGAACAATTCGTGCGATACCTCAAAGCTAACCGCCAAATATACCATCAGCTTGACTATAAGCCGCTTCCTGATACCCTTCCTTATAATCTTTCATTTAGTCGTTGGCATATGATTGATGTTCAACACTTTAACTTTGACATTGCTGGGCTTATCACTGTACTCGGCGACCCCGAATGGTACCCGGAATTTGCTGTCTGTGGCGTAAGAGTGCTGACCACTCATAACGACACGGCGAAGTTCTTTGCCGAGGAGTTAACGTCAGTGCCTGATCTGGCACTGTCGTATGAGCGATTGCTCAGCCAAGTGAGTCCACGACTGCCAGTGGGGCAAGCGATGAAGATGTTTGGGGCGATGAGTCTCACCGAGGTGTCGATGGGACCTCAGTGTGTCTACTTGACGTTCCCGCCGGGGATCCGAGTCCTGTTGAAGGAGGAACGGGAAAAATCTGTACATAACTTTGCATTATTATGAAGCATCCCCCTTCTACTATTTTTATGGAGGGACGAGAGTGGCATGGGCCAACCGCGGGTATTGGGTGGTGTCAAACCAGTGAGGACAGTTCCCCTGATATGTGACCAGCACAAGTTCGGGGGCGTCGACGATGAACCGATCGTTTTTCAACCGCATGTTGAGCCAGTGGAGATTAGGACACGAAATACACAACTCGACAAACGACACGAAATTGCCGCCTTCAATGGTGAGCGAGTGTAGCGTGCACAGGGCGATGGTGATTTTCCCGTTCACCGAACTGCGGCGGTGGGAGCTTTGTGCGTAGTTTATGGCAAACTTTTTGATTTGTGACGGCACCCCTTCAACGACGATAGAGTCAGTGTAAAGCAGCAATTCCTCAACCTGAGGGGGAAGAGCCATGTCCTCAGTAACTTTCTCTTGCGTGGCAATGGCTAACTTGCGGAGCAGTGGTAACAACTTGACGTCAGGCATGATGTATTCCGGAGCTTCAAGCACCGTAAGCTGAGCCATTTGTTGGTGGGTAAACACCAGCGACAATTCGAGAAACCCGAGATAGAACCCTTTTTCGATCGTTACTCGTTCGAGCTTGGGACACTCGATGTCAATTAACGAGATCTTTGCTGGAGGTGGTGAATTAATCACCCATTCCTCAACATTATCGAGGCATTTCACTTTAGGCACCACCTCGGTGTGGAGGTATTTGAACTGGTGCCAAGGGATGTCGGTGACGGCATCTGGTTCGTGGTTATACCGAGTGTGGTCCAAGTACATCCAGTCAAATGAAGTGCGTAGCCGCGTAACGTGAGGAGGAATGGCTAGCCGTTGATGGCGACGGTTCTCACAGTGGATGAAAAGCTCTTCAAGTTGAGTAAACTCGTGGAATTTATCCGCTCCGTGCACTTCACCATTGATCAAATGGAGTTTAGCCAAAGTGCGAGGAAGCCGCTCCACTTCCACCACCGCATCGGTAAACGTCAACAGGTGGATCTGGCCGTGGTACCGAGATAAGTCGGCCACCTGCCAGAACGGTCGACCCATAATACCAAACTCTTCGTCATGGTACACTAAAGATAAGTGTCGAGGCTTCACTCGGTTAAGCTCATCAGCAGTAGCAAGCCACGACAGCGGCAGGATCCTGACCTGAGCTTCACAAGGAGGTAGCTGGCTCAACGTGTCGAAGTCGATGCTATCGCTGGCGACGTCGTGTGACACCTGGATCGGGGTCCGGCAAATGATGGCGCCGGCGGGGACGGTGAACTGGTGGCCGGGGAACGCCGCGTATAACCGGCACACCAGCGGCACGTCGAGACTGGAGTAGATCCAGTCGAGGAGCTCGTAAGGGAGCGTTTGCATCGTGGTTTTGGAGGGTAGGTGGGCGGCGAATATCACACCATGTGGGGGTGTGTAGCGCACGGGCGCCGACATAAAAGTACGGGGCGGGCCAACGAGCGGAGTTTCGAGCCACGACACACGTGATACTGCTACTCCAGTCACCCTACAGAGTAGTGGTGGCGCAAAACGCCGCCACCGGTCGCTGGTCAGGCTGTGCTGACCTGGACACGAGGCCTTTAGTCATACACGTGGGTGGGGATATAGTGAGTCGCGAGTTTCAGCCGCACCGATATCACCACGGGAGCTCGTATTAGATACTACGTATGTTGAGCAAGTTTTGGAGCCAGGACTTTGTGGAGCAATCGACTCGTCAAATATTCATAATTTTCTGATTGTTTTTAGTATCATTGCTGGGGCAGTGTCACCCTGTGTCTAAAATATGAGCCCCGGCAGTTACCTCATTCTACGTGGGGAATTTGCTTAAGTAACTGCTTAAGCAATGGCAAACNCTCTAATTTTTTTTTTTTTTTTTGTCTTACTCTACCCCCTGGTCGGCAAACATTCACCGTGCGGCTCGCATCCTGCAGACACTTTCGGCCACCAAACCGTACCAACCACGGCTAACAATCTCGGTACCTGCTACCCTATTTACCTCACTGATCCACGCCAATTCTTTTCTTGAAACATACTGATTGATAATTCATGGTCATGATAAACGGAATGCGGGTACGCCCCGAGAGGATCGCGCTATTGGTGGCGTCAATTGTCCTTCTTGTCTATGTAATGGCAACAAGGCAGCAGGCGTCGCTGGGCCTGTCGTCGTCATCGTCGCCGCAAAGCAAATTGTCTAAACTAGCGGGTAAATGTCCTGACTATGTCGAGTACTCAAAATACCCTCATAAGCCGATTGAGCCGGGGGACTACAACTACCCGTTTATGAGACCGCCGCCTAAATGCCGGACATTTTCCAGTCCAGCAGTGGAACGGGTGATTGAGGATTTGAAAGCGAAAGTGCTGTCACCTGATTTGGGTCGGCTCATAGAGAATTGCTTGCCTAACACGTTGGACACGACGATTTTGTGGCACACTGATAAAAGCGCCCAGGACGGCTCACCTCACACGTTTGTAGTTACAGGCGACATCCATGCTGAATGGCTCCGTGACGCCGCTCGTCAATTGGCAGTGTACCAGCCGTTTGTCAAGCACGATCCCAAATTGGCGCGGCTCATGGTGGGGGCGATTCACACCCAGGCGTTCTACATCAACGTCAGCCCTTACTGCAATGCCTTCCACCCGCCTCCTGGTAGTGGTATCCACAAAGGTAATACCGCTAAGGATAACGTATTCCCCCCTCCCAACTGGAATCAGGTGTTTGAGTGTAAGTATGAGATTGACTCGTTGGCGAGTTTCTTAACTCTCAGCAACGACTACTACGAAAACCTGGGAGGCGACACTCTGTTTATGGACCCCCTGTGGTGGCAAGCATTTGAGAAAGTGTTAGTGGTGATCAAGCGGGAAAGCGTACCCCTGTTTGATGAAGAAAGCGGACGGGCACTTAAACACTACTACTCGTTCAAGCGGTGGACCGATATCGGCCTGGAGACGCTCCCCTTAGGTGGTGTGGGTAACCCAGTGAACTTTGGTACTGGTCTCGTGCGGCTGGCGTTCCGCCCCTCCGACGACGCTACCATCCTTCACTTTTTCATCCCCGGTAACATCCACGCCGTAACTGAACTTAAGCGGACCCGCAAGAACTTGTTGAAACAAGAGAATTTAGGAGCAGCTAAGTCTGATTTTGCCACCATCAAGAGAGTTGTGGACGAATTAATCAAAAACATTAACGATGGTCTTAACACTTACGGCATCATCGATCACCCTGTCTACGGAAAGGTGTATGCATACGAGGTTGACGGTTATGGAGGAGCCGTATTCATGGATGACGCCAACATCCCTTCGCTTTTGGCTATGCCCGACATGGGGTTCGTTCCCGTCGACGATCCCGTGTACCAAAATACCCGGAGAATGATCCTTCGTAAAGAAGGGAACCCATACTATCTTACGGGAGCATTCTTTGAAGGTATTGGTGGACCCCACGTCGGCATTCAGAACGCATGGCCGATGTCGTTATTAGTGAAAATTCGTACTTCTCAGGACGACAAGGAAATTTCTGAGGCTCTTGAGTTGGTGATGAAACTGACGGCAGGGCTTGGGTTGATGCATGAAACGGTGAACGTCAACTCCCCTGGTGGGAGAGACTACACCCGGCTGTGGTTCGCTTGGTGCAACTCCGAGTTTGGCAAGACTATCCTCTGGTTGGCCAAGCACAAGCCTCATTTGATTTTCAAGGATGGGGTCGGATCGTACGATATCGACAAGGCGTTGCGGTTGGTCAACCAGGCGAATGACGTCGCATAGAGTGGTATACATGCTACATAGGTACAATCTTTACATTTCAATATGATACACAGAAGTCCCATTTGTTGCTACAACCACTATAAACGGAAGTAAATGTACAAAAGACACATTGTATAATCTCCATAATCGATTAGATTTCGTGAAATAAAAATTATGTCTTGATATAAAAAGAAACTCCGGTACAGGGAATCGAACCCTGATTTGCTCGGTGAAAGCGAACCGTGATAGCCATTACACCATACCGGACTTGTTGGAGTAAAATAGTCAAATGTCCCAACAGTGATACACTACAAAATGCAAATTTGTCCTATTTGGTCAACGTGTCATGTTTACGCCAAAAAGTTTAGTTCGTTATTATGGAAAAGTATAGAAATAGTATACAAGTGCGTTTTTATCATGATCACGTGTAAATTAACTATGAAATTCAGTCTCCTACTGCTGGGTTTGCAGAATATACTTGGCAATGTTCTCAGCGGTTGTCAGCGATGCCGTCTTGGCAGTGGCCTCAAATGCGTCTTGGTAGCGCTGTTGCAATGCTGCGTCGTCCTTAAGCTCACTCATACGATCTTCAGGGAAGTTGTATACACGACCAATCTCATCGTCATCGCGGAGAACTTCACCCTGAGTGTCGTCATCATCGTTATCAGAGACAACATCCGCATCCGCATCGGTGTTGCCAATGTCCATGTCCTTCATGAGCTTATTCAAGTTCTTAGCTTGGCGCTTCTTCTCATCGTCCTCCTTCTTCTTAAGGATACGCTCACGTTCCGCCTTGTAGTAAGTGTTGTATTCTTCGACCTTGTTGTCAACCGCTTTGAGGAAGTCATCGAAACCGGAACCAGTGTACGAAGACACCCCAACAACATCAAGTTGACAGTAGAATTCCTCAAGCATGAGGGACATCGAGTTGATGAGCGACATCATGTAGCCGCTCCCGTCACCGTTTTCGTCACGGTCATTGATTAAAGCTTGTTGAAAAGCTTCGAAATCCGTCATCCATTCCTTAGCGAAATCCGCCAGTTGGACATCGGTCTTGTTGAATACCACAATCATGGGAAGTTTCGTCTTGTAAAGGATGGAACAGGCATACAACATGTTCAGCATGAAAGTGGTGGGATTAGTGTTTCTGGGAGTATCGACGACATAAGCAATCACAGTGGGGAAGGTCAGAGCGAACGCCTCAGTGATGATTGCCCCCAGCGCCAGCCACACAAAACATTCAATCTGCCCCGGAGTATCAATAATAATATTACCAATCTTCGAGTCCGGGTTCAGTGTCCGCTTATCCACCAAGTTGATCACCTGGTCGATCTTGGTCAGGAAGAGGTTAAGCGAGGTGACAATGGCCCCGTTGGGACCGAGATTGTACTCTTCCATGACCTTTTTGTATTTTACGGAGTCACGGATATCGATATTGGCACCGAAGGGAACCTTAAGCACCGCGGGATCAAGGTTGATCACGTAGGGGGGCGTGCTCTTTTGGTGGAGGGTCAGGTTAAGCCGTTGCATGAACGTCGTCTTACCACTGCCGGCCATGCCGATACAGATGACGACGGGGGTCTTGTTTTCCGAGACGATCGTCAGCGTCTCATTGGCTTTGGCGTCAGAGGTGTCGGCCTTCGGTGGCGCCACTGGTTGCTGAGATGAGGGTTGGTCGGACATGGCGGGTGCGATGTGCCAAAGCCGCACTGGTAACCCCGATGGCAATACCAGGCAACTTAGGGGTAGAGACGAATATAAAAATACAGGGAAACTACGAATCTACAGATCTATCGTTTAGCAAATGAAGATAGCTACCATAACATCAATTTGTTTGACTGTAGGAGAATTAGTCGAAAGTCGAATTGAGAGATGTGCTGACAAATCCGCGGCTGGAGGACCATCTAGGCCACTGTTACTTATAATGTCATACCCTCAAATACCTTGTCTCGCTTACTTATACTACTTGAGTCACAACAGAGTTACCAAATATTGGTTATCATCAACTAGATGGCTTAGTTGTAGACAATTGTCTCGAACGCATTGATCAACAACTGCTTACTTTACTTCCAAAACTTGTTTTGAAAAACGTTTACAACATCAATTTATATCGTAGAAACCATCATATATCACTCGTTCAGTCGGAATTCCACTCTAACCCGAACGATCCCCTCTAACCGCATTACCCCTCGTCGCCACCCCCACCAGGTCGCGTGAACTCTCCGAAAAAAGATCGGAGTTTTCCAGAGGACATTCCACCGACGATGCTTCGTGCCCGATTGTTGAGGAGCCCCCGGCTCCGCCTGCTAGCGACCCTGGCGGCCCCTGACACCTACGCCATCGGCCAGGCCGTCAACGGGTTCACGGTCAGCCAGGTGCGCCACATCCCCGAGTACTCGGTGACCGCGGTGCAACTCCATCACGACGCTAGCGGCGCCGAACACTTGCACTTGGCGCTGGCACTGGACACCAACAACGTGTTTCTGATTGGGTTCAAGACTAACCCGCCCGACTGCACGGGGGTGCCCCATATCTTGGAACACACGACGTTATGTGGGCTGAAAACCTACCCCGTCCGCGACCCGTTCTTCAAGATGACCAACCGGTCGTTGGCCAATTTCATGAACGCCATGACTGGCCACGACTACACCTTCTACCCGTTTGCTACCACCAACCCTAAGGACTTCGCCAACCTCATGGACGTGTACCTTTCGCTGGTGTTTGAGCCATTATTGGCAGAACAGGACTTCCTCCAAGAAGGGTGGCGGCTTGAGTACGAGGATATCCACAATCGCGACCTGGACTTGGTATACAAGGGGGTGGTGTACAACGAGATGAAGGGGCAGAACCTGAACTCGCTGTACTACTTCTACGTCAAGTACTTGGAAGCGATCTACCCGGCTCTCCACAACTCCGGTGGTGACCCTCAAGTGATGACTAACCTCAAATACGAAGACTTGGTCGACTTCCACCACCGCAACTACCACCCTTCTAACGCAAAGACCTTCACTTACGGTAACATGCCGTTGCTGGCTCACCTTGGCCGCTTAGACGCCTACCTTGCCAAATTCAACCTGAGTCAACGGGCGGCCGACGCTACCCCGAAACCTTACGTCGAGAACTTTGACCAAACCGTCACCGTCCCTGGTCCTATCGATACTATGTGTGGTAAACCTAACGATCAGCAATACAAGGCGCTGGTTACTTATAAGTTATTGCCTGATGCGCTTGACGAAAGCCAACGTCATACCATTTTCAAGTGGAAGGTGCTCGGGCTGTTACTTTGCGACGGCCACAACGCTCCCTTCTACCAAGAATTTATTGAGAAGGGCTATGGTAGCGATTACAGTGCTAATACTGGCGTCGACATCACCACCAAGTTGTTCTCGTTCACCATGGGGCTCAACAACTTGAGTAAAGCCGAAGTTGACGAACTTCCCAACAAAATTACTCAGGTGGTTACCAATGTCGTTCTTCCGGCATTCAAGAATAACGACCAAGGCTACTGCGACCGAATTGAGGGTATTCTTCTGCAAATCGAGCTTAATTTCAAAAAGCATAAGCCTGAGTTTGGCTTGGGTCTCTTATCGGCACTTATTCCCAACTGGCTCAATGGTGTCGACCCTATCGATGCTCTCAGTGTTGAGGAAACATTATCGCATTTCAAACTGGAGTGGAAGGCCAAGGGGCTTGCGTTATTCACCGAACTTCTTGAAGAAAACGTGTTGGCTTCCGATCTCCCCAAGTTCACTTTCATCATGACTCCTGAAGAACTGTTTGGCACCACCTTGCAAGAACAGGAGCAACAATCGCTTAAGAGCCGTGTCGAGCAGCTCACTGATAAACAAACCGACGAAATTTATGAGCGTGGGCTTGAGCTTGCGGAAGTACAAAGCCAAGCACAAAACACCGACGTGCTCCCCACGTTGACGTTGGCTGACATTCCTGAACGCGGTGAGTTCTACCCTGTTTCTGAAACTGCCGTCGACGAAACTACCGTGTGTACTCGTGAGGTGGACACTAATGGATTGGCGTATGTGGGGGCAGTTAAGGACATCCTGTTCCTTCCATCCAAGTACTTCAAGTGGTTGCCTTTGTACTCGCAATGTTTGCTTAACCTTGCCGGTACTACTCTGACCCCCATCACTGAGTTGGAAACCAAGATCCAGCAACTTACTGGTGGCGTGCTGTTCGGGGCTCGCATTCACAACAACCCCAACGACATCATGGCGCTGGGCCTTCAATGGTCGGTGACGGGGATGGCCCTCAACGAGAAGGCCCCTCATGTGTTTGACTTCTGGCATGACATTCTCACCAACACCAAGTTCAACCCTAAAGATGAAGATGTGTTGGCTAAGTTGGATACTCTCATCCGCAACATGGCGCAAAATCAGATGAACACCATCGCTGATCGCGGCCACTCTTTCGCTCTGGGTTACTCTCTGAGTCAATTGACTCCTCAGAAGTACCTTGCTAACGTGACCACTGGTCTCGAACAGGTTGAATTCATCATGGAGCTTAACCGTCAACTTGATGAGCGTGGTCGCGAGTACTTGCTGCTGGAAGTGTTGCCTACGTTACAGGAACTTTCCGAAATCATCAACAACACCAACCCCTTCCGCTACCGAGTGGTGGGTGATGCTCTGATCCTCAAATCCACTGAACCGTTAATCGCCAAATTCGACCTGCAAATGGCCGCCTCCTACACCAATGCTGCCAATGCTGTCGGTGAAAGCTTCCACGCTGGGGCCACTAATACCCTCATCAATATGCCTTACCAAGTCGGCTACGCCCTGTTGGCGACGGTGGGTAAGGAGTACACCTCAGCTGATGGTGCTGCCCTCCAAGTGTTGTCTCAATTGTTGACGTTCAAGCATCTTCATAACGTTATTCGTGAATCCAACGGTGCTTACGGTGGTGGTATGACTTACGACGGTCTCGGGGGTATCATCAACTTCTACTCGTACCGGGACCCCAACGCCATGAAGCTGGTGGAAGCGTTCGAGGACTCATTCGGCTACATTCTCGACCACCCCGTACTGGCGGCCGATCTTCAAGAAGCCAAGCTCCGCATCTTCCAGCTGGTGGACGCTCCGATGAACATTGCTTCGCAAGGGCTGCTGGAGTTCTACGATGGCATCACCGATGACATGCGCCAACAACGCCGTCACAACTTCTTGGCTGTCAATGGTGACGATCTCGCTCGTGTGACGGAGAAATACTTGGTGAAGAGCAAGGCTCCCATTGCCCGTACCATCATTGGTGACAAGGAACTTGTGCCTGTACCTGACCTGTGGAAGGTGGAGCAATTGGGTTCCGCTTAATGTAAATAGTAAAAAAGACTTATGGGTATACCAACCCGTATAAATAGAAAAGTTTAATGATATTAAGTTTACGACGATGATAAAGGGAAACACCTTTCAAAGTAGATAAAACCCTTTGAATTGTGTTGATCATTAACTGCATGTGAGACATTTTATACTGTCAGTATTAGCTACGGCTTTTGATGAAGGTGCATAAGCACAGGTGAGCAAATTTTTGATTGAATCGAGGGGTTTAACGTATGAAAAACTCGGGATTTGTCAAGTGTAGATACAAATTTCCATTACCATTTCGAGCACGGAATCGTGGCTAGTGTCGACCCTTTAGGATAAAGGAATCTGATAGGCTATTAGCGGCGACGGTGAGTGCGACTTAAAGTTAGTAAAATACCTACAACCTTCAATCGGAAAATCAATCAAATGTCTCTAATATGTCGTGTCACCCCTATCTAGCGGTAGACCATAGTTCTTATATCATTTATCATATCATTAATCCCCATTTATCCTTCTCTATCTTATTTGCTCTAGCAAGACCGGCGCTCTCCCGGTGCGTGCGAACGAACAAAATTTTTCATCCACCACTCTCATCTATCACTCATGGTTAAGCTCACCCAGATCGACGACGCCGACGTCGCCCAGTTCGAAAAGGTCGAAGTGACCGCCCCCGTTGTTGCCGACGAGTCGGACTCGGAACAGGACGACCTGGACTTCGACGACGACTTCGACTTGGAAAACGAAACTATCTACGAAAGAATCGTCGCCCTCAAAGACATCATTGCCCCCGAACAAAGATCGCAGATTGTCAATGCCGGGGAAAACGTCAAGGCGTGGGCGTCGCTGGCGTTCCAAAAGACGGGTAACTTCTTGTGGATTGTCACCTCGCTGGCGCTTTTGCTCGGGGTCCCCTTGACGTTGCTGATCCTCGCCGAAACCCAATTGCAAGAAATGGAAAAGGAAATGTCGTTGCAACAATCGGCGCAAGACGTGCTTGCTCCCGGGACCGAGGGGGCGTTCGCCGAGAAGAAGTAAGTAATGCCCCCGCTTGTATATACTGTTACGAATACACACGAGTCTGTCTAGGATGGTCAGAAATGTCGATAATTGGAAGTCTAGGATGGTCTGGAAAAGTCTATCATTGTTGTCTAAAAAATATCTAATTGTCTTGCGGATCAACCTAGGCCCGCTTGTGCTTAATCGACAACGTGTAGATGTCGAGATACGTGGTGATCTCGTAGATGATCTCGGCGATAAACGACCCGTGGATCCCGAGAGTCGTCCCCAAGCCAATCCACAGCACCGCCAGTACCACGGTGAGGTAGTCAAAGTGGTAGACATTGGTCAAGAACCACACCAACGCCAATTGGATGGGGGCCACAATCATGGGGAACTGGCGGTAAGGGAACGGCTGCAACGTCAAGTGGGCCAAGATGATACGGCCAACGGTGAAGGCAATTGTCAACCCCACCGAGATCACGAGGGGGAACCCGTAGCGGTAGATGAATTCAGGGTACGCGGCCACTAAGCCCACCACCAGCAACCAGTACAACACGAACGGCCACCAGCCATTGACGGCCTGGTCGGTACGGCGCTTAGCCTCTTCAGGGTTGGCCTTGTTCAATTGCTTGTAGTACTTCTTCACGTTCAGGATCGCCTGGTGGATGTTGAAGTACAACGAGCCGAGCCCCAACACCACGTACACCGCCGTCATCGACACCAGGTACTCGCTCGACAACCCGATGCTGCTCAAGTCCAAGTTGAACAAGTGGGCCTTCCAGATGCCGGGTCCGATAAATCCAGTGAGCACGTACACGCCACAGATCATCAAGATCCCCTCCACAGGACCAGAGAACTCCGAAAGGAAAAGGGTGTGGGTGTGATATTCTTCCCAAGTAGAGGCGTAGAAGTTGCAAGTAGCAGCAAATTGCGACAACATCATCAACTTGCCCCACCCCATCTGCGTCACCGAGGCGAAAACAATTGCCCCTAAAGTGGTGTTGATGGCGTCGACACAGTGGTCAAACAATTCCCCCAAGGGGCCCAGCTGGCCGGTACGTCTGGCATGGCAACCATCGCACCCATCAAACGTCTGGTACATGAAGAGGCACAACGCGTAGAAGAAGTAGCACCACGACGGCAGGTCCTGGTTAAGATAGGGGTCGTAGTAGAACACGACGAACAAACTCGCCACCACCCACATGAGCCCCAACAACGTGATGGCGTTGGGGGCCATCAGCAAGGGGAAGATGTGGACAAAGTAGTTCCACCACTTCTTGAGGACATACCGCAGGATGATCGAGTGGTCCTCCAGCGAGTACTTGTACAAGCGGAGGTTTTCCAATTTGTTGGTAGGGATGAAGATGCCCATCGGAGAAACTGGAAAGAGCGGGTCGCTGGGTTGGTGCTGCACGTTCGCCAGTATATATAGCGAAGGCACGTGCGCACATCCCGGCGAGTGCGTTGCGGTGACGCCGCAAGCCATTGGCCACAATAGGCAATCAGCACCCACATGCTATCCGGGGGCACGGCGTGCACACCCGTGGGGGGGCTAGTACTAACTGGGGGTGACCCCGGTAATTAGTGGTGGTCGGCGTCATTCGACCATAGGGCGAGCGTCACCACCGTGCGACGATCACTGCGGGGAGAAAAACGCCTGTTGGGCCGCCTGTGATTGGCAACGGTGATGGCCGCGTTTTTTCTTATACAATGACGTCATCGAGACGAGTGCAAACGGGCGCGATCGATACGCACTAGGCTGAAAGATGATCAACATGAGTAATGACAACGTCCGGGGCCCGTAACCGGTCCAAAAGGTAAATCAGGTTATCGTAGTCACTGCCGCCAGCCCGTTGTTGAGCTTCTTCAAGGGTGGCGGCTACCCCCAGCAGTAAGTGGCGGGCCACAAGTCGTTGCTGAGCCACCTCTAAGGGTGTAGCCACGAACCACAGCTCGTCGACAAGATCGCCGATATCGCTCCAGCCGTCATCGGTCAAACTGGTATAGTTTCCTTCCACCACCACCACTTTGACGTCGGGGTCAATTTTGACGTCATCTTCCACGGGGTCTTTGACGCTATGGTCAAAAGACGGCGCCAACACTGGTTTCACGCGGTAGGCAGGTTTAAGCAGGGCCACAGTGGCGACAAAGCGAGGTTGATCGAATGTAAACGGAGCGCCCCGACGTCTCACCATTTCTTCAGTAGTTAATTGGTGACGGTAGAGGTGGAAGCCGTCCATGGAGAGCGCCACTGCCTTGATACCCCGAGCGTTGAGCTGGGCTACAACCTCGGTCGCCACCGTGGTTTTGCCGGAACCAGGGACCCCGGCAACGGATACCACCACTCTGCCATCACTAGCAGCGGCCAAATGATCGATTCTATCGACTAACGCCGGGATATCGTTCAGGGGGATCGAGGTGGACATTCGCACGAGTGTTGAAGGAGACGAAACGGCGATCATATGATGGCGGCTTAGCCACAGCCGTCGTTCTGACTCAAAAAGGACGATGACATTCAACCAGGCAACGATTACCACAATTTATAGTAAGTGAAGGTCACAAGGCAAGGGCTACCCCACAAAATTAGCAATGACTTAATAGTCCCAGCACCATAAAGATTGGAACAAAATTTTAATTTGGTGGCGAGTATCTTTTATATAGTTTAAGTCATTGTCTTCGGTAGCTCCAGATGCCAATTGTTTTCCGCTTTGACAATGGTACAACAGTGAGGTTTGTTTGTATCCATATTGCCTCGCAAACCATGATTACATAACCCCAGGGCCCGACGAACGCGTATGCCATTGCCGGTTCGATGGCTTCACTGTGACCACACCCAGTGCTATTATGGAGCTATATTTGATGTGACCGACGGTTCCTATGCTGTCTACGTCACCAACATGACCGATGTGTGGTGCGACCAAGGGGGTCGGGCCGATCTTGAGAAGAAATTGGCGGCGATATGTCTTGAAGATCTACCTGACGACGCGTGGCAGGCGGCGCTAGAGGCGCTCTCCGAAGTCAATGCCACACTAGACTTTACTCAAGAGGAGTGTTGTGTCAAAATTGCCATTGACGATGATCATGTGACATTCACCTTGCACAAGACTGACCCCGGACCTTTCCTTTGGCAGTGGGTCGAAGCACTTCTTGTATCCCACGAGACGCTTAAAACTCGCCAACATAAACTCTTTGACATCATCAGCGATAAGGACTTTTACATCCGCAACTTGGAACAGGCAGTACTCGCCCAGGCACAAGGCGACAAGCTCTTGCGGACAATGAGAGACAATTACCAGGACGTTGCCAGCAATATGGGCAAATTCGACAGGCACAAGTGGCTTAAACGACAGGAGCGACAGCCACAGCAATCGTTTGAACTGTCGATGAAGACGTACCGTTCGCCGACGAAGCGTAAACGCAACCGCGCTCAATGGGACGACGTGCCGTCTTTAGAGTACCGACCGCCATCATCTGAACCCGAAAGTCCTAGTAAACGCCCCCGTAGACAGCGGTAGTGAGACCTCATGGTTAGGACAGAGAGGTATGCAAGTTCTACACCAATCCATACTTTATGCAAAATTATCTCTCTATATACACATTATTTCAAACTAAGATTATTAAAAGATCGCGTCACATTGTCATTAATTCATATCGTGCCTTCGTTAATATTTTCATCGGCCATTTTAGTCCACCGTTTGAAGTAATCTTTCACAACCAGATTGCGGTACTTTCCCATATTGTCATCATGAATAGGCACTAAAAGCTTCTTCCAAAAGTTCACAAAGTTTGGCAACTCCGCGGGCAGTGGGATCTCGGTGTTGATGATTTCCCCACGGTTGTTCTTACCTTTTGCTTTAAAGGGATCAAACTTACGGGAATGGACTTTTTCAAAGATTTCCTCGAACACGGTAAACCAAAAGCGGATGAGCAACTCAGCTGCTTCTTCAAGGGTTGATGGACGAGTGTACTCAGGGGTTAATTCGCGACTGCCGTAGCATTTGATGATGGCTTGATCAACGAGCTCAATTGCCACCTGCTCAAGCTCTTGATGCACAACAGAAGGAATATCATCAGTGACGGGAGCCAGGTTGAATAATGGCGCCATCAACGTATCAGTCATTTCGATGTCCCTCACTTGGGGTTCTTCTGGTCCCATCAGCTGACGTTCATTGTAAATCATTTCGGCAATACTAATTGCCGTCATTTCAGGAACAACCGTAACTGTGGGTACGGGCTCAATCAATGCTTTGGCACACAAGTTCTTATCATTACTCATAAGCACAACGAGATCATTTGGGTGATGTTTCTTAATGTAAAGGCAACAATCCAAAATGGCGTCGTCGTTGCGGGTGAATTCGTCGATAACTTCCTGAGGTTTTTGACCACGAATGTACGGGCAGTTCGCTGCAAACAACTCAAAATACCAAGTGATTGCTTTTTGCGCCAGTATTTTCGTCGACTGTTTTCTCGACCCCAGTTTAAGCCCATCAAGCTCGTTAACAACGGCAACGGGAATGATTATGGTAATATTGGCTCGAGGAGCAAGATCAACGAGTTGATTCACCAACTCGAGGTGCAGTATGAGGACGTTAGTGTCGACGACAAGGTACAGGGCGCCCACGTTGACGGATGGTGGTGGTGGCATCGTCGAGAATCCCGTAACTGCCAGCTGGTGGTACTCACCCTCCACCGTGGCGTCGTCCATGTCCACGTCCATCGTCAGCGGGTAGTCGCGGAGACTATGGCGAAGGGGGCTTATGCGAGTTCGATAAATAAACCCATACCGCGTAGCCGATATACAAAATTTGAACTAAAACATTGGTTTAGTTTTATTACTGTAATTGATGATTTAGTGATGAGAAACGGTGCAATTGATTCAAGAATTTTAATTGATTTCTGCTTGAAATCGGGTGTATATCCTCGCTGATCATACAGTTTCATGATGCAATGACGAGGATGCAGCATTCACCAATACAATGAGGTGCTAATATTTATCACCACGGACGCGGCATAGCAGTCTTTAGTTTTCAATGCACCCGATAGACTCTCTCTCTCTTTCTTTTCACTAATTATAGGACACCACGCTTCAAAATATGAGCGAATTGCAAGACACTTCAATTCAACCTACTCTGCCTAGTTTTAATTATTGTCAGTTTTTTTTTTATTTTTTTGTTGACTTATTCGCTACCGTCGGCCCCACATTAGAGTTATTTACTATCTCCTCCCTAAGCCGCGCACACGTCAGACGAGAGGCCATGACCCAGCCCAACGGAGGCCCGTCCCAATACACCCTTCCCGGGGTGATCAACTACCTCACCCTGGAGTTTACTAATCTTGAACGGTTCAAGATCATGACCAACATCGAAAAGCTGGAGATGAAGTACCGTATCATCCAGCTTCAAGGCGAACTCAATTCGCTTAAGTTTGTCAATAACAAACAAGCGGCGCGGATCTTTCTGCTCGAACAGGAAAACCAACGGCTCCGGGAAAAGCTTCATCAACTGGACCTGGGCGAAGGGGTGTCGGCCCGCCGGGACGACTACGTCGACCCCACCATACCTGGAGAATTGCCCGACGTCGATCTCGAGGTGGTGAAGAAAACCCGAGCGCAATTGGCTCAGCTGATGAAGGAAATCGTCCATCTATTGAAAACTCCCAGTGTCAAACTGATCAATAGCTTGAACCTCCCCGGACCTGATGATTCTCAGCCCCTGGAGTTTGAAGTGCTTATGCACAATTCCGAACCGGAGGAAGAAATTGGTTTTAGTGAGTCCCTGCCGCAACAACAACCACAACCACAACAGCAGTCTCGAAGCAAGGCAATTCCCAAATACTTTGGTGATGACGAATCCGGGAAGATTTCTCTGGCTAAGTCTGACACTAACCGGGATGTCAACAATGTTGACACATCCAAATCGGCCCCGGAGGCGTTGGTTGAACCTGTGTATATTGCTCCGCAACTGGACATAATCGTGAACTACGAAAGCGATGATCTTGACACTGTCGTTGATGGTGACGTCGACCACAGTAAACCACAAGGGCCTCAAAAACTGTTTGTTTATGGCGATTACAAAATCACGTTGGCCACGAGTGATAGTGAGAAAGTAGCAGTGGAGATAATCGCAGGGTCGCGGGTAATTTTGGGTCAGAAAGTACACCTCAAACAAGTGCTGGCGTTGGAAAACTTGATTCAAGTGTATCCCGTTCTGGTGGAGACGGATGGAGCTGCATTACTACTTGTCGACCGTGATCAAGGGGTGATACTGCTCTTACTCACCACCGATGGAGCTATGGAGTTGACATTGCACCAAGTCAGAGGCATCACTCAAGCAGATATTGTTGAATTCATCCTGGGAGACGGCGCTAGCCATACCGATTTTGGACTTGTGGTTAGTGGTATTCATGGTCGCGGCCCTCAAGGCTTCTTTTCGCAGGTGTTTCACATCTACTACGCTAATGGTGGCATTCAGAGCGAACAAGTGGGTCATTTTATCGCCGAGTTTTTCTTCAGTGGCAGCAACGAAGGACCGACAATTGAATTCAGTCAGTGGCATATTAATCTTGATGCTAACGTGTCGCCAGTTACAGTGCCGAAGCCAGGTGCGCTCACGGTGTGTAACAACCCTGTCCTCGCCAAGTACGAACTTGAGTATCTCGTGGATGGGGTGCCTCATCGTCTCAATCTTGTATCGCAACAATTCACTCAGGGCTGAAGGTTACCATAGAAAATCTGACACCATTGAGTCCGCCAATACTATGACTATTTCAGATGCCACTCACTCTGTAAAAGAGCTCCAATCTAATTGATTCTACATATTCAATTCGTGGTTTCCGAGATCCGGCTGATTGACTCAGCTACTGCCAGTGGCTTCAAAATTTGATCAGTAATCATTTGATCAGCATGAACAAATCACAAATTGTGCTTCTCAAGTGATCATCAATTCATATCATGTACTTTAATACAAATGAGCATAATTTTTGGTGACGTACCAAGTGGTGCCAAGGTTTTTCTGGTCATTCCTCAGAATATTTCATATCCTGAATACTATTATCTCTATCGATCATTTAATGAACGTGACGGGTTCACTCGAAAACTAGATAAAAAAATTCGACCTATTAACCGTACTAATTCCGATAACCTCGAGCTGCTCGGTTTTGTTATGCAGTAGTTTCTTTTTGTAACCGTTATCGGTTATCGCACCGCGTGTATCCGCACGTGGAAGGTCATCGCAAACTTTTCATACCCCAAGGCCTCCATGTCGAAATCGTTTGACGACTTCATCAAACAACAACAGCTGGCGCAACAGAAGCCGCGGGGGTTTGGTTACCAGTACGGCTACAATGGTGGCAGTCCTGGCTACCAATACCTGGGGCAAACCTTCGTGCCTCAAGGCCAATATGATATCAACCAAATGGGCCAAGGGTCGCAATACAACTCTCAGCAATCGCTGTACGTCAACACCCCTGCTGAATCGCGGCTGAACACCCCGGGCCCGGGTGATCTGACGCTGCTGTTGGCGCTGACGATGCTGAAGCTCAAGCTCGACGTCCCGTTCCAGGAAGAATTGGAGGAGATCTTCAACGCCACCAAGATCGGTGACGTCAAGAAGCCCGTGGAACTGATTGTCAACCATACTGAAAGCCACGGCCTCCAAGTATTGGAAACCTGGAAGTTCACCGACGTGCTCAAGGCGTTGTTCAAGCTGAAGAACCCTGTAGTCAGAGAACTGGGGCTTTTACTCATCCAACAACTTGCCCGTAAGTTTGGTGGCGCCACCCCGCAAGAAGCTCACCTTGTGCCGTTGCTCGGTAGCGCTTTGGACATGTTCGCCGATAAGGACAAGAACGTCGTCAAGGCGGCTAAGCAAGCCGTGGACTCGTTGTACGGGGTGTTCCCCATTGAAGCCTTGGCTACGGTTGTCATTGACGCCGTGCTCAGTTTCTTGGGTGGTCTGGCCAAGTGGAACCTGAAGCTCGCTGCTCTCGATGTCATTGACCGCTTGGTGGAAGATGTCCCCGCCGACTTGTTGGAAATGCAATTCATCCACGCCGTCCCCGTTCTTACTGACTTGGCTACTGACTTCAAGCCTGAATTGGCCAAGCACGGGTTGAAGCTGACCAAACAATTTGTCAAGGTGTTGGACAATTTGGACTTGGTTAACAAGTATGACATCATCGTGGAAACCTTGGCCAACCCGCTGAAGATTCCCGAGTGCATCAAGAACTTGTCGCTGGTGACGTTCGTCGCCGAAATGACCGAACCGGCATTGTCGTTGTTGACTCCCATCTTGGAAAAGTCGCTCAAGATGTCTCTGAGTTCCAACGATCAATTGCGTCAAACGGTGATGGTGACGGAAAACTTGACTCGTTTGGTCAACAACAAGCGGGAAATCGAACCGTTCATTGGTATCCTCATGCCCGGTGTGGAGAAGGTGGTTAACCATGCCTCGCTTCCCGAAGTGAGAGACCTTGCCGAAAAGGCGCTTGCGGTGCTTAAGGAAGCTGAAGCTGCTGAAGGCACTTTTGCTGGTCGTATCTCGGTTGACGAAGCTCGTGAATACGTCCCTCTGGGCCACGACGAAGCCGAATCGCGCTACTTGGCCACCATCATCGCTGCTGACGCTAACGTCAACGACTGGACTCGTCTCACTGAATACCTTCAACTTGTTGGTGTTGATGCCGACACCGTGCTGCTGACTATCGCCAAGCTCAGAGCTAAGTTCAACTTGGTGGTGGAACAGGAAGAATTGGGTGAGAACGAAGTGGAAATCGTCAACACTGACTTCTCGCTTGCCTACGGTACGCGGATGCTTTTGAACAAGACCACGTTGAGACTTCTTAAGGGTCACCGGTACGGTCTCTGTGGTCGTAACGGTGCGGGTAAGTCCACTCTTATGAGAGCTATCCTGAAGGGTCAACTTGAAGGGTTCCCTGCTCCTGACGAACTTAAGACCTGCTTTGTTGAACACAAGTTGCAAGGGCTGGAAGCCGACATGGACTTGGTGCTGTTCATCGCGCTGGACCCCGAACTTCAAGGGCTGACTCAAGACGAGATCCGTCAGGCTCTCTTGGACGTTGGTTTCCCTGAAGACCGTTTGACCAACAACGTCGGGTCGCTTTCCGGTGGTTGGAAGATGAAGCTTGAACTCGCCAGAGCGATGTTGTTGCAAGCCGACATCCTCTTGTTGGATGAACCCACTAACCACTTGGATGTCAACAACGTCAAGTGGTTGCAAGACTACCTCACCACCCACACCGACATCACCTCGCTTATTGTGTCGCACGACTCGGGGTTCTTGGACGCCGTGTGTACCGATATCATCCATTACGAAAACAAGAAGTTGGCGTACTACAAGGGTAACTTGCTGGAGTTCGTCAAGATCAAGCCCGAAGGTAAGGCTTACTACACCCTTACCGACTCTAACGTGCAAATGCACTTCCCGCTGCCCGGTTTGCTTGTGGGTGTCAAGCTGAACACGCGGCTGGTGGCGCGGATGAACGACGTCACCTTCACTTACCCGGGGGCGGCGAAGCCCTCGCTTAAGAACGTGCTGTGTCTGCTTTCGTTGTCGCTGAGAGTGGCGGTGTTGGGTCCCAACGGTGCGGGTAAGTCGACCCTCATCAAGCTTTTGACAGGTGAAACCATTCCCGACCTGGGTACGGTGGAAAAGCACCCTAACTTGCGTATCGGTTACATTGCTCAACACGCTTTGGAACACGTCGAACAACACAAGGAAAAGACCGCTAACCAATACTTGCAATGGCGTTACCAATTCGGTGATGACCGGGAAGTGTTGCTTAAGCAGCTGCGGAAGATCTCCGAAGAAGAAAAGGAACAAATGGCGAAGGAAATCGACATTGCCGACGGCAGGGGGCCTCGTCAAATCGAAGCGATTGTCGGTAGACAAAAGCTCAAGAAGTCGTTCCAATACGAAGTCAAGTGGAAGTTCTGGTTGCCCAAGTACAACTCGTGGGTGCCGCGGGACTTGTTGGTGGAACACGGCTTTGAAAAGTTGGTGCAAAAGTTCGATGACCACGAAGCCCTGAGAGAAGGGTTGGGTTACCGGGAATTGGTGCCGCTGGTGATTCGTAAGCACTTCGAAGATGTTGGTTTGGACGGTGACATTGCTGACCACACTCCCATGGGGCTGCTTTCTGGTGGTCAACTTGTTAAGGTGGTGATTGCCGGGTGCACTTGGCAAAAGCCTCACGTGATGGTGCTTGACGAACCTACTAACTACTTGGACAGAGACTCCTTGGGTGGGCTTGCCATGGCTATCCGTGAGTTCAAGGGGGGTGTGGTGTTGATTTCGCACAACTCGGAATTCTCGTCGGCGCTTTGCCCCGAACAATGGCACATTGAGAACGGTGAGTTGGTGCTGAAGGGTCACGTCGAAGTGGCGGCGGATGCGTTTGAAGACGGTGGTAACAGTGAACAGGCGGCCGCGGCCGCCGCTGCCGCTGCCGCTGCTGCCACCAAGACCGATGATGCTTCTCCTGCTAACATCAAGGTGAAGCAACGGAAGAAGAAGATGACCCGTAACGAAAAGAAGGCTCAAGCCGAACGCAGACGTCTCAGATACATCGACTGGTTGAACCTGCCTAAGGGTACCCCCAAGCCCGTCGACACTGACGACGAAGACGAGTAGTCACCCCGGCGAAGTGTATAATATTTATTCATTGTCGATAATCGACCTTTTAGATAAAGGCATCATTTGAAATAGTAATCTTATAGATAGATACCGCGAGACGTAGACGAGCCATCACACCCGCCATATTCGCTCCATTTTGTCAACTAATTTGACGAAATTGCGCAGATTTATAATCGGCAAGATGGTCTCGAGACAGTCGCTGGATTCAAGGATATCGAGGATGGCATCAACGTCTTGTTTCGAAAATTTTATGAGCTCGTGGTGATCCTCATGATCAGGAGGAAAATCCTGATCAAGACCGCTTGTTTGGGAAAGCGATTGGCGACGCTTCGTCCTTCCATCGTCGATGGCTTTCATCGGGAAGTAACCATTGTTGCCATACATACCTGGATCCATTTGCTGCAGAAACGGAGGCGTCATCATGGGGGCAGGGTAACCAGGGGGACAAGTCCAGGGATACGGAGCTTGAGGATATGCCCACGGTGGCATTGCCATTTGAGGGGAATACCCTTGGGATGGAGATTGATAGTATGGTGGTGTTGGCGAAGGCTGAGATAAAGCTGGTATTTGCGAGTTTTGAGGCAGCGCCGAGGGTACTGCTGGAGGCTCATTGCTCAGTTCTCCTGAGACCACGATCACTCCAATAAGAGGACTAACTTTCTTCATGAACTCGTTGAATTCTCCGCTCAGAGCGAAACATGTCTGGAATCTCGCCAAAACTCGTTCAGTATCATCGTCAACCATCTTATACCCAAGTCTAGGGCTTTTAGGATATAGTTCAAGTCTCATGTTGACCCCATCATAGCAGATCTTCTCAATCATCGTTCCCTTGGATCGAATGGTGATAGTCATACCCAGCTCCAGGGTTAGTAATACACTAAACGCTAGTCCATGTCGAGGATAGTGCTTCCAATCGCCATTGGCTCGAGTAGAGAATTTTCGTAGCTCAAAATTCGAAAGTGTGGGCATGCTATGAAGAAGGTTGTATTGTTTTGATTGAGTACTAATGACTCCTCTCAGTTGAAACAGGTTTGATCGAGACTAGGTTTCAAAAGTTAATGATGCGTTGCACCTTCATAACAAAGCCAAGGTGAGTCGCGAGGAGTCTTTCATGAATCAGTCATGGCAATCATTTCGGGTTGGGTAGAAAATTCGAAATATTTCATCAACTCTTTACAATCGAAATCAACAGACGCGCGTAGCCATAGACCACACGGTGCAGAAACCCTTATCGAGTATATCCTACGAGATCGAGTAAGGTTACTGCGGCTGCACTTACATGATGTCCTACAGTGTCTGCGAACCCTTAACAAAGGCCAGCGCTCGAAAGTGTTGGAAGCTGCAATCTCTCGAACAATCTTCTTTTGGCGGCCTCGAACAATATTGGAGCCAGCCCTTTCTTCTATTCATGATTGCATCATCAATTTCAATAATAGTAACACTGCCGAATTGATCGAGTTGACCACTGCCGAAATTTCCTCAGATCGACAACTCGTCAGTGTTTATCTAGTGCCGCCATTTAGACCTCACATGCTTGAAAAAACGGCCAGTCTTTGATGCCGGAATCCCGCTTGCCGCTCGGAAACGAAAATGACGCAGCGCATTGTGGAAGAAAAAAAAAGTCACCCCACAGTAGGGGTGTTTGGGGGTGAAACATCCACAAAAATCAATGTTACTAAACATTTTAATCAAATCAGGAGTGGTAGATGTGAAGCAAAAAATTTACTGTGTAGACCCATTCGGTAGCCAATGCTTTTGATGTACCCCTCTCCATAATGCTGGCTGTCACCCTCCCCTGACCTCATGCCAAGTGTACGTTTCTTACCGGGTGGTTCGCACGGAAATAGAGATCATCTGCAATAGATACAGAGAGATCTCACGAGCCGAAACCGTAAAAAATTGGCGATAAATGAAACGTACAGTTGCAAGGTGCAACTGTAGACCGATGTGATCATGTGTATAAATTGTGATAAACAATGAATGCTTAGGCGGCGGTGCTGGTAAATGACATTATTGATGGGAAAACCCATTTCCAAAGGCTCATAACCTGATATTCTCATCTTTTATATTGCTTGAACCCCCCAAGTAACGACGACAGTTCTCGGTATTTTTATCGACGATGCAGGGCAGAAACAGGGTTATCCCGTGTCCCGTGCTCTTCCCGTCGGAGAAGGAGTTTGCTGACCCCATCGCATACCTCCTGAGCCCCGGCGTCATCGAAAAAGGGCGGGAATTTGGCCTCGTCAAATTGGTGCCCCCTCGGCTGTTTAAACCAAAATTCGCTTTGTCCAATGACTTCCGCTTCCACACTCGGTTGCAACGCATTCTGGACTTGGGGCTTTTGACCCGGCTGCGTAACTTCTTTCAGACGCTGTTGAATCGCTACCTCTCGATGAGAGGCAAGCGCCGGGTCGGCCCGCTGTTCCGGGTACCCGGCCACCCTGACGGCCGGATTTTCTATTACGACTTGTACGTGGCTGTGACCAACAAGGGCGGCTACGACAAGATGTCTCCCGACGACTGGAGCGAGGTGCTGCGGCAACTCGGCGACACCGACCCCCACCTGATTGTGTGTTTTAAGACCTACACCAACTATCTTTTGGACTATGCAGGGTACCTATCTAATGTCAGCGACTACCAGTTCCCCGAGTCCGACGACGAAGACGATGACGAAGATTTGTGTATAAAGTGTGGCGCCCCTGAAGAAGGCAATGGCGTCCAGTGTGATGATTGTGACGCTATCTACCACATGCACTGTCTAGATCCTCCCCTTGACTCGTTCCCCGATGGCGCCTGGTACTGTCCGAAGTGTCTTGTGGGCACCGGCGAGTACGGATTTGAAGAAAAAGAAGTACACTACTCATTGGACGAGTTTGCACAAAAGTGTGTCGATTTTGAAGAAAACTTCCGTCGTGAACACTGTAAGGGTAGGACACCTTCAGTACAAGAAATCGAACGTTATTTCTGGAAACTTGTCGATGAGGAACACCTGGAGCTTGAAGTGGAATACGGGGCCGATATCCACCGGATGAAACCGGGCCAGATTCTGGGGTTCCCTCGCGAAGACACCCCTGGTATCGACATGCGTGATCCCCAAACCAACTTCTATGTCAACCACCCCTTTAACCTTAACAAGCTTCCCTATGCCAAGGGGTCGTTGCTTAATTATGTTCCCAATGAGATTCTGGGGATGACGGTGCCGTGGATCTACATTGGCCTGTTGCTTCTGACGTTCTGCTGGCACGTCGAAGACCACTATACCCTTCTGGCCAATTATTGTCATTTCGGTGCTACGAAGAAGTGGTACGGGATCCCGCTGAGTCAAGCCGATCGCTTCGAAGATTATATGAAGAAGATGGCTCCCGATATGTTTAAGAAACAACCGGACTTGCTCCACCAGCTTGTCACTTTGGTTAACCCTCAAAAGTTAGCTGAGGCTGGCATTACCTGTGTTTACGCTGACCAGAACCCTGGTGAGTATGTCATCACTTATCCTCGAGTTTACCACGCTGGATTTAATTGTGGCCTCAACGTCAATGAGGCAGTCAACTTCAATATGAAGGACTGGCTTCCCTTGGGAGAACAAGCGGTGGATCTGTACCGTCTTATTAAAAAGGAAAACGTTTTTAATCACTATCAACTCCTATTCAACGTTCTCAAAGAGTTCAACCGACGCGTTCGAATCCTGGAAGGTTTACAACTGGTTGACCATGAGCTTGTGGCCGAGTGTATCTACCAGTTCAAACGCTATTCGTTCCAGCAGGGCCAACTTATCAGCGAGCTTGACATGTCCAAGTTCACCACCAGCTACCGTCCCCGCACCAAGGAGGAAGAAGTATTGTGCGATTGTTGCAAGACCCACATTGGTTTCCACTATATCAAGATTGAACATATCTACCTGTTCCACCGAAACAATCAGTTGATGACCCCTGACTCGCTGCCGTCAAACGTTCTGGCATTAGTCAGCATTGTTCCCAAAGTCACCCTGGATCCGCCGATGAAATCTGAGGTACTCTCGAAGAAGCGAAAGGTACTGATGATGGACGAGTTTGAACAGCTTGTACAAAGTGCTGCTGAGGAAGCTAGAGTTAAGGATGAAGATGAGAAGGCTCCCGGCAGTGGACGTAAGCTTCGTCGTACCACCAAGGAGCTTCACACAACCACAACCGAACCTGCTCTCGACAGAAGTGAACCTCGAAAGCTCCGTATCAATCAACCCTTGGGTAAAGTGGCTCAAGAGTTGGTGAGAATGGGTATGGGCAAGACCGAGAACCTCAACATCCGTGGTTCGAAGAAGCTTCCGGGTACAGCATTAATCATCCGGTTGTGCTTAGAATGCTTACGTCTGAAGGTTCAGCTTGACGGCGAAGTTGCTCAGTTCGTATACGAAGTACACCCACTGCAACTGCAGGTAGTGATCCAAGAAGCCGAAACCAACTTGGAGAGACTTTTGACGAATCAAATCAAATGAGGTTGACGAGTTGAGCAAAGTGATACCCGATTTAATGACATTAACGATGTATGAATGTATGAGTACAATATATAGCGAAGTATATTGTTTAAGAGATAATCAGAGAGTATAATAGTTTTAATAAGGTTATGTAAACATCGTACACCGAACTTCCTTGATTGCAAATAGTCGCGAACACTTCAAGTATTTCAGTTTGACTGGGGTATTGAAAAATATGAAAAATGAATAAAGTTGTTCATAGATCGGCGAAAGAACGAGCTTTTTGTTATACGCTGTTTACCAACGTGATTCTTTTGTAATGTTTTCATACCTTTCCAGTCTAACCCCGGATTACTCCGATGTCGCCTTCTCTGTCAAATTTAGTGGAGGCAGTCTACAATCAAAATTAGAGTCAATGGAAAGCATTACAAATTGCGATTCAAAATAGTATCAATTGCTTTGTGGTGCTTTCTTTAGTTTGTCTTAAATTGATGCCACACTGATTACCTCAAAACTACCCCTCGAAAAAACGAAAGGCACCGGGAGTATTTGACCAAAACCGGCCGGAGTAAATAATTGAATAAATAACTCAATTACGGGAGAATGTCAAAAACATGAGAGATTTGATGATTAGTTATTTGGTTTGAATGTAAACCGTTTCGTAGCCACGTATATAGATCATATTGAGTGAATTGGCTGCTGGGAGCTGATCCAAGCTTGACAGCACTATTTTAGGTGGTGAACCAATAGCGCTTCGTGCTCCGACTCGCTGTCCTGCACGTGGCGGACCAATCACAGACTCCGACGGTTTTTCACTGGCGCGCACTGCGAACATATATTTAACTGTTTGAGGACCCACAGATTTTTCTCTTACTAACCACTTTAAACAGCATGGTCTTGCCTAGAATGTTTACTAGTGCCTCCCGCAATGCTTTTGTGGCGGCTAAGCGGTCTGCCATCTTCAACAGAGGCTTGGCTACTGCTTCGCCTGCTCACGGTAAGGTCAGGTAAGTACAATGGTTCCCCCCGGAAAAGTTTTCAATCACCGGGCCTCGAGAGCAAGCATTGGCAAAGATTGATTGCCTACAGGCTTTCAATGCTTATGCTAATGGCGAATTGGCATTTGAAGTTGACTTTTTCACCACGGTGAAAATTTTTCACTCCAATTGAAAATCACGCCAGTCACGTCAAACGACAATTGTCGCTGCCACCAATTCACTTGAATGAGAGTTACGACAATGCTACTGATGATTTGACAATCAACTACGTTGATAGTTTCAATCCATTTCACGGCGGTCGGCGACGCTTGCCCGATCTCGGTGAGGAAAATTTTCGTCTTAGCCTGCTTCTGTGCAGGTTGAGCGCGCGCCCAACAACAAATCACTAACAATATAGAGCCGTCATTGGTGCCGTTGTGGATGTCCACTTCGAAGACGGTAACTTGCCCGAAATTCTTAACGCTTTGACCTTGAAGAACGGTGAACAAGACTTGGTCTTGGAAGTCGCCCAACACTTGGGTGAAAACACCATCAGAGCCATTGCTATGGACGGTACTGAAGGTTTGGTCAGAGGTACCAAGGTCACCGACACTGGTGCCCCCATCTCGGTCCCCGTCGGTAGAGGTACCTTGGGTAGAATCATCAACGTTGTTGGTGAACCCATTGACGAAAGAGGTCCCATTGAATGCAAGGAAAGAAAGCCCATTCACGCTGAACCCCCTGCCTTCATTGACCAATCCGTCGAAGCCGAAGTTTTGGAAACCGGTATCAAGGTTGTCGACTTGTTGGCCCCTTACGCCAGAGGTGGTAAGATTGGTTTGTTCGGTGGTGCCGGTGTCGGTAAGACCGTGTTCATCCAAGAGTTGATTAACAACATTGCCAAGGCTCACGGTGGTTTCTCGGTGTTCACTGGTGTCGGTGAAAGAACCAGAGAAGGTAATGACTTGTACCGTGAAATGAAGGAAACCGGTGTCATTAACCCCGAAGGTGAATCCAAGGTCGCCTTGGTGTTCGGTCAAATGAACGAACCCCCTGGGGCTAGAGCCAGAGTTGCCTTGACCGGTTTGACCATTGCCGAATACTTCAGAGATGAAGAAGGTCAAGATGTGTTGTTGTTCATTGACAACATTTTCAGATTCACTCAAGCCGGTTCGGAAGTGTCCGCCTTGTTGGGTCGTATCCCCTCGGCTGTCGGTTACCAACCCACTTTGGCCACTGACATGGGTCTTTTGCAAGAAAGAATTACCACCACCAAGAAGGGTTCCGTCACCTCGGTCCAAGCCGTCTACGTCCCCGCCGATGACTTGACTGACCCTGCCCCCGCCACCACTTTCGCTCACTTGGACGCCACCACTGTGTTGTCCAGAGGTATTTCGGAATTGGGTATTTACCCCGCCGTCGACCCCTTGGACTCCAAGTCGAGATTGTTGGACGTTGAAGTTGTTGGTCAAGAACACTACTCCGTCGCCACCGGTGTCCAAGAAACTTTGCAAGCTTACAAGTCGTTGCAAGATATCATTGCCATTTTGGGTATGGACGAATTGTCTGAACAAGACAAGTTGACCGTCGAAAGAGCCAGAAAGATCCAAAGATTCTTGTCGCAACCCTTCGCTGTCGCCGAAGTCTTCACTGGTATCCCCGGTAGATTGGTTAGATTGCAAGACACCATCAAGTCCTTCAAGGAAGTCCTTGACGGTAAGCACGATGACCTCCCCGAAAACGCCTTCTACATGGTTGGTGGTATCGAAGATGTCATTGCTAAGGCTGAAAAGTTGGCTGCCGAAACCGCTTAAGCGTGTTAGATAGCATGTATGAAGATATTTATCTCGTGAAATATGTCTTCACGACAATAAAAGTATACGTTAGAACTCATAGATCTACTCCACCATAAAGGTGAGTGTACTCGTTGATGGCGTGTCGATTTTTCAGTTGATGAAACGTCATGACATGCCATCACGTCAATTTGAAAGTCGTACAGCCATTCGTAGAGGACCCAGCCAATATTTACCCTGATGGTTGTCTTCACTTTGTATAGAATCACGTCTATATTCGCCTTCTTCAAGGAGAGCAAGTTCGTCGCACTCATCTTATGGGTCGACTGAATGGATTAAAAGTTAGTTCACAGTGGGATGAAACTGACCCATCCATTGAGGATGAGATCCTAGAGGCATATTCAGAGCTTGCCGGAGAGGAGGATCTCCATCTTAACCAGCTTGAAGAGTTATTCCATCGGCTCCAGATCCCGGGTTGCTTTACGCGTCAATTGCTTCAACTGGTAGACCAATTCTACGCTATCTTGGACAGTGGCGCCAGCATCAATCTCAAAGACACCTCCCATTTGATGGTGGTGTTCATGGTTCAAAACTTGACCATCACTGATCCCCAAGTTACGTCTATACATGAGTGCCTTGATATTGTTGATATTGACAAGTTATTGACACGAGGAACCAAACTTATCAAGTTTCGAGACAATTACCAACACATCACTGATACTTGGCGCTTATTTGGGTGCAAGGAGAATGATACATTAACGATCCCTCAATTGCAGAAGATAAAGGAAGAGCTTAATGTCGAAGTGAGTGACCAGATGCTCATCGATATGGTCAGTTGCGGCAAGGAATTCAACTTTGAAGGTGCCTGTGTAGGGATCCTTACATTTGGAGAGATCTTGGGCAAGCTAGGTGAGCTTGATGCTCGGTGACACCTTGACCTCCACGATAAAGTATCCTAACTAAACAATAATGATTCGAACAATTTGTACTACTTTAGCTAATATTCAAACACCATTACAATTTTTCGTAAAAATCACTACCACATCCCCATAGCCGGTCTCATTTCACTTCATGTTATCCGTAACGCGTATGTCTATAGGCAATGACCGAGGCATGCGATACCGCCTACACCATTGAGGAATGGATCTCGCGTCATCAACAGGTGTGTGACTATAACTTGGCTGACTTCGAAGCCGAGGAGCCCGTCATCCCTGGGTACCAGTGCATCTATGAGGTGGTATCGGTGCTCATTGCGTCCTTCCATCGTGGGCAGTACATTGTGCCTCTGCCCCACACGTTGCGGGTGATCTTGACCACGTTGGTGTTCCCTGAAGCCAACAACTACTACCAATTGCGGAACAAGTGCAATTACTTGTTAACCAGGTACCTTGAGGTGTTGGAAACAAAGTCCGAAGATGAAGAGGGGAAAGCGCGAGAAGCAGCTCTCGTGGAGACATTCAATACTACTTTAAAGGACTTCATGCAAGGGATCAGATCACAACTGATTGATTCGTTCTTTTCAATGGCTCCTAAGGTTAAGCCCGAAGCTCCACCACCAGAACCAAAGGAGCCGGACGTGATTTGTATTTCCGACGACGAGTCTGAGAGAGATGTTGTCAAAGCTGTTAATAAAATTGTTGATGTTGATGTTGTCATTGATGACGATGACGTTGACGATGTGGAAACCAGTGATGACGATGTCACCATCGTGGAGGACCACCCTGATACTGTGGATGCAGAGATTAAGGATTTGCTCAACCGGCGAATCAAGTACGAAGCGGAATTGAAACTACCATCAGCAAAAACACCTATCAATGAACCACCGGCGAAGAATGGCACAGCCTCTCCTACCAAACGGAAAAGTAAAGGGCCTCCGCTAATTGAGAAGAAATCGAAGGTGTGGAGTCGAGTGAAGTATAATCATGGCGAGCTGCTCGGACGGCTACAGCTTGTTGGCGAGCGACTTCTGAAAGCCCACAGCAACTATTCCTTTTGGGACTTGGTGGTATGGTGGGGATGGGTGGGACACCAGTGCACAAAGATGCAAGCATACGGTCATCCCAATACCATCGAGACCTGGGCGTATCAGTATTTTGATTGTTATCGCCAATTCATAAATTTGATTGTGCGTTACCTTCGTCTTGGCCATCTGCCAAAGCTTGCTGAACAACTCATACAACAGCTAACGCCTAATCGCTCACAATGGGCACAACGAGCCAGCGAAATCTGTTTCAGTGGCGTCGATGAGAAGGAAATGAACCCGAAACCTCGTGGTCCCTATGGCCACGAAACTAATCGGGTGTGTCAAGAGTTTGAAGAATACCACAAGAAGTTTGTTAGATTCCGCCCTCAAACGTATACTGCCGACATTGAACTGGTGCCCACTTGGTATCAGCTCATTGTCTTCCTTGCCAGCCACCTTTCTCCCGACAGATGGGTCAAATTGGTAGCGGATCGACTCAAGCAGTGCCCAAGCATAATCAGCGAGGAATTCTTCGAGTGTGTCTACGAAACTGCATTGAAAAACGATAAGCTGATGCCGATCTCGGAAAACGATACTATATATTGGTTGTTAAGACTTTCCACTCAGACGCTCAAGTTGCAGTTACCGAAAGCTAATGTCACTGAACCGGTGTTGACGAAGCTGCAGATGCTTGCTCTTATTGAAGGCGACTCTCCGAATAACTCAACGTCCGATAATTTGCAAGACAGAGAAGTAATCTATCGATTCTTGGTCCGAGTATACAAACCGAATGGAATACTTGGCTGCAAAGACAAAGCCCAGTTGGACTACTATAAGAGAATTATCGGTTCGTGAGATCGCTATGAATATAACGAATTACTGCTAATATCGTGAGCATTACGAATAATCTAAATAATGTGCTTGGCCTTGAAGTAAGTTCTCAAGTATTGGATTTGCCACACGCCCAAGCCAATCAACGCAAGGATAATCAACACCGAGAACCACTTCACTCTGGAGTTGGTCAGCTCGTTGGTATTTCTCATTCTTTCTTCTCTCAACTTAAGGTAGGACAATTCGTCACTGATTTCGCGCAACATCTCGTTCAGTCTGCGCAATTCCACTTCGTTGGGCTTAAGCTTTTCCATGGCTTGCACGGCGTTCCAGTCCCGGGCGGCCGCTCCCAGTTCGATGTCCAATTCCACTTGCTTCGAGCCCATGTGAGGTCCCGAAGCGGAGTTGGTGAAGCACACGTCGAACGCCACTGCCAGGTGCGAGGTGAACGCCACCTTGGTCTTGCCATAGATATCCTTCTTCTTGGCATGGACATTACCGACGGAATCGGTGACCTTTAAGTCCAACACTTGGCCGTCACCGCGGTGACCCGACGAATGGATGGTGATCACCACCAACTGGTCCTGACCAACGAAATCTCTGATACACACAGGCGAGGGGTTGTTGCTGGCAAGCACCTCAAGGTGAAGCGCCGACACAATAGCCGCGAGGAAGCCAATCAACCAAAGATGGCGGAGCATAGTTGGTGAAAAATATGGACGTGTCGGTTAGTTTGTCGCGCGCTAAACAAAAAACCTTCGTGCCTCAACGCGCGGGGCTCGCAACACGTACGGGAAAATCTCTCTCGCTCTCTGTCGTGGTGTGCGAGTGCCCGGCACGCCGCGACGCCGCACTAAAGTTTTTCACACTAACGGGGATCAAAGGCATCGACGATGGCGAAACCTAAGGGGACCCACACCATGGTCAAGCTCGTTTCGGCGGCGAAAACCGGGTACGAGAAGTGGTTCAACATCCCCAGATCGCACCAGAAGCTCAACCTCATCTTGTATGACCCGCGGGCCAGACGCCATTGCCTCTTCACCGAGGACCGGAAGCGGAAGGTCGCCGACATGCCTCCCAAGGACTACTCCAGATCCCACCGCGGTTAATGACCCAACTTGTACATAGCACATAATAATGATGACGATATACTTTCATGCTTTTTCGAGTGTGTCTTTGTACTTCACATTTGTCTATGATTCGCAGCCAAAAGCGAGCATCACTGAATACGGTATAAACGGCCGTTTATTAGTTATGAGATATGATACCGGAGCTAGACCGAATGCTTACAAAAAAAGAAAAATAGAAATGGACGAAAACTCAGTAAACCCGATGGTATTTCGGGTAATACTTGAGCTGGCGGCGTTGCCGAAGTAAAAGCACAAGAGCACATTCAGACAACATCTTTGCCGGGTTAGCGGCATCGAAGGCAATATCCCCCCTAAAGTTAGCTTGGCGCATGCAAAACGAGTGGACGGATTTGAGCGGCTGGGTTTTTAAGAGAAGGGCAAGGTACTGTTGTTGTTGAGCACATTCGGCGGGAGTAAACCCATATTGACGTTGAAGCGAGCGGAAGGTTTCGGTGGTGTTCATGTTCACAAGGAGGTTTGCAAAGAGTGAAATCGTGTAGATTATATCTTACTGAAGTGCAGACTATTTGTCATAGCAGAGTACCGTTTTCAGTAACTGTCGTCATCAAGAGACAATGCTGGGATATCCAAATTGGAGTTTGCCTTGTAGCCGATTTTCTCCATCTCATCAGGATAGCGACTGATGTTGTAGAATTGAAGTAAAGCCCTAAGCGCAATCTCCTGGTCATACAGATTATTAAAGTCCGTTTCCAAGTCTTTCCCACTGAGCCAGTTATCCTTTAACAGCAAGCGTAAGTTGAGATAGATTTGCGAGATCAAATCCATGTTGCTCAGTTTCCACTTACGGCCCTGGTAAGGGACAAGTTTCTTGAGAATTTTGAGGATAGGCATGGTGAGAGCAGGACAATCATAATTGATCAAGATCATTTTGTAGAGCTCCAGAGGCTTGAGTTCGTTCATCGTAAAGATCCTTTGCGTTTGGTTTTTGAGCAATAACTTGTTGTTGGTTTTTAGCAAGTTGCTGAGGATAAAGCAGTAATTGCGATTATACTTTTCCAAGTAAACGTTGTTGATATTGTTAGCATCGACGACACGCGGTAAATCCAGAATCTTTGACCGATTGATTAAAATGATGGGGTTAGGATCGTCTGGTAAAACGCCTTGACACTGATTGAAAAAGTCAAATTGAGGTATATCAATCTGAGGATTCATGATCTTGTTTTGATTTATGAGAATCTCGTACTCCAGAACCTCGTCTGTCGCTTGCGAAGTATCAGTCTGAAGATTGGTGTTGTTGAACCCTCGAGAAATGTAATCCAACAGCACCGCAAAGAACTGCTGGTCAAAGAGAATCAGCAGAAGATAGTAGTATTTGAGCACGTGATTGATCTTAAACCAACGAAGCATAAGTAAAATGATGGCACTTCCTGCTTTTAATGTGATTTCTTTGATGTTGACCACCTCAAGTTGCAGATACAAGACAAAATCAATCACGCTTTTCATTTGCCCCTTTTTGTCAATGTCAGGAGGATGCTTAAAATACAGCCTCTCTGGATCAAGCTCCCATTCCGGGTAGTTCAAGTTATAATCGAGCTTATTCAATTTTATGAGCTCGATAAGCACCTGGACAAACGTGTGAAGTTGAACGAACGAGTTGCGATAAAATTTCTCAACACGAAGGATCGAACGAATTTGTCGAGTTTGATTCGGATAACGGGCGGCAAGATCTTGATGGGCATACTCGAATTCATCATCCTTGGCCGGAGCCATGTACCCTCTCTCCTGTTTCATAAACTTAGTTCGCTCGTTCCAAAGACGCTTCGTTGAGTACAGTTCATAGATCGACAGTCGAAACAATTTGTCAGCCTCCTCAATTGCCACCGGTACCACTGTATGCTCGGTGTTATCAGCAAGCGACGGATAGAGAAACGGCATGGCTTGGTTCATCTGATACAGCCGGCGGATCTTTTCTCCCCCAGACATGTAGTCCAGAGCTGCTAAATTGGGCGACGGGACGGGGGTGGCAATGTGTACCACGGGAGCTGGAAGCTGGGAAAGTACGGTATGCGATTTGGTTGTGCGGGGAGTCTCGATCAAGTTGGAGAGCGAGTTAGTCTGAGAGTTTATGGCCATGAAAAACTGGTAGTTTTCCTCGGCCAGATGAGTGGGGAGGGCCAGACTAATCAGGGGAAGCAGCGTATCAAACTCTTCAGCAAATTTCTCTTCCATATCATCCCATTTCTCTTGTTGGAGGTTATTGTAAAGAGGATATTTATCAACAATATCTTCTCGGAAACTAAAGTAATCCAATGGCGAGCACACTAAACGATTCTCCGGTAAATCTCGCCCGCACTTGTTGGTGATATTGTGCAATTCAACCAAAAACTCGTCACACAGTTGACGATGCAGTTCGGTGCCGAACTCAAATAACATGAGTTTCCACACGAGCATAATGACGTAACGCATGCGAAAGTGGCGAGACGGGTGCCATTTCCATACTTCGAGTAGCTTTACGAGCTTGGATAGAAGATCGGTTTTGTCCAAGTAGTCCAAGAATCGATCTAGCAGAGCCCGCGTTTGTTGTGGTATGGCAGCCCCGCTATCATTGAGACGAATGGCGACATTCACCATCAAATAAACGAGAGTAAGCACTCTAAAGTAGTTTTGTGATGTCAGTTGTGGGAAATCCCACTTTTCAGATGCAACAAGAGAGTCAACGATGCCGACCAAAAGATTGATCACCGGCTTAAAAAAGTCTCTATCGATCAATTCCTCGTTATTATTAGCGATTCGTTTTGTCTGAATCGCCTTAGTTGTTCCTGGCTGTTTGTACTCGCCCAATGCGTAGTAACACACCACTTTTAGCGGCATCGTCACCATGTAACTGTCGTCGGCGAGATTGCGATCAGCGATGTCATCCATGCACAGTTGCAAGAGTTTTTCGTAAGCCGATAGATCGCCATGCTCGTCAATATGTTCATCAAGTTCGCGGTTAAAGTGGTGAGCTAAATCTTCGAGCCCTCCGATCTCCTTAAAATCCAGAAACAGAAACCACTCCTTAACTTCAGTGGCAAGATCGTCAAACTCACTGTATTGGTAGTTCAAATGCGATCGAGTGATAAGGAATTGGTAGTTCATATCACTCATGACCAGGTCGTCGGGGTTGGCATGCGGCGTGCCATCGTCGTCAACGGGGTCCTGTCGCTCGATCTGTTCCGCCATCGCTTTGAGCTTCAGCTGGAACGTCGAGTCTAGGGTGTCTCCTGCAAGCTCATGGCGGGTAGCCTCGTCCGGGTGGTCGATAAGCTGGTCCTCGAGCCGGTCGATGACGTTGGTGTCCATGATGCAGGAAATTCAACACGGATGACTTTGAGTGGTTACCAATATTGTCAATGAACGATTATAGTAAGGGAGTCAGTGGTCGCTCAAAAAAACTGGGGAATTTGTCACGGTTGAACAATCCTGGGTGGGGTACCCCAGGGGTTTTTCGCTACCGCGACGGCAGGGCCAAACTAAATGAAAAATCCTCTCAAGGAATACAACTAAATAGTGGGGCAATTTGTAAATGAATAGAGCTGCATTGAGTTATTTGAGGTTAAAGCTGTTATTATCTTGGTCATTGTTTATTTCCTTCAATTCGCTCGACAAATTTGTCAATGCAACATGTAGTTTTAACTCGTAATTGTGAATTTAGCTATACTTGTTTGATTGATCTATTTTGGGAATTACGGTATCTATATAGGCGATATGACCGTTGTATATGCGCTTATGTGATCTTGGGTATGAATAAATGTGGGTACTATGGATTTGATTTATTATAAATGCCTCGCCATCACACGAATCATCAGGGCCACGTCCCTATGTTACACTATCCGCGGGGAGCACTGCCCTCGATGGTAGTCATTTCGATCAGCTCGGGCTCGGCCACTCGTTCCCCGCGTTCCAACATGTCGTCGAAGAACGTCTGGCGAAGCTCTTTCCACCGGGTGGAATACGTCAGAAGCACCACTAAGAGCACTCCCAGAAGCACCTGGAGACACCACCAAAGTGCCAGCGTCGGGAACCGGCCGGAATAACCCCACACCACCAACAAGTTGATGATGTGGATCGTGAGGGCAAAGTCCCACGCAAGCTTCAGCCGGCCCACGATCAACGTGACAAACAACACGCATAGCAACGAGTCGAATAGCCAAAGTATAAAGAGCAATATCCCCCGGGCGTTCTCGATATCGACCAATTCCCACAGGAACACCCAGTCGAGGTGGAAGTCGTAGCCGGAGATGCTGGCGGCGGCCCAGAAAATGACTAGCGCCAGCACGTAGTAGAAGCACTGGAGTATGAGGATCTGGAGCGCTATCCTCAGGGGACTGGTGATGTCGGACACGGCATCGCCGTTCACCAACTTGGTGTACATCGGCATGGCGATCAAAGGACAGGCGAGCGAGCGATCACCAAAGAGGGGCAATTCGCCGCTGGCGCCAACACATTAGTGGGTAAAGTTGAGGGATAAATAACAAAGTGATGAAGAGGTCTAGAGGTGCAAGTATAAGACAAGTGATTTGTTGATGGTTTTGGTGACACGTCGCGTCATTATAATTATTCGCCTGTCATCTGCCACTGGTGGCTCGGTTGGCGTTGTGGTGACCCATAGTGAGAGCAGTATTCAGGGCTCGCAACAGGCACCAGCCTCGGAGATGGAGCAATATCGCGTCAGTAAATTCCGGCTCCGTGTCCTCCCCTCCCTCACGACACGTCACCAATATCCACACCCCACGCGTCTAACTCTGACTCTAATGATCTAATCGGCCTATATACCCCTATCATATTTTAATTTAAGCCATTTTCGTCTGCTGGCTCTTTCCACGTGACGGAATAGCTGCCTGTCTCTCCCCTCGTTACCAGTTCACCTTAGCAGTTACGCGACGCGAACTTTTTAAGTCTCCTTCCCCAAAAAAGCCGATGTTGTCGTTTCGGAACCTCCTCCTCGTCGTGGGGGTGGCGTTCCACTTCTTCTACCTCTGGTCGATCTTCGATATCTACTTTGTCCTGCCGTTGGTGCATGGGATGGACCACCACAAGCTGACGTGGACCCCACCAGCAAAACGGCTTTTCCTCATTGTGGGTGATGGGCTCCGGGCCGACAAGACGTTCCAGAAACTCCACCATCCGGGCACGGGTGAATACAAGTACTTGGCGCCGTACTTGCGGTCGCTTGCTCTTAACGAAGGCACCTGGGGTATCTCCAATACTCGGATGCCCACCGAGTCCCGTCCCGGCCACGTGGCCATGATCGCCGGGTTCTACGAGGATGTTAGTGCCGTCACCAAGGGGTGGAAGGAGAACCCGGTCGACTTTGACTCGTTCTTCAACCAGCTGACCCATACTTACTCGTTCGGGCTGCCGGACATTTTGCCGATGTTTGCCTACGGTAAGGGTGTGGTTCCCGGAAGAATTGATTGCCACATGTACGGCCACGAGTTTGAGGACTTTACTCAAAGTCTGATTGAATTGGACTCGTTTGTGTTCAACCATTTTGATGCCCTCTTGTCTAATGCTCTGACCAACAAAACCCTCAACCAGGAATTGCGCCAGGACGGGAACGTGTTTTTCCTCCATCTTTTAGGGCCAGACACCGCAGGCCATGCCTATCGTCCTTACCTGGCTGAATACTACGATAACATCGAGTACATTGACCGCCAGCTTAAGGACCTCGTGCCGCGCATCAACAAGTTCTTTGGCGACAAAAACACGGCGTTTGTGTTTACTGCCGACCACGGGATGCTGGACTTTGGCTCCCACGGTGACGGACACCCGAATAACACCCGTACGCCCTTGATTGCTTGGGGTGCCGGTGTGAACAAGCCGGTGCCGCTTAAGAAGCTTCTGAAGCAACAACGGGAGGAGCAAATCATTCGCCAAGACCCGGTGAACCTGGGTTACGAGGAAGACTTCTTTGACACCTGGGAGCTTGACCACTTAGCTCGTCACGACGTTAACCAAGCCGATATTGCTTCGCTTATGGCCTACCTTATCGGGCTGAACTACCCTGCTAACTCGGTTGGGGAGCTTCCCTTGGCTTACGTAAATGGTGATTATGTCACCAAGGCCAAAGCTCTTTACGCTAACGCGTTGGCCATTGTTGAACAATACCAGGTGAAGTTGGAAGAAGTTTACAACTCTCAATTCCGCTTCCGTCCTTACGCTCCCTTTGAAGCACAACTGATTCGGGAATACCGCGACAAGATTGAGACGGCCATCGCCAGATTGGAACGGTCGAAGAAGGACCCTCAAGCTTACCAAGAAGCCATCGACTTGCTGGAACAGTTGATGAAGACAGCGTTGGCAGGTTTGCAATATTTGACCACTTACAACTGGTTGCTTTTGCGACTGATCGTTACCCTTGGTTTCATTGGGTGGATTGGTTGGTCGTTCATCATCTTCTTGAAGTTGTTTGTGCTTAAGCAAAACACGGTCGCCGCTCCTCGCAAGCAGGGGGTACTGATTGTGGCGGCGGTGGTGGGGGCAGTGCTCGGCTACGTGCTCTGGTACCAACGGTCGCCGTTCAACTACTACATGTATGCGGCATTCCCCATCTTTTTCTGGCACGAAATCTTCCAACAGAAGACCACCCTTAGCACTGGCCTTGCTGAGTTCCTCGATGGCCTTCTGCCAGCGACGCGAGCCGGGCTCGCCGTGGCATTTGTCGGGGTGTATGAAGGTATTACCTATGGCTTCTTCAACCGGGCAATGTTCTCAGTGATCCTTGCTCTTATTGGCATTTATCCGTGGTTTATGCCGGGGTCTAAGAAGCAAAAGTTATTGTGGCTGGTTCTGTGTGGCTTCATGTGTATCTTCGCCAACTTGAACCCAATTAAAGTGGAGTCATTGGAGCAGATCAATATGGGTACCCTCTTGGCGCTTCTAGTTGCCTGCTGGGGTATTTGGCGAGTGACGACTCAACGGATTGCGCTGCTGTCACAAGAGTCGCTTTTGTTCGCTCAAATCTTCCTTTGCCCCATCATGTTGGTGGCGACGAATATCCTGGTGCTTTCGCTTCAAGCTCGTACGGGGCTTCCACTCTTTTCGCAAGTGTTGGCGTGGGTGGTTTTAGTGGCGCTGGTGGTGGTTATGCCATTCTTGCACTCGCGTGACGTCAACCCGCTGTGGGAGATGAGATTACTTATCATCTTCATCACGTTCATCCCGTTGTTCACCGTGCTCACAATTCTGTACGAGCTTTTCTTCTACGTTGGGTTCTTCCTTACGTTGATCCAATGGCTTAAGATCGAACAGGGCGCTGCTGAAGGCGCTCCCCGGTCGAAATGGCTCCAGGTGATCCGTATCACTATTGTCGGGTTCTTCTTCTTGCAATTAGCCTTCTTTGGCACCGGTAACATTGCCCTGATCTCGTCGTTCTCGTTGGACTCGGTGTACCGGTTGATGCCGATTTTTGACCCGTTTGCCATGGGTGCCCTTCTCATGATTAAGTTGTTGGTTCCCTACGTGATGCTCCTGCTGATTCTCGGGATCATGAACCACTTGTTGAGCATTCGACAATTTACAATTCTGACGTTGATCATCTCCACTGCGGATATCTTATCGCTTAACTTCTTCTACCTTGTGCGTACGGAGGGGCTGTGGTTGGACATCGGCACCCTGATCTCCAACTACTGCTTGGCGATGTTATCGCTGATGTTCATGTTGGCGTTGGAAATGGTGAGTTCGGTGGTGCTCAAGGGGGTCGAGTACACCAAGCTCAAGACTGAATAGACTAGATAGACTACGTGACATAAATACCCATCATAATGAAATCTCAATCGTTTACTTTTTGTTTGAGTCTACCTAGTCGTCCTCCTTGGACAACAACCCTTCTAAAATCTCCTGGTATTTACCGTTGCTGGCATTGTTAGCCCGCTTCAACGTCGCCTCCGCTTCCTTGTAGTATTGTTCCTGTTCGGGAGAATCGAGTTCGTACATGTTACCCAACGAGATCTTCGCTTCGGCAACAGCCACCCACGTTTCGGGGTCGTCATCGTCGACGGCCCAGTCCAAGTACTTGATGGCGGTCTTAAGCAGTTCCTGGGCCAAAGCTTGCGCCTTTTCGAGAGATAACCCGTGGAGTTCTTTATCGTCTTTGTGGTCGTCGTCATACTTGAGCAGAGTGTACACCAGCAGCGGCACTTCGGCTTCTTGCAAGTACAGTTGGCCCAAAAGCCCACACAACTTACGACGCAACGCCACCCGCTTCGCGTGCTTTTTCAAAAGCTCAGGCTTAGGGACCTCGTTTTCATCAATTTTGATGCCGTCGCCGTGGAGTTGGTGCTCGACCATCAGCATGAATTTCACCGTGTGTTCGCGCCACCAGTTGTTGTACTTGTCCATCTCTCTAATGTTGTAGAGCGGGTGAGTCATGGGGAGTTCCGGAGCTTCAGTTTCTTCCTCGTTTTCGTCATGAGCATCACCGTCTTCTTCGTCGTGTTGAGGTTTACCGAAATTATCCACAATCTCTAAAGTGTCATCGACAATCTGTAAGATCTCCAAAGTGTGGTCGTCAAACACGGCGTAGTTGGCTTCGATCGTCGCTTGGGATTCCGCCTTTTCGTACCACTCCAACGCAGTGTCGAGTTTCGGCAGTAAATCACCTTCACTGTCCATAGTAAGACGACTGATGTACTGTAATGGAAGCTGTTCACAAAGCACGCGGGCCTTAGCAAACTGGATGGCAATCAGCCGCGGGTGAGCTTGCAACCCCAAGTCGAGCCGTTCAATACTGGCCTTGAAATATTCATCAACCTTATCGTTATCGTCACTGTGGAACTTAGCGAGCTCGGCGAGCGCCTGGCCGTAAATGGCATGGAAGTAGTCGGGAAGCTCAATTCTGTCGGTGTTCTCAGCGTTGTCGTGGGCTCTTAAAATACGGTCACACTCATGGATGACGCCATTAACCATTAATTCGTTATCACGGTCGCCGTCGGCGTAGGTGTTCCACAACGCTTTGAGCTGGCCCAAGTCGTCGTCGGCGTCGGCCTCTTCGGCGAGCTCCACCGTCAATTGGCCCTGGTCGTGTTTCTCTTCGTCCTTCACTGCATCCTCCACCGTCTTGGCCTTCTTGTTGTTTTTCAGCGCCTTCCCAAGCCCCAAGTGTCGTTTGGCCATGGTTGCTGAGATGCGCGAGTGAGCCCACGCTAAGGTATATTTGGTGGGACTCCCAGTTGGAAAAATAAGGAAACCTAACTTACTCAGTAGATTGGACACAATCTCAATATTAGTTTACGCGTTTGTTTAAGTTAGTAATCGGGTTGAGGCCGGATTTCGCTACATTTACGGGGAGGTTTGTCGTAAACGTTGCCGATACTCACGGCATCGACCCATGCACTACCGGCAGCATCACCATATGCACCGCAAGTTACGCTATCTTTGACTTTCTTATATTGAACATTTGTCTGTTATATGAAATTGTAAATCCAGACTACAAAAGTATGCCTTAGCCTACTACTGGCTTTACCATTGTTCACATCAGCCACATCCCCTCCTCCCCAGACTATTGTTTTATAGGGATCATCTCGGAGCGTGCGACGCTATATTGTGTGCAGGAAATGTTTCTCACGCCTTTGTAAACCACATCCACTTCAAAACACGCCCTCCCCCTCTTGGCACCACCGAGTTCAACCCCCCCAGGCGCGGGTACAATGAACTTGTATCAGCTTTTAGGGGTGTCCCAGGACGCCTCCGACGTGGAGATCCGCAAGGTGTTCCGCAAGCTCCTGTTGAAATACCACCCGGATAAGACCGACAAGAAAGAAGACCACGACCACTTCATTCGCATCAAAGAGGCCTACGAGACGCTTGCCAGCCCTGACAAACGTCGTCTGTATGACTCTAAGCTCAAACCCCTGCGTGCCCAAACGACGTATCTGACGTATACTCTGGGAGCTGGCCCGCAAACCTCGTTCTATCAAAACAACTTCACTCGTCCAGGATACAACAATGGCAACCTGGCCTCGCATCCCTTTGGCATGTACAACGCTGGCTTTTACAGCAATTACTATCGACGGCAAGAACCTACCTACGAAAGAGCCTATGAAGAACGATTACGCAATGAGGAACGCATTCGCCAGAGAATGCAAGAGCAAGAACGTGCCAACGAAGCTCGTCGTCGTCAACGCATGGAGGAAGAGCGCCGGAAAGCAAAGCAAAGAGCCGCCCAGAACCTGTACCTGAGTGATGACGAAGATGATGGGTTTGGCTATGATGACGTTAATCAACGTTCGCCGTCTGCCGAAGCCCCAGATGCTTTCTCTGAATACTGGAAACACCACGGTTCCAACTCTCTGGACCCGATAGTGGTCGAGTCCGAGGCGGGCAGCAACAGCAGCCTGAGTCAACGGTCGCTGCCGGCAGTCGACGACGAAGAGGAGCCCGAGGTGGCTGGTTTCACTGCCGAAGTCGAGATTGATGATGAAGACGAAGAGGTTGTAGAAAATGCTGAACAGGGGGAAGAAGAGGAGCAAGAAGATGATTTTTCTGACGATGACGCGAGAGATAGCGATTTCGAAGTGGAGGAGATTCCTTCCCCCAAAATACCCAAAGTTTTTGCTCAGCTGCTGCTGCTGCTGGCACTGCTGTCGCTGGGTCCCGTTCTGGACCAGTTTGACAAGCCAAGCGAACCGTCCACCACTCCCGAAAATGAGGAAACCCTGACTAAAACCCCTAAGAAGTCTGGCAAAGCTCCTGTTGATGCCGAACGTCTGGTCAAACGCCGAAAGACGGAAAAGGCTTCTACCTCATTCAACTATAGTGAGCTCGCCTCGCAGTTGAACCACGCCGACGGTGACGATAACGTGAATCTTAATCTGCTTCGTGATCAAATTGACGAAGTCGATCATGAGCGTCGCCTGGCAAGTCCTACCCGAGATAGAACGCCTCCTCGCCGGCGCGGTCGTCCGACAAAGAAATTTCGCCCCGAGTACAATGATGGTAGCCCAGGGGAGACTTTACATACCCCTGTAAACCAACCCAAGGGAAAGCCTGGTGTCCGTGTATTGACCGCGGAATTATTGGGGGCCGAGAAGCGCTCCAAATTCCCTTATCTCAAAGCTCCCGAACCGCCGCAAGATCCGTGCAACTTGACTGAAGCTGAATGGCAGGCGTACGCCTCCAGTGTCGAGAAGTACTTGCAAGCATTCCAGAGATTCCGCAAACAGGTGAATCAATATGAGGCGCGCCGGGTGTGCCTCGATGAGGCTCACCGTCTGGATATCAGTGCCCTGGTGGCAAACTTCCAAGCGTATCAGGCTGCGTTGTCTCGTGATGAAATCATCCAGCAGAAGCTTCGTGACGAAACCAATGCGCTTAACCAGTGTTTGGGTACCTTCCACCGAGACTGGTGGTGGCGTCAACACCCTAACCGTTGATTGGATAACCCGAATAGAGAAGGGAGCTGATGTATAATTAATAGGTTTGAACTGTCAAATGAGTCAAATGTGTCGTACTGATGGTTAAAAGCCAAGTGTAGTCGATTGTATAGTAATGAACTAATATTCCTCACGTACTAAATGGTTTGCCATATAGAAGACATCAACCATGAAATATGATAATTATTGGGGATATAGCTGGTGACAATGACAACTCCACTTCATGACTGGTTCCCAAACAAATATATAGTGGAGTAGACACAATCAACTTCAGGTCTAAAGTGAGAGAATTACGTGGTGTGAGAATCATTCGTTCATTACAGCCCTAATTCCAAAGCAGACGAGACAGCTGGGGTGCAAATGAGTTCAAAAGGTTGGGTTGACCAAACTGCGGCAGCGGATTAGTGGCCGGTGGCACCTGGGCGAGGCCGGATGATGCTTGAGGCTCCTGCGTCACCTTGACGTGAGTAACAGTACCCACGTCATCATAGACCACATCGAACTGGTACTGCTGCAGGGTTCTGATCAGGGTTAAGAACTGGCCCAAGGAAAGCTGGGCCCCCACCAACGTGCGCACCTGGTTGAAGAGCTTGTGCAACGGCGCCATGCCGAATTCAAGCTGGTTCAGCAGGGTGAGCATGTGGAAGGCGTTGTAGGTGGCCAATTGGATCACTTCAGCATCGCCCCCTGCCACTGCCAGAACCATCGGCAGCTCCTGAGGGTTTGTGGGAGCCGCAGAGGCCGCAACCGGAGCAGCAGCTGCAGGAGCCGAGGGTACGCTAGGCATGGAGCCAGGGTTCCACAAATTGGTTTGCGTGGAGAACAGCGGCTGGCGCGTGGCTGACGGTGTCGGTTGGCCCCAAATCAGCTTTCTCTGTGCCAGTGGCGTTTGTGCGGTAAACACATCACTGCCAAACGGCTCACCAAATGGCAGGAAAAGCCCAGGTGACGACGTTACCGGAGTAGCGTGAATATTCCATGGCAGCAGCGACCCGAGGGTAGCAGGGAACGGCAGCGGCTGTGACCCTCCAAGCCCGGGAGGGGGCAGCGGCAGCAACTTGGCGATCGGGGCAAACTGGGCTGTCGGCGTCAGCAGATAGAGCTGGTCGAGCAAGTGGTTCGGGGCGTTAGCCGCGCCCAAACGGGTCAGCAGCACAATCGGCAGCGGCTGAGCCAGGAATGGGAACGACGATTGAGCGGTAGATGTCGGTAACGGTTGAGAGAGTACCGGTTGGGCGGTTGGCTGTTGTTGGGTAGCAATTTCTTGTTGGAATTGCGCGGCCACTTCCTCTGTCTGCCGTTGAAGCTCGCTCGCCTCCTCCTCGGCTTCACGACGTTCGCGTTCAATCCGCTCGCGTTCGCGCTGTTCTTCTCGTTGTTTGCGTTCAAGTTCCTTCTGGCGTTTCTCTTCCTCTTGTTTGGCCTTCTCCTCTTCAGCCTTACGCTTGCGTTCTTCCTTTAGCCGTTTAGCCTCTTCCTCCTTCTTTTGCTGGGCTTCAACACGTTTGCGGTGTTCTTCCTCCTTCCGCTTGAGCTCCTCGATGCGCTTGCGCTTTTCCTCTTCGCGTTTCTGTTGCTTTTCCTCCTTCTTGCGCTTCTGCTCGGCTCGCTGGGCTTCTTGTCGCTGTTTGAGCTCTTCCTCCTCCTTCAACCGCTCTTCTTCCTGGCGTTTGCGTTCTTCCTCCTTCGCTAGCTGCAACAACCGCTTCTTCTCCCGCTGCTTCTCCTTTTGCTTTTGCTTTTTAAGTTCACGCTCCTTTTTGGCCAATTCCTCAGCCTCGAGCTCTTGAATGAGCTGGTTGGTGCGGTCTTCAGCGAGCTTCTCCTTGTAGGCATTCTTCAACCGTTCCTGGAAGAGTTTAATCACCTGGATGAGGAAGAGTCGCCTTATTTCTTGCATCTTTTCCTCCTCCAGGATTTCCAGTTCGGTATCCAGAACACACAGTGCCTCGTCGCTGGCATCTTCAAGACCTTCGCTTTCCTCTTCGTCCTCGAAAAGCTCGCTTTCCAGAGCATATTCCTGAGCCGGTGGCGGCGGAGCAGGGGCACTGGGCTGGGGTGCCGGTGCCGGTACGATCTGGTTACCGTCGGCGTCTTCCTCCACAAGCTCTTTGAGGAGGTCTTCGCGCTCGGTACGCAGCTCCAGCAACAGCTCCATCATTTCGATGAAGGAGTGGCCGTCGTTCTTTAGTAAGTCTTCGGCAAACAGCGAGAGCCCCTGGCTGAACTGGCGGATGTTGGCTGCCGCCTGAGTGGGCTCTTCCCCAGTAGTCAGTGGTGGTTCCACCGAGTTGAAGAGCTTGCTCATATTCTGTAAAAACAGCATCCCCTTCTCCAAATGGACCTTATCGGCTCGGTGGAAGTCGCGGATGATATCTCGGAGGCTACCGGCTTTCTGTAGAAGGCTGGCTCGGTTAATATCGTTGACGTCTTTGAGCTTTTCAAAATCGAGAGTTTCCAACGCCTCGAAGAGTTTCGGGTCCAAAAGCGCTTTGAACACGCGTTGTTCCTCCACTGATAGTTGTGTGGGGATCTGGTCGGCGGGGTTAGCTCGCGGGAACAGCGATACTGCGCCATTGGGAGTTTCCAGGGTTTGTTGTTGTGGGGGCTGCGGTAGGCTGTCATGAGTGGGTGGAGTTGCTTGCTGAGGCACTTGAGCCTGGGCTAGCTGTTTCTGCTGCTGAAGTTGTTGTTGCTGTTGGCGTTTCTGTAACCGGTGCTCTTCTTCAAGCATGTGGAAGCCGCCAAACAACAACCCCGGCAACGCGTTCAAATCATTAATATCGCGCACCTCGTGGATGAAGTCGATGATGTCGTCAAAGTGGTTTTCGTAGATCAGGTCCAACTCGTCCTCAATCACGTTGTTGCGCCGGCCACAGTACTTGCACGTACACGCCAGCAGCAGCGCCTGGGAGTGGTGGTGGTGATGGTGGTGGTTATGGCCGTGGCTCTGGTCGTGCCGCTGGGCGTTGCGGCGGAACATCTCGAGGATCAGTTTCTTGTCGATTTTCACGAGCTTCATCTTCAGCTGCTGGTCCAACAGCTCCCAGAACGCCTTGAGGTTTTCCTGCTCCTGCTGCAGCAGCTGGTCCCAGATGGCGTGGTCGGGCGCCGGGAGCGGCTCGGGGTCATCGAGCAGCTCGACAATGACGTCGCCGTTGGCCGCCTGCTTGATTACTCTCAGCGTAGGGTAGTCGTCGTTGGGGTTGGTGAGGTGGGCCTGGGCCACTGTCGGCGCGTCGGCGGCCTTCAGGCGCTTTTTCTTCTTCTTCTTGGATCCCGTGCTCACCGGTGGTCGTTCGCCGGTGTAGTCAAAGTGGACGTCGGCGCCGTTGCGGAACTGGCCCATGTCGCTCATGGTAGCCCTAATAGCGGATGGAATTTTTCGCACTGAGGGTGGTTATGGCGGTGGAGCCAGGGTCGATTAATGGGGCGAGATGAGGGGGTGGGACGGGGTTTTTCCAGTGGGTTGTCCCTTGAGTGGGTTGTAGAGGATGTTACAAGAGGTTTGGTGGTGGTTATAGGTGTGGGGGCGGGCTGGGTGCTGAGTAATGGCGGCGTGAAACGAGAAGGTTTAGCATGAGGTGAGGATGCAGAGAAGGGAAGAGTAGCCCACAGATTAACTGACGATACCCAAATTAGCTTCCAGAGGCTATAATTGAATGACCAAGGACAAAGGCACTTTACTTCTTTCAATTTCATTGTGTTCACTCAAAGCCTACCAAGTCTACCACGCTGCCTAAGCCTCTCACATGTGGCTAGTTATAACCACCTGATGTCTCTCTCTAAATTTTAAATTTTAACAATCAATTATCAAAACTAGCATTACTATCGCAATTGACAAAATAACGAATCTCGTCAATATCGGCCTTTGCTGGCAGACCCCGTAGGCGTGTGAGCTGAGCTTTCTTATATCGGAAATGGGTGAACCCTCCCCCGGAGCAGGAGAAAAAAAAAAATTGTATATATTTACCTGTCATGCAGGTCACATGATTACCTAATCGCGACGAGGCGGGGAGATATCGGGGGGTGCGCATATGCTTTCTCCGTCAAATAAAGCTCTAGCTAGACGACGACGGCGACGACGATTTCTGCCCCGAAAGTTGTTGTCGGAGTTGATCGTTTTCGTGTAACACTTTTTCCACCAACTCGGTGAGGCGGTCCACTCGTTCGTAGAGCCCGTAGAGCTCCCAGGGGATCCCCTTCTGCGACGCCAAATCCACAGGCTGGGCCACTTTGTCCACGTCTTTAGTGAACTTATCGATATCAATTGAGAACTCAGGATCCTGGTTCTCCCCTTCACGTTGGTCAGCAAGCGCGGCCGCAATCTCCAGATTACGTTCACGGATGCCCTCCCAGATCAGCGACGTCAGCACTTCAAACCCATCCTTTAAGTCCCATTCGACGTTGATTTCGTTAGCATCGTCAGGTAACCCTTTATAACGATTATACTGGATACGACGAGCATTACTTAATTCGTAAACAGTGACGTAGGTAAGCATGGGAGCATAGAGCACCGTCATCACCACGCGATTAATCGCCTTGTACATCGACTTTGACACAAACCACAGCAACGGCGAGATCACCACTTCCACAAGATTGAGTGGAGGTACGTAGAGGTCTTCATCAGGAGCACGAATGTAGCGGAGCGTCTTTTGCGACACGAGGGCGAAATACTCCTCGGTGGCGGACTCGGTGATGTTAGAGTACGACGTGGAGTATAACGCAATAAGGATATTCATCAAGATCACCGTAAGCAAGAAGGTATAGATGTATTGAAGCACCAGGGCGTAAGGGTAGGCAAGCCCTTCCAACAGTTCGAACCCACCACCAATCACCCCCTTAAGCAACGAAATGAAAATCTCTTTAGTCTTGTCACTACGGCCATCAGCCATATCGAGACCAAGAAACCCTTGGAGGAAGCCAATAATCACCACAAACAAAAGCAAAAAGAATAAAAGCGATTCCTTCATCATCGCTTTAATCACCACAATCATCGCCCCAACGAACGCTTGGGCATCAAGGAAAAGCAAGAGTCTCGTCCACATGAATGGAGCGGCACAGGCTAACACCCGGTAACTGATCAAATAGTATTTCTCCATGGCATCATGATCGTCACCAGCTTCAACACTAGCAAACCTGAATATGATCAGCACAATGATAATGGTATAAGTACAATCAGAAAACACGTTCCAGAACGTCAAGTAACTCCAGCCAACATGGTAGAACTTGATCCATTCGTCGAGAACAAAGCCAAGGGTAAACAAGTAGAAAATCCACTCGACGGCGGCAATATTGTGTGGGTTTTCCACCGTCAAATTGAGCACTAACGTAAACAACACCAAGTAAATCATTGAGAAAAAGATCTCCAACATGTTTTGGTAAAGGGGAGTCTTAATCCGGTCGGGGTCAAAGTGGGCCATGATCAGCAGCAGTGCCACTTTCTTGTAGTACACGTACAGGTGGGGGTCCTGGCTCAGTTGCACAATCCACCCCCGCCACAACCACTTCATACACCGTTGGTAGCCCAGACAACTGATGACAATAAGCAGGTGCATGTCTACCGCAAGTTCAAGTGCAGACACTGACGGTTGGTCGGTTTCGTTGAGGTTAATGGTGTAGCGGTGGCATAACATCCCCAAGAACAAGTATTGGTCCCTCTTTTCCAGTTCGATAAGTCTCAGGGCAATCGTCTGAGCCACGGTCGCTCTTAAGCAATAGAGACCACTGTCACTAAGCTCGGTCTCGGCTAAGTCCTGGTACCATCTCGTCACCTGGAGGAGACAGTAGATAAGACACGCCCGGTACTTATACGACAGCGTCCCTTCCTCGCCGTCGCCTTTACCGCCAGCAGCTTTGCGGGCCAATTCAATCACCAGGTCGGTCAAAATCACCAGCCCCAGCTTGAGCACGTCGTGCTCGTCGAACTCGACGGGGATCACCTTGTCGATGAGCAACTTCAAGTTGATGGCGATGCGGAGGGTCTGGCGGGAGTTGGGGCAGTAGGTGCCCAGGAACAGCGCCCCGTCCTCGTGGACCAGGGGAAGCTCGAGGTCAGGCATGGGGTCTTTTGGTAGGTAGTGACGGAGTGTGGGGTAGGGATGTGTGGTTGACGACGATAATGAGAGCAAGGGGAGCAGGTGCAGGTACGTGGTGGGGTATGTACATTCCGCTACCAAATGGCATTAGTGGCAAGACTTTTGAATAATACTCTAGAGCTGTGTTTACTATACTTTTAATGGAAAATGACACAAGTGTGTAAGGTAGGGTGTTTATTGTTTTTGGGGTACGTCTGTCGACGTTTGGTCCTGCGCGTCAGTCTACTAACCAAACACGGCTGTGAGGTGGTTAAAGTGTGCGGGCGTGGCGCAACTGACACGTCGCGAAGGCAATAAAGGCCGTATCCTTTTGAATATTCTGGATGCCACTAGACACGATCAGATCTACGCTATTTTGGGGTTGTCTTTCCGGCAGATTTCGAGGTCCAGCAGTGCAATCTGATATCACGCGCCGTGTTGATAAAGTCAATAATTTTCCCATGGAAGATAGAGGCAAAATATGTGTGCCATCTCAGACAGGCCTTTTCGGGAGCTTTAAAAAAGAGGGAATCCAAAATATAGACGAAAAAAAGATTCTCCCGAGCGTGAGTCGAACACGCGACCTTGAGATGACAATTCCATTACAGTCTCACGCTCTACCAGCTAAGCTATCGAGAGGTATCTGATTTTTTTCGTTTTCCGGTAATTTGAATCTGGCAATGGTAACAACAATATTGCGCAGAATATCGCTCATTTCTTAGATTTCGCGCTTCTATTGCCATGAGCACTATTATAGTAGGCTATACCCGTGATTGACACTTCTTTACAGACGATATATAGATACTAATGCAAGTATATGTGAAAAAAAGTTCGCTGAGAGTAATCGTAGCCATGGCTGCTCTTCTATTAGCGTAAAATGGACCCAGCTGTCTCCTCCATGGCTGTCCTGAACTGATTGCCGAGTACAACATTGCAAAGTGCGCCATGAGGACTGGGGTCACACACCTGCTCCCAGAGAGACCACGAGGATCCCCGGCAGGGTGCACGCCGACTTCAGAGGGACGCAACAAAATGAGAGCACTGTCGGAATCGTGTCAGCAACAGCCATGTCAGAGGCAACCAAGCCACCATACTCTATTAGAGAAGTGGCCATGACCAAGCTTGAAATTGTGAGGAGAGGATAGAGGAAAAGGCTCGCTATTTATGCTGTTCGGCAAGACTCTCGGGGGAAAAAGTTCAGGTCGACGACAAAGACTCAAGGGGTAAAGGCAGGCTCAACATTCCGCAGTCGCCATTGTTCACATTGTCGTCTCGTCAACTGCTCCGCCCAGATTGAGTGCATTGCCCAGCATTCCCTAGTCGCGCGATCCTTCATCGTGAAGTAGTGGCAACGGCGACAGTAGGGAGATCTAATCAAGATCCATGGCGCACGAACACAAAGCAACGAATAACTGTCCCACTTCTTTTCTTCATTTCTTCACTTGTATCATATTTCCAATCCTTGGTAGATTGATGACGACGACTCAATGGGTAAAGGCGAGCACGGTATTCTGCAGTTCTCATTGTTCGCGGTGTCGCCTCGGCAACGGTCCCACTTCCAAATTAGGTGCGTCGTCTAGCATTCCCTAATCGCGCAATCCCAGATTGTGACCATGCTGACATAGAAGGCAATGAATGAATTCAATTGAGATTTTTGGTACACAGGCAACGTTGTGGTGGTAAACTTTAAACAGCATTTCCACACTTCCCATTCGCCAGTCCTCCCAAAAGCCCGTATTCCAACTCAACTGAGCTTCAGTAGAGCTGGATAATAACAAGTAGAACAATTTAATTGTCTCATTATGGAGTTGAAAAAAGCAACAATGCCCTTGTTGAAGAACGGCGTTGTTGGCAACCAGTTGACGACGCGACCATGCAGATAATATCTTCAACATCGTGAAGGTGTAGAGCCGAGGCGTGAGCTCACTGGGGGACCGAGTCACAATGCAATTTTTTGAAGCTCGGCTTGTGTCATCAGCAATGGAGGGCACCCACTATGGTCTGAGTGACGTTGACCTCTGTGTTTACAAAATCAAGTGCGATAAACTCTGTGGGGTGCACATCACGTGATCTAAATTACCATGAATGAGTTTTGCTAAGGCGAAAACACCTGAGTGCCCCTTTTTGTCACTACCGTTTTTGGGGGCTATATTTGGCAGAGTTGGCGACTAATAGCCCCAATAGAAGAGGCTTCAGCAACATCATTTCTTGTAGAGTTGTTTAACTCATCGACTCAACCATATGTCACTTATAAAGGTCATTTTCATCGTATTAGGTGCGGCTTGGTTTATAATCTTCATTTACGTGTAAGATTACTATGTACTGGTATCAATTCCACCGGGTGTCCATATATTCGTCATCGGACTCCTCGTTGGTCTCCATATCTCCTTCTCCCTCCATCTGGTCCACAATCATCCGGCTGGTGTGCAACCGCAAAAGCATCCGGGCAAGACGGGCGCCGTCTTCCGGCAGCAACTGGTCCTGCTCCTGGCCTGGTTCCTGGGGGCGTTCCGGTCGCAACAACTGGAATAACTCGCGGATTTCGGGTTCGTATTCGCTCATTTGCGTCATAAACTCATTGGCATCCATCTCCCGGTCCGACGGATCGAACTCCATGTCGTCGTCAAGCCAGTCGTCGTCGTGGTCCACTTCGTCGTCTTCGTCGTCGTCAAGCACCACCGGCCACGCCTGGGGGATGTTCACCTGTTGCGGTTCATCGTCGGTGTCGTCTTCATCACCAGTGATCGTCGGCGGTTGACCGGGTCTAAACATGAACCGGGTGGCATCCAAGTGCCAGCGGCGCCAGTCATGGAAGGCATCATTACGCAGCAAGTAGCCTTCAAGCTCATGGGTGAGGTACATCTTATGGAGCAAATTGAGACGGTCTTGACTGAGCACCGCCGGTTCATGACGTGTAATCAGCTTAATCTCCCCGTGTTCAGTGACATAGGGACCAGGAAGCTCTGCCCCCTTCATTTCGCGGCCTTCTTTGTACTGAACGATGACAACGTTTCGCAGCGGCACATAGCCGACACTAAGGCCTCGACCACACGTCATCACGTGTTCTGTGTCCCTAATGGAAACCGCAACGCCGCAAAGCAAGCAGCACCGACGCGAGCGCAACTGGTGCAGTCTCATTTTACCCACCATCTCCAACGAGTTGGCGTGAAGCGAGGGAAGCTCAATAAACAGACGCGGGCCCGCGTACTCAAGCATTGAGTACAAGCCAGAGTTGAAAACCAATTGGTCCCGCAATTCCTGCACAGCAACGGCGAGCTCAGTTTCATCATGAATCAATGTGGCGTAATCAGGGAGCCCTAATAAGTCACAAAGCGACGCGATATCGCTAGTGGAGTGGTCGAGGGTCGACTCAAAGTGGCCCTCAGCGGTGTACTTGGTTGCCACCAAGTCGTAGAACAACGCCGCTTGCCGGACAAAATTGTAGTAATATGGTTCCATCAGCCCCACCGCCGGTCTATCGCCGCCGACCACATCGCGCACAGCCGCCACAAGTTTGACATAAGCAGGTGTACGGTCAACATCACTGACAAATACACGCTTTTCCATGTCGATGATGCCTTCGACGATCAATTTGCAGGCATGCTTCTTCACCACTTGAGGCCACGACTCCTGATGGAAAAGCCAATACAAAATGGCACGCTCAAACACGCCAAGGTACTCCGTGTCGAGGGAGGGAGAGTCACCCTTACACATCACTTCCTGGAGAAGCACTCTTATCGTCTGCTTAGCTGAGGCGGGGTAGTCCCAGAGCCCCCACTTGTCCGGTTCACCCTTGTCTCTTTGAGCCAGTTCGTACATCCGCACCGTGCCTGCCAACAACGTCATCAAATCACAAAATTGATCGGCGATAGCGTCACGGGAAGCACCCGCGAAATTATCCGCTGATTGGAATTGGGATCTGGCTAACACTTCGCGCACTGAAGGTTCGCAGACCGCTTCCTTCGTGAACGGCTCGGCACTGAGCTCGGCCAGGTGAGGGTACCACATCTGCGCGAAGTTGTGTTGCACGGTACGGCACATCGCGCATTTCACCTCGCCGTTGGGGCGTCGGGCCGTCCTGTAGCATTCCTCGTGGATATGGTGGCCACACAGCACCACCCCTTCCAGGTGCCATTCACCGTACACTCCCTGGGGTTCTACCTCAGGGTCCGGGGAAACGAGGCGAGTCGTACACAAGTTCACTTTTTCATATAAGATGCCAAACACGTCGTCGGGACGAATAGCTTCGTTACACTGGACACACTGGTACCCCTTGGCGTTGTCGTCGGGTGCAGGGGACTCGTCGACGAGTTCTTGGTTATTGGCCACAAAATCCTGTTGCTGCCGCTTAAACTTGGCCATGACCCGATTCTTGCGTTCTTCGGCCTTCCGCTTGCGGCGCTCAGCTTCCGTCTCTTTGGAGCTAGCGGCGGGCAGTTGGCCCTTGGAGCTTGCTTCTGTAGGATACTTGGCCTCGACTGCCTGATTAATCGCTTGATCGTGGTTGCGCAAAAACCCAACTAAGTGGCGAGCCGTCGCCGTCGTCGGTTTAGCGTATTCTCCCCGGTTTACAATTTCTGCAAGCTGCAAAGCTACGGGGATAAGCGTCTCTGGGTCCACTTCTGCAGAGTTGAGGTCAAGCACAATGACGTGAATGTACCTTAACAATTGCGGCAAGAACGTTTCCGAGGTGTCAGCCAACGCTTTAGACAATAGCCTTTGCAAAAGCTTGAACATCGTCGGCGTATAGGCGAGCTGAGCCACCAGGGCGTCGATGCTGGCGTCGTGGGCATGATATACTTGCGGCGTAAGCACGACTTCGTCTGGGTTCTTGGCATTGATAAGCTGGCGTTGGTGGGCACTAATGGTATCGAATTGGCCCAGCTGAGTGAACTTAGACATTGGATCAAGCTTCGCCATCCACGAGTCCTTTAAGCGGTACTTACCGCTATCAGAAAGCCCCTTAGGAGGAGCGTATTCGGCCACGTGACGTAACTGATTGTCAAAGTTGACGAAATCGTTGAAGGCATCGTGAATGTGCCGTTTGATCACGGAATACGCCCGCGGCTCGTCGGCAAGGGTGTAGGCGATCTTCCACTGCAATTCCTCTTCGCGATTGTAGGAATCAATCCGGGTACGATCAACGAAAAGCACGTAGAGGAACTGGATGAAACGCTCGACAATAGCATCAAATCGGTCGGTCTCGTAGACGGTATCGGCGATAGCGTCATTATAATAGAACCATCCCAGCAACTCCCAAATGTGAAGGAAGAACGATAACGTTTCCGTGGGGTTTGACCCGACAATCGCCAGTTGACACACGTAAAGGTCCTGGAAGTAAGGGTCGCCTTCAAGCAAAAAGCTGAGGTAGGCCAGGGTCTGCTTCAGCACCACCAGACCATTACGCACCCACAATCCCACTCGCGCTTGCGCAGCAAACACAATCAGACGAACCAGCCACCAGGCGACACAGTTGGTGACGGTAGTGAAGTTATTGGTAAGCCACCACCCAAGGAAGGTCTGGATAGCGTTGATCAAGTTCACCGGCAGGCCCAGCACCGCGTGGTCACGGTGATCGAGGTCGATATTGATCCACTCAAGACTGAGCTTCTCAGCAAACGTTTTCACACTGACGTTGCTACCATTGGCTTGAATATTTTGGGCAAAGTTATTGGCAAACAGGAGCACACAGTCGACGATGGCGAAATAGTCTTCGGCGCGGAACATATCCCACTCGACGTGGTCGCCAAGCTTGCGGAGTACCGGGGAAAACCCTTGAAAAAGCTTGAGATACTTGTAGCAGATGTCAAACAAGTCCTCCAGCTGACTGAGGGACACTTGATCAAGCATTTCCGGCAGCGTCATCTTCGCCACCGTGCTCATGTGGCGTACCATGGCCACCGCAAACGACTGGTGGTTACGCACGTTATCGCGCTCCCGGTACAGCTTAAACGTGCGATCACCGGTAAAGGAACTCCTTTCGGAACAGCTGGTGTTGATAAGCAGGACACAGGGAGCAATGAGTAACCCGATTTTGTTGGTGGTGACGAGATGCTGAATGGTGACGGGACACGTCCACAACTGCACGGCAATCTCGGGGAGAACGGCGAGGCCCTCCTCGCGCTCGGACACCGCCTGGATAGTGAAAAGCATGGGGAAAATTGCCGCCACTTGTTCGGCAAATTGGCTCTTAAACTGGGGCTCGGCAATCAAGCTCAGGGTGAGCATGGTGGGGAGATAGCTGCGGACCTGTTTGGTCAAGCGGATCTCGTATGCAAGTAAGTATTGGAGGCGGGTGCCGTAGAACTCGTCCTGGGAGTAGATCATGGTGCCGCGGTCGTTGAGCTTGGGGAGCATGGGTTTGATGGCGCCGTTCCAGAGAAGGCCGTCAGTGAACAACGCCGGTTCATTGTCGTTAGTCATGCGGTCACTGACGACCTGCATCAACTTGCCGCTCGGCCAGTAATCCTTATCCAAAAGCAAGCGAGCAAACGCCTGGGAGGCTGCGACCCCAATGGTAGGGTGAGCAATGATCTGCTTAATCCACCCAAAGATGGCGATGACAATTTCCTCTCGCATGTAGTCTCGAGCACTACATATCAGCAGCACCAACGCTGGTTTAGTGGGCAGCAGTGTTTCCTTTATCTTTTTGTGGTAGTGCACCAACCGCATGGGGTCGGGGTCGGTACGAAGAATGGCCCGGCCTTCTTCGTTGATCTGGTTGGCGTAGGCAAAGCACTGAGTGTCGCTGCCGTCGGTGGCGGCTTTAATCGCCGCCTGTGCTTCCGGGAAGTTGTGGCGTTCATCATTCCACAATACAAGCACGTAGGGGCCAAAATTTCTATCTTCACAAGTAGAGTAGTAGGGGAGATCCAGGATATCGGAAAACTGCTCAATCTCGTCGTAGGCAGCGGCTTCTTGTACGGCAGGCAATGTGCCGATGGAATGCGAAAGGACATCGAGCACGTAGTCGAGGGCGACGCTCATGGTTTGTTCGATCAGTTGCAGAAGCTTCAGGCTCAGTTCGGGGACGGTATCTTCAGCACAGAGGCAATTTAACGTGGTAGGAAAAGCTTCCGGGTCCAGACAATCGCACAACCCTCCCGTGGTGCCACTAGAGATGGACACCCGCACATCGTGGCCTCGGTGGTCTTCCGGGTTGAAACAGTGGCAACAGAGAACACAGGTATCGTCGAAGCCACACTCAACGCAGCGGTAAAGCGGCTCGCCCGCCCCGATGAGACGAGCACATATCCGGTGGCGCAAGTGGAAGTACGACTGAGAACTCGCCGCCAGAGACGAGAACACTTTGTGGGCGCGGCTGTCTCTGGTGACGCCGAGGCCAAACGCCTTATCGGTGGGGTCGATATCCCGGGGGTGGAACTGGGAGAGGTCCGTGTGGGGGAAGATCGAGGGGAGGTCGGCGCCGTCGTTGGTGGCGGCGACGTAGAGGGCGCGGTAGACGTTGGCGGCGATGGCCTTGCCGTCTTTAAACCCTAGCCGCAGGGGGAGGCTGACAAGATACCCCTTGGTGTCGATCATGGGAGGGGTTAATTGTGAGCGGACTATGGCGTGTGCGCACGGTGATAAAATCGCTGCCAGTGCGGCGAAACGACCACAGAGACGGTGTCAGGTGAGCCCTAAGGTTTCGGAAACAAATGTTGCTACATTGAGTTGAGAGTTTAGATTTTGAATTTTTGTAGAGGAAGCTGATGACTTTTTTTTTAATGTTGGTTTGAGGTGACTATAAGCCGAGATCGGTAAGTATAGTAAGGCAAGGCAGAAACCACCGGTAAACTTTCTGTAACAGATCAGAATGCAAATATTTGCCATACTCAGTTAGACCATTTTCTATAGCAGTAAAAGCTGGTATTAATCTATGAATGGTTGGCCTATAAAATTAAACATTGAATTTCGATGAGGTCCACTTGCACTAAAGCTACTAGCAAAACGACTCAAAAATAAGTAAATGTCTTTGAATAAGTTGGTATAGCTGTCTTGGTCTTCCACTTCCTTCTTAGTGACTCACTTCACTGTGGTCTCGATCTACAAGCCGATTTCCATCACGCGAAAATTTCACCATGTCCACCACTGTCACCGACCCCAAGGCGCAGTACGCCCTCATCACCAAGGGTTTACAGGAAGTGCTCAACGGCCAGATCATCCAGGATGTGCTTGAAAAAGAGCAGCGTCCGTTGAAGATTTACTGGGGTACTGCCCCTACTGGTAAGCCTCACTGTGGCTACTTCGTCCCCATGGTCAAGCTCGCCCACTTCCTTAAGGCTGGCTGTGAAGTCACCGTGCTTCTCGCTGACCTCCATGCGTTCTTGGACAACATGAAGGCGCCGCTTGAAGTCGTCCAGTACCGGGCCAAGTACTACGAGTGCGTGGTGAAGTCGTTGCTTAAGTCGCTTAATGTCCCCATCGACAAGTTGCACTTTGTTGTGGGTCTGTCGTACCAGTTGACTCCCGAATACACCATGGACCTCTTTAAGTTGCTGAACGTGGTGTCGCAGAACGGGGCTAAGCGTGCTGGTGCCGATGTCGTCAAACAGGTCGACAACCCGCTTTTGCTGGGTTTGATCTACCCGTTGATGCAGGCGTTGGACGAAGAACACTTGAAGGTTGACGCCCAGTTTGGTGGTGTCGATCAACGTAAGATCTTTGTTCTTGCTGAAGAAAACTTGCCCCTGTTGGGCTACAAGAAGAGAGGTCACTTGATGAACCCGATGGTGCCTGGCTTAGGTGAAGGCGGTAAGATGCTGGCTCTGGACCCCAACTCGAAGATCGACGTGCTTGAAGACCCTGCTGTTGTCGCTAAGAAGATTAAGAAGGCGTTCTGTCAACCGGGCCAAGTTGAAGGTAACGGTTTGATTGCGTTCTTGGAAAACGTCGTCCAGCCGATCCAGGAATTGTTGAACGAACAAGACGGCTACTTCAAGTTGGACATCGACCGGCCGGAAAAGTTTGGCGGGCCCATTGCCTACCTGCTGTTGGACCAATTGAAGCAAGACTTCAAAGAAGAAAAGTTGGCGGCGCCCGACTTGAAGTTGGGGGTCACCCTGGCCATCAACGGCTTGTTGGCGCCGATCATCGCCGACTTTGCTGAAAACAAGGAGTTCCAAGAGGCTCAGGAAAAGGGGTACCCCCCCGAAGCGCCTAAGGAAAAGAAGGCGAAGAAGGAGAAGAAGCAAGGGACCAAGTACCCGGGTGCCGCCAAGGCCAAGGAGCTGAAGGAAGCGGCGTTGGAAAAGAAGGAAGCCGCCGCTAAGGAAGCCGCCGCTGCTAAGGAACCGGAAACTACTGCTTAGGCATTTTAATACATATACATAGTCTGATCTCAGCCCCTCCATCTTGCGAGTATTTGATCTCGCGCTCGTAACCAGAATTCGCCCTGCATACAACCCATCCAATGGTGGCCGGCCAATATGCGAAAAAAAAAGGCGAGCGACTCAACTGATAATCACCGAAATGGTAGGTACCGCCACGGCGACCATCGCCTCCTCCGCGCTTTACAGGGTGAAATTCCACTGCCCACGCCTTCTCCGCCGTTGATTGTGATTCCCCATGATGGTTTCCTTCAACTGGAGCCTACGGTGGTGCCGATATCCGTTCCCCTTTTATCGCGTTGAACCCAATATACTTGAACAACCAACTAACTTACTAGCTCGCTGCTCTTTTCTCCAGAAACTCTGTGTTTGTCGGTACCGTGTTTGCTGGTGCCTTTGTCTTTGAATCTTGGTTCGACGCCGCCGTCACCAACTGGTACGACAACCACAACAAGGGCAAGTTGTGGAAGGACGTCAAGGGCAAGTTCGTCGAACAAGACGGTGACGACGACGAGTAAGCGCTTCCCTTCCCTTCATTTTGGCATATAGAAATATTAACGTAATATACTGATAATCGTGTAGACACCACTACCAGTTCTTGTTCTATTCGCAACCACTTTCGCAATCGGACCTTTGCACTTTAATATAAGGTTAGGCGATGTTAGCGGCGCGGCTCCTATCTCGACCGTGGACGGTTTCAAGAGGTTTACAATCCGCTTATCGTTGTTATCTGGCTCTGGTAAAGGCGGAGCTGGAGCCGCTGAGTGAGGAGGTGGCTGAAGCTAGGCGGTGGCTCGATCTGTTTAAACATCACCAGATCCCTCGTCAAGAGTTTGAAATTACGTTCAGTCGGTCTCTGGGTCCTGGGGGACAGAAAGTGAATAAAACGTCGTCTAAGGCGACGGTGGCATTAGCTCCTCATAAATGGCTTAATCCTTATTATACTCTGTGGATTCCTAAAGCAGTGGCAGCTCAGCTTCAAACGGCGAAAGTGAGGTACGAGACGAAGATGGGAGGGATCACTATACAAAGTGACGTCACTCGTAACCGAGAGACTAATACTGATGAGTGTTTCCGCAAGTTATTAGAGGAGATTCATGATAAAGTGGAGTTTGCTGGGGAGACACTGGAGGAGACTAAAGAGCGATGGCAGGAGATCAAGACTGATCGTAAGGAGAAACGGTTATTCAATAAGAAGAAGCTTAGCGACAAGAAGAAACTGCGGGGTAAGCTCTCATTATGATGTATATAGTCAGCATAAACCATCTAGCATGAGTATTTAGCATTCGTAAGTTTCTATCATTCTTCGGTTTTTGGTAATTATGATAAAAAACTAAACTTGAGCTCAACAATGGACTCTGTTTACAACTTAATAGCTTGACTAGCCTTTTCTACACTATTGCTAGATTTGCTTTGAAGAAGTTAGTAGTGTTGATTTCCATTAGGTATCGTGCATTGCTTCTATCATTATGGTTTAGGCGGCGGCTTCGGCGCGGTCGAGACAGTCTAAGAGCTCGCCCCAGAACTTGGCGGCGTCGATGGTGGTGCCGATGTACGATCCATTGGCATCGTCATCCATCACCAATTGGCCCGAGTGTTCACCGGACTCAGTCACCAGGCACTTGGCTCGATCAGCCTTGTAACCGTAAGTGTCAAAGTCATTGTCAATCACTGGCAAGAGGCAGTAGAGAGCCACAGGGTCGTGGACGGGAGGACCAGCAGTAATACCGTGGTTCTTGATGTACAGCTCATTATAGAACATCACCACGTTATAGAACCACTCGCGTATCAGAGTGCGGTTGCCCACCATCCGTTCTCTCACCTCGGCCAGAGCGTTGCATTGGTGAGTGAGATCAAGAGGAGCGATGATCGCCTTGGATCCAAGCTTTTGCAAGCAGAAGTTGGCGGCATGGGGGTCAGCGTAGAAGTTGAATTCAGCGTATTTAGTGGCATTGCCTCTGTGGACACCACCACCCATGATCGCCACGTAACCGATCTTTTGCTCAATGCCGGGATAAGCCTGCAAGAGCTGAGCGAGGTTGGTCATGGTACCGGTGACGGCAAAGCAGAGCTCGCCCGCGTGCGCTTCAATGGCATCGTGCATCGCCTGCAAGTACAGTTTGTCCGTCAGCTTGTGGTGTCTGGTTTCCACGGGGATGTTAACGCCGCCGAGGCCCAAAACACCGTGGATCTCGGGGGCAAACTTCAGCGGGTTTACCAGCGGCTTGGCGGCTCCTTGGTACACGGGGACGTTCTTGTGGATGACGTCAAGAGTGTAGAGAGCGTTGTGGGTGGTATTTTCGATGGGGGCGTTGCCATGAACGGTGGAGATAGCGATAAGCTGGAACCGGGGGTGGTATGCCGCCATGAGGATGGCGAAGACGTCGTCGTTGCCGGGGTCACAGTCGAGCCACACGGGGATTGTCAGCGTGGTCATTAATTGAAAGGAAATGATTCAAAGGAAAGGCTGTAGATGTGATGGGGGAATTGTGGGGTTCTTTTGTATGCCTGGTTCCGGTTGGGGTTGGGGTCGCTCTCGGAGAACATTTTCCGATGCAGCGGCACCGACGGTGCCCCGACGGTCATCATTTAAGCTGGAAGCCCGATGCGATGTAACGTTCCCCTCCTTTTATAACTCGTGTTGAGACAATGGTGACGCTAATCAACTTCCGTTAGTGTGGTCAACCTTCGGAAACCATTTACCGAAGGTAATGACGAAGGTTTCCGTAAGTGACGACATTTCCGACACGCCGCAAGTGTCGTCAGTGTCGGTAGTAACATATTTCGGTATACGCACTCACCACCAGTGCGACCTCATCCTCTTTACCTTTCACCAGACACTTCAAATCCAGCAATGTCGAAGCGGGAATGCGCTAGCAAGATCGTCAACTTGCTCAAGACCCTCCCCCAGGAGAACCTCAAGCACTACACCGTGTTCAAGGACGTCCAGCTCCAGCGGTTCCAAGATGAACTGGTGGTGGACGCCATCAGCGAGAAGGACTTAAAATTGCAGTACGCCTCGCTCCGGGACCTTGTCAACGACAAGTACAAGAACTACTACCCGTTGGGCGACAAGATGCTCAAGCCCAAGAGCAACCCGGCATACTACGAGCGGTTGATGGCTGATATCCGGGGCGAGAAGCGCGAGACGTTGGCGCTGGCGCTCAAGATGGTGTACACGGGCAAGTAAGAGGCGCAAAAGGCAGCGACGGAGTTCGGGGCCATTATTCCCGAGAGAAACCCTTTTTTATTATTGTATATGTATATAGCACGAATACCGGTGATTCACGCCCACAAAAGTTCCGATTTGATCCGCTAAAAACCGCACCCCCTGGACGCCACCTGTAGCCAGTTGAAGTTGGGCAAAACTAAAGTTGATGAGGCTGCGAGCCCCTCACAAGCAAGCCTATTTGCAAGCCAAAAATAGGCCACCTCGCTACCTTCGCCGACAGTAATTCAGGAACGCCGTGGCCCCCAATTCAATTAATTAATTAATTGAGGAATTGATTTCTAATTGTCAAACACCATATCTACTGTATGTGCTTGTGATGTCGCTAGGGGTGCGTGTATTGTTTTGGTGTGAGGTGATTGACAGGTGTAACTAAAAAACCTATTAATATATATATCAGGTGGCAGTGCTTAAAGTCGCAGCAGGATGAGCTCACAAGACTTAGTGGCCTAAGCAAAAAAAAAAAAAAATAAAGCCCGCTAACCGTGCTAACCGCGCGGGGGACGGGGTGGTTGTCCGTTTGCTATATGGGTCATCAAAATGTCAGGGATCTCCCCGAGAGTTCTGTGATTAGCCACCCTGATAGCTGATCCTCCCCGCTTTCCCCTCGTGTGAGACCTAAGAATTGACCCACACGGAATACCAAACGCTATAATCTAAAAGTGTAATTGAGTTCTTAGTGTGAAATGTCAGCGTGCTAATGTGCTAGTTATACGTCACCCCGGAAGCTTCCGGTGAACCGGGGAAATGAAGCCGCCTGTGGCCGCTACCGGAGACACACCCACAGCGACAATGTCGGGATTGTCGAGTCGTGTCCGTGCCCACAGTCGGCGACGCGCTCACCCTGGCACGCCTCGCGGGGGCTCCTCGGCCAAGTATACATCATAGGCTCATCTCGCGTTGTATTCGCCATCACTCGCGAACGGGCGCTTGTCATCAAACCCAGTGGAAGCCAGCCCCCCCATTGGAACCGCCGGGCCCATGCACAACTGTTTTAATTGCGGGTTTGGCCTCAGCAGTGCCAACCTCCGCAAGTGCCCTTATTGCAAGCGGTGCCAGAAGTGCCACAAGCTGTGGGGGTGCTCCTGTCGCTGAACAGCTCTGGGGGGCAATTGACAGGGTAGCGCCGACCCATTTTGGTACCCCGTTTACTTCGCTAATTATTATTATTATCATTTCCTGCATTTTGTTGATCCGCACTCGGTGTTGAATTTTTCGCGGCGCTACCATGTGCGCTGCGCGGTGACACGATCTCAGCCCTGGCTGGTCCCCCCCCCGCTATATAGCCTCTCCTAATCAAAGACACTTCATCTTTCCGATCGCATGCTTCGTACCCGGTTTGTGGCGGCAGTACTTGCACTCTTCGCGCTTGTAGTCGTCGTCGTCACCATCTGGCGCCGTGCCGGCTCCATGTTTACCCCGGAAGAGGTGAACACGTTGCTCCAGCTGAAAGACGCGCTGGTAGTACTGATTGCCAAGCGCCAATTGGTCCACCAGTGCCTTGAGCCGCCGTTCCTCAAGGGGCTGTCGATCCCCAACTGGAAATACGAAGGGCTGACCCTCGTCAAGCTGGATGAATACGTCAGATTGACTTCGGGTAACCCTCACCAAGCAGGGTCGTTATGGACTCAGTACCCGATTGACGCCGAGCTGTTTGAGATGGAACTCACGTTCCACATCACGGGACCTGAATTGATGGGTGATGGCATGGCTATATGGCTCACTAATAGCCCTAGTCCCATTGGTGATGTATTTGGTGCTCGAAACTACTTCACTGGGTTAGGGGTATTTATCGATACTTTCCGCAACGGGCCTCGTGGCGAGTTCCCTTTCGTCAACGTCATGGTCGGCGATTCGCAATTGCGCTACGATAAGGCCACTGACGGTATCGATACTCGCATTGCTGGTTGCCTGGCTAGAGAGCTCGTCAACCCGCAAAAGGGACCGACAAAGATGCGGCTTGTCTACTTGAGAAACGGCTACCTCTCCATCGACTTTAACTGGCTGGGAGTTAGAGGACAGTGGATGAATTGTGTCACTCTCCTGAACATTAAGTTGCCTCAATTTAAGTACTTGGGGATGCTGGCCGAGACCGGTGACCTTTCCGAGACGGTAGACGTGTTGGAGAACGTCATCTACCTGTTGGAAAAGCCTCTGGGTGGGTTTATCGACTCCATTGAACAGATTGAACAGATCATCGAGGAAGCACCAGTAAACGACGCTAAAATGCAACAGCGGCGGCGGAAACTGGTGGCTCGGCTCAAAGCAGCTGAGAAACGCATTAAGGAACGGGAACGCCAGCAGCGGCTTGAGAAATACGGCAGTGCCGATGCCATCTGGTGGCGCCGTCAATGGTGGCGCCTCATCGCCATCGCCAAGTGGACGGTGCTCACCCTCATTTTGGTGGTGGTGGTGTGGTTTGGCCGTCTTGTGGTGAAGGGCTACCGCCAAAACCGTAAGTCCAAGGTCACTGGGCTCTTGGACTAGTTCGGCTAAAAAAAAATGTCGTCTTTTTCAGAGGCGGCGTCGCACATCGTCAAATAGATAACAGATAAACAACTAGTACGATTAATCGTAGCACATCAGGCCAAAGGAGGCGAACAATAGCTCCGCTAAGCGTGCAAAATCCGCCGTGTGCGGCTCCCGCCACAGTCGTTGTCAGTGTAATCTATAAGTACTATAGGTGACGTATATATCTAGTAACCTTATTTGTCGCTCCTCTAATTTGTTAATCGAAACAGCACATGATCAACTAATCTACCGTATCTCACCAGACTCTGCTACAACAGAGGTACTTGTATACTTCATATTGTTGTTATAATCTTGACAATTCCTCCTCCCACGTTGGTTCGATTCTCAACCATCCCATTAACCATTAAATTTAGGTATACGCGATTGTTGTGATGCGCGACTCTGCTCACCCACTCCGACCATAGCTGCCCCACCCCACTTTGAGAGCCACCCTTACCTCCATGGATGTCATCGTCCACCGCATATGACGAAGACAACACCTTGCGACCGCCGCCCCTTTCAAAATACCTGTTGAGCATCCTCGGCTCGGCGGAAATGGGGATCGCGGCGCCAACATCCCTGCTACTTTCAAACCAGCGCCTACACACGCCAGCACCCGTCCCTAAGGAGATCACCCCTGAATATACTTCTAAACGGGATAAAACTCCGCTTTCCCAGCCCCGAAGAAGACGTTACGGACAAAAATTGGGCCTCCCTCCGAAGCTGAGGCCTCCCTTAGCTCCGGTGAAGATTAAACCAGTTAATCGTGAAGCTAATGGTCACGAGACTCCCATCAAAGAATCATCAAGGATAAACAACGATGAGTTTGCTGTCCCTGCGGCTAAACGACCGTCATTGGCTCCGGTCGTAGAACAACAAATACCACCAAAACATTCACCCATCCCTCAATCGCTGCCTAAACCTGAACCACATCATCAATCACCTATGGAAAACGCCGCTGCAATGGCTTCGCCGCGACCACCACCCTTAGCAATGCCTCCAGCGGCTCGTTTTGAGCCTCCTCCTCCATCACCAGCTGCGCTTAACCCTCCACCACCATTTGTCGTCTCACCCCACGATCTGTCTTCCCGCATATTCTTTGTTAATGACCGACAATATAAACCGGTAGAAGTGCTTGGCCTGGGCGGCTCATCAAAGGTGTATAAAGTGCGTGACGCCAAGCAAAACACTTGGGCTTTGAAACGGGTCAAATTCGATAAGTTTGACGACCAAATCAAACAATCATTTGCTCGAGAAATCACACTATTGCTTAAACTCGCAAAGCTGGATCGGGTAGTGTATTTACACGACTATGCCATCAATGATGATGAGCTTTACCTTGTGATGGAACTAGGGGAACGAGATTTGGCCCACATCATCCACCCCCGATTAGAAGGCCGTATTGAACCAGAAACCCATCTCCAGTTTGTGCGCTTTTACACGCTGGAAATCCTCAGTTGTCTTCGTGAAGTCCACGCCGCCGGTATTGTCCATCTGGACCTTAAACCGGCTAATTTCATCTTCATTCGAGGTAAGCTTAAAGTGATTGACTTTGGCATTGCTGACGCATTGGGCAATACCACCATGAACATCTACCGCAACCAGCAAATTGGCACTCCTAATTATATGGCCCCAGAAGCGGTGAGTGAGGCCGGAGGCCAGTGGAAGGTGGGTAAACCCAGTGACGTGTGGCTGATGGGGTGCATGGTGTACCAGATGATCTATGGCCAGCCTCCTTATGCCAATATCGAATCACGTCATCGTTTACAAGCGATTCGCAACCCTCAGCATATGATTAAGTTTAGACCCCACGGTGTTGGTGGACTTAGAGTACCACCCTCGGTGTTGGAGTTCCTTAGAGGTACCCTCGAGCGCAATCCTGACGTTCGGTGGACGGTGGAACAAGGGCTATCGCTGGCGTTTCTTCGTCCTCCCGTGATTTCAAACTCAGTGATTCGCGACATCGTCCACGAAGCCATCAACTTTGGCCACCGCCACGGCGGACGCAACTTGACGGTGGACGACTACGATCAACTAGTGGCCCTGGCGGTCCGGAAGATCAACGGTCTCGAGTGGACCTACACGGGGGTGTCTCCCGATAATTGAACCTATTTAGCATCTTACAGCATCTCATAGCATAATCGAATTAATCATTTTTGAATATATGTAGTCCAATTCCATTTCATGTCAACCCATTTTTTGTAATCACTGGGTTTCAACTAACATGTCTTACTACGGACATACCGGTGTCCAGATTGATCTGAGACAAAGACACTGGTGTCATGTTTACTACCCATGAATCATTTTGAAACAGCAGCAACCAAACCAGTTTAATAATCCAGCTAAATCAAATATTTACAGTTACCACCTAGCCGGATTAATACTACCATTATACCATGTATCCAGTACCTATATAATTACAAAACCTATATATCTTCCCAGCGTGTAAGTTACGACGTCACCAGCGGGTCGAACGATAGCGGCAGCGTGAACACGGGGTCTTGGGACTCTAGCAGCAGCATGCTGGGGTTGCCGTGGCGGCTGATCGGGTGGTCGGGCTGCGACGTGTAGTAGTAGTAGTGAGGGTAAATGCCGTTGACGGGGCCCACCAACGAGCAGGCGTCGTCAGAGTCCTCATCGAACTCGTCGGAGTCGCCATCGTAGCCGTTATCATCGCCGTCTTCCGATATGAGACCAAGGCTGAACTCTTCGGGAACCTTAGGCATTAGCAAAAACTCCGGCGGACCTCCACTTAGCGGCACTGAATCGATCATCGGTAATCGTTTGGATGTTTGAAAATAGGATTAAGTTAGACGTGTGTGGCCCCCGGGGATATTTATTTGATCCGCATGACAGCCCCACGTTGCCCCGATCGCATGCTCGAAAAGGAACGACGATATCGGCGCCAATCACGCTAAAATACGATACGGCGACGACTAGTGATCCGAGTGAAGGCTTATGGAGATACTGGGAAGAGAGTGTTAGTGACGCTGGTCGGTTTTAGCCGCTTGGCTAAGTGGTAGATAGCGGTGGGTCGCCACGTCCCCTTCGCGATGTACCCCGTGGGCAGCTTTGGTCGGTGCGGTGACGTCATTCACCTGTCAGCGCACTGTAAGCGCAATTGGCGTTGGTTGCCACTGAGCACACACATACGTTCGGCCTCTTTCCCTAATGGGAGCTTAATATAGCAAAAAAAATTGGTAACGGTTTTAATCTCAATCAATCGTGTATTTTTTGTCTCAGAATCTAAAATATGCCTACCGCGGCCCGAGCTTGTCCAACGCCCGAGCACCTTGTTCCTCCCACTCCTGGCGGGTGACCCACAAGTGGTTCTTGTCCTTCATGATGTTGGCGAGCACCGCCCCGCCGATGAACACCATGTGGCGTCTCTTGGGCGGGTCCTCGATGCGCAACTTGATGTTCTTGAGCTTGGAAGCGTCGTTGCCCAACACGCGGGTCAAGTACAATTGCTTAAGCTCCTTTTCAAGTCTCGAGGGGAGACCCGGGTACATGGACGACCCACCGGAAAGGACAATCCCCTTCATTAAGTCGGCTCTGGTGTCGACGGGACACAGCTGTAACGTGTTGAACAACATTTCGCCGACCCCTGGCAGTTCCTTACCAACAAGGTGAGGCTGGAACAAGCACTCGGGAGCCAAGTAGCGCTCGTGACCCACTTTAATCACTCTGCCATCGGGTAATTCGTACAGTTCGACGAGGGTGGTGGTCTCGTCGGCGAGCTTTTTGTCGAACTTGAGGTCGTACGACACGTAGCACAACTTCTCCTTGATTTGACGTACGGTCTCAAAGTCGGCGGTACGGTTGAACGCGTACCCACGTCCAAGCAAAAGCAGGATAAGGTGCTTGGTGACATCTCTACCGGCGACGTCAAGTCTGGTGGTCTGGTGGTTAAGCACCGTCGACTCGTACACGGGGACGATGTGGGTCACCCCGTCACCCAGGTCGACCACGACCCCCAGAGTGTGCCCTTGAGCGTAAAGGGCAAGCACTGCCTGGATGGCGACGTAAACACCGTCAAACTGGTACTTTTCAAACATGATCCGCACCATTTCCTCACGGTTTCTCAACGGGTTCATCGGCGGTTCCGTCAACAATACCTTTTGACCTTGAGTGGGTTGCTTAAGTCTTTCGTAGAACGAGTAGTCCCACAAGTGTTCCATATCCTCCCAGTTCTTGATGATCCCGTTTTCCATGGGGTAGCTCACTTCCAACAACGATCTCACCTTAGCGGCCTCGTCACCACACATGATGTCCTTGATTTCAACGTCCAGGGGCACCAACGTGTTTCGTTCTTCCGCCCGCAAGATGGGGCGGCCCACGATCGACGGGAAGGTGTGGTCGGGGAAGTTCGTCCCGGCGCGGCCGATCTTGACAAACCCTGTCCCTTGGTCAAGCACTAGCAGTTAGTAATCATTGGTTCAGCAAGTGTATAGTCGTATTCCAGCTCTGGTTTACATACCAATTGGTGTCGTCATGGTTGTGCCCGTATCGAGGTGTGGTAGGTTGAGGTGAGAGCGCACCGTGGCGAAAAAACCGCTCGGGTACCAGCCGTCACCGGTCACAGTGAGCGATATGAAATAGGGGAAAACGAAGGACTATTTGGGAGTGTCAGTGGTGTAGACTGTTTATCTTGGAATATTTGAGTAGGTCTTATAATTCTTAGATCAACTTATAGTGGGTTTGTCCTCAATCGCGGGGAATGTCACCGGTGAGCAGCAAGCTAAGCTGGAGTACCAGCGACATGTCCGAATGTCAACGCTCAGCATTTATTGGATTGACTGCAATTTCATCCGACGTAAATGCCCAATAATAACGATTTTGTGAGTAAATGTTCAAGAGTTTTATGTAGCGTTTACCAATAAATATGAGAATTAAATAAGACAACAATTTCGTTAGTGTCGACTCTTAGAAACACATATCAATTGAGACTACTTCTAGTTTTTATGTTTGTGACCATTGGAGATAGCTGACGAATTCAACTTTTCCCTTGTGATATTCTACTGTCTTGAGTACTGATAGTATTTCCATCAAGACCCCACGTCGTCACCAAATTTCATAAATATAAGAATTGAGCAATAAATACACAGACTAGGAGTTACGGTATATTGGGGGACGAGAAACTCTAAACGCCGCCATCAGCTGGACGCAGACTAACACAGTACCTTTTATCGCTATATACATTGACATTAACGCATTACATCTGAATGCCCGATTCCCGCATCACTTCGGCGATCTTCTGGGTCAACACGGGATCATTCTTGATGCGCTTTTGCATCTTGGTGGCCTCGGCAAACGACGTCGCTTGCACCTTTTCTTCGAACGAGCGCGCCAACCGCGACAGTTCTTCAAACAAGGCGATGGCTTCGTCGACTTGGTCCTTTTGCAACTTGATTTGCGCCAACGAGATGCGGGCCAATTCCGACTTAGGGTCCAATTCGCACGCCTTCACCAACAATTCCTCGGCTTCGTCGATGCGCTCGAGGTTCTCACGCGACAAGCAGGTGGCCTTGTTGATCAAGGGGAGGGCGCCGACGCTGAACACGGGCAACAGCTCTTGCAAGCGAGCGGCAATGTCGAATTGGTTGCAGGCGGCGGGGATGTCGCCGCGGTCGGCGAGAATCTCACCGTAGTAGTTGGGCACTTCAGGGGCGGTGGCAAACTTGAGCTTGGCCTCAGTGAATTTTTCGTTGGCAAGGTCGATGTTGCCGTTCTTGTAGGTGATGCACGCCAATTGGATGTAGGCGTAAACGTTCTTGGGGTTGAGTTCGCGGGCCTTGGTGAACTGGGTCTCGGCGTTGGCCAAGTCGCCCGTCAAGTAGTAGAGCTGCCCGAGGTGGTAGTAGATGTCCAGGCACTTGGGGTCCAAGTCCTCAGCGCGCTTGAAGTCCTCGAGGGCTTCCTTGTAGCTCAGCTTGTCGGCGTTGATGAGGGCACGGAACACGTACGAGCGGGGGCGGGGCTTGAGGTCGATGGCCGACTGGATGTCGACGGCGGCGGCGGCAGAGTCGTTCTTCAAGAACTTGAACGCGGCCGAGTATTCGAGAGCAACGGCGGCGATGCCGGCGTCGGCGTCACCGGACTTGACGTCCTTAAACGCTTCCACGGCCTGGTTGATCAAAGTGTCGGCCTTGTCGTAGCCGTCAACGGTGTTGCCGTTGATCGCTTGCAACGCTTCGTACATGTACTTGGCGCCGCCTTCGGACTCGGCGCTGATGCCTTCGGGGTTAGTCTCTTCGACGAAAGCGCCGAAGAACGAGCCGATGGTGGCGGCGGAGGGGAGCTGCAATTCCTTAGGCGCCAGCTCGACGATCTTGATTGAGTGCTTCTTCAACACTCTTTCCAACACCTGTTCGATCAGCTTGTTCAGGAAGCCGCCGTAGATGGTCAAGGCAGTCAAGTCGAACATCGAGTCCTCGTACTTCTCGAGGATCTCGTAGGAGTTGGCCCGGCGCAACACGCACTTGGTGTAGTCGGGCTTCAACTTGATGGCGGCGGAGGTGTCCTTGATGACGTTTTCGTGGTCTTCAAGGGCGGCGTAGCACGCCAGCCGGTTCAGGTAGAAGATGGGGTCCTGCTTCAATTGCAAGGCGGCGGAGTAGTAGGCGATGGCTTCGTCGTAGCGCTTGTGCTTGAATTCGGAGTTACCGTCCTCTTTAAGCGCCAACGCCCACGCGTCCTTGTCGGCGTCGGACAACGAGGCAATGACGTCATCGGTCAACGCCGGGAGCCCCTTAGCGTCGACGGGGTAAGCCCGTTCCTTTTTAGCGGTGGTGGCGTCGGTGGCGGCGCCGGTGGCGGGTTCAGGGGAGGCGCTCTTGGCCAGCTTCTTCTTCTTGTTCTTCTTCTTCTTCTTGGCGGCGGCGTCATCCTCGGGCGCCGGCGCCGGCGGCTGCGCGCCGCTCAGCTGGGTGTACACGTAGTACGCAGACACGGCAGCGATCAGCGCCAACGCCGTGACGGTGAGCGCCGTCTTGTTCTTGGCGATAAAGCTCTTAGCGTTATCCATGGTGGTGAAGACGGTTTGAGTGGGAAACAATTTTTCACTGGTGGAAAAAGTGCGGTGGCAGTGTGCAGGATAGCAACGCCACCCCCACTAATCGCTACTATGGAAGCCAGTCGATGGTGCCATGGGAACGCTTAATGGCACCAAAAGGGAAGAGCTAAGAATATGATTTGAATTCGTGAGCTAGTTTGGTGGCCTGGATTCCTTAGAACTATCGATAATGAGCTCGTTTTGATGGCTAAGGGGGTGATGTGGGTCGGATCAGATAAAGTCAATAGTTGTCCGATTCAGAGATAACCATCTTAGATGTAGTCTGGAGAAAATGACTAGGCTATGATTAGCGAGAAATCTAACAGCAGTGCGACATCGGAGCGCCAGCCCAGCGTAAGGCTCCGCCAAGGTCTGCGAATGTTCTAGAAAGTGGGACTTGGGATCAACCGAGGCTCTGGAAGTCAAAATTCGGGTTTTTCATGATGAAAGTAAACCTTACGTAAATAAAGAATCTACACTCATTTGTTTTAAGTAGTTTATTTGGGTATACCGATCGAGTAGTTTATTCGTACAGTGGTGATATCATCGAGCATCCAGGGAAGCATGTCGTCCTTGCTACCGGAGGTCACGGGCGCTGCCAAAGGTTATCGGGGTATGCTTAGGGTATCGTCGTAACTCGGCATCACAAAGCTGCTTCGTAACCACGCTGCATCAACTTAAGCTTTAGTCTTCAGATACCGATAACCTTAACCCACCATACAGGTCATTTAACAATTTGATGAGAAGGAGAAGAGGACGGCCTCTAAAGATAATTACAGTTACACTTCCATTAGATGATTGTCGACTGGATATTCGAGCTCCTACAGTTTTCCTTTCGGGTATGTATTGCCATCTAGGCGATCATGACTATAAAACAAACTAATAAACTAGGGAAACTAAGAGAAGAAAATCGACTTGAAGTTGAACAACACCTGGACGAAGAACGAGAAGGTGATCGACGAGTTCTTGGAGCTCGAGAAGAGGTCGGTGATGACCCTGGTGACGATGCCCAGCGACGACGCCGCCGAGAGGATTCTCAGCAAAGAAAGAGCGTCCTGGTCAATGGCGGCCTTCACCGTCTTGAGGTCAAAGTCGTGCATCTCGCTGTCGGCGAACAACGAGTAGGCAACCAGCACCCCGAAGCCCGACTTTTGCAACGACACACAGATGTCATCGAACGAACCCGCCAAGTTGATGGCGTTAAGGAGCCCGGTGAACAACGTCTTTTGAGCGTTGTCCAAGATCCCCATCAACGTCTTGGTGACACCAGTGACGACTTGGCCAACACCGTCGAAGATACCGGACACCACACCACCGACACCGGAAACGATACCGCCAACCACTTGGCCAACACCGTCAACCACACCACCAACACCCGAGATGATGCCACCGATGATGTTACCGAAGATACCGGCGGGTGCCACGGTGACGACTTGGCCGGCGGTGTTGGAAACGGTGACGGGGGCAGGGTTGTTGCCTTGCAATTGGTTGAACATCTTGATGGCGTCAGCGGCAGCCAGTTCCCCGGTGGGGATGGCGTTGGCGTCGAAAGTGGGCAAGGGAGCGTTGGTGTTGACACCGGCAGCGGTGGCCAATTCACCGGCTTGTTGAGCCACCGAGGCCGAGTTGGGGGGAGCCACCGAGATACCCAGCGACACCGACCCTTGGGCGGGGACAGCCGAGGCGGTGATCTTCAGTTCACCCAAGTTGGTGACGGCCGAGCCCGAGAGAACAATGGCGGGGACGGTACCGGTTTGACTCGATCTGGGAGGAGCAGGGGTAGGGGGAGGAGTGGCACCTTGCTGAGTCTGTTGAGTCTGTTGCTGTTGTTGTTGGGCGGTGGCGGTGGCGGTGGCCTTGGTGGTGGGAGTAGACTGCTGCTGAGTCGACCCCGACGAGCCCGACGAGCCCCAGCCGAAGATGTTTTGGATCCCGTTCCAGATGGAGCCGAAGATGTCACGCTTGGCGAACCCGTCGCGCTTCATGAAGGCGTCACGCTTGAACTTGATGATCCCTTGAGTGAACAAAGCCTTACCCACTTTGACAAGCCCCTTGAAGGCTTCCATGTGGGTAAAGAGCATCAACACAATGTCGGTAGCCAAGCCGGAGTCGGCAGCGGCCTTAAGCAACTTGCCCAAGTCTTGGGTCTTGATAAACGACACCACCGCCTGGATGGTGGTCAGCTGAGTGACAGGGTTAGTGGCGAAGCCCTTGATTAATTGGACACCGGCACCGGTCTTGTTCATCGAGAGGAAAAGATCGGTCAAGACCTTGACTTCTCTCTTGGCAAGCACATCGACGTCGTAGTAGCCTTCTTCGATCCCCCGTTGGACGAGGGCCCAGTTCTCTTCGACATCACGAGGGATCTCCATGCCGATATCCCGGGCGAATAAGTCGTTGAGGAACGTGAGCTGAGTGTCCTCTTCCACCGTTTGCACGGGGAGGGCGAACGTGAACGCGGCAAGCACCACGAGGAACACCAGTTGGAGTATGCCGAATCTCATGGTGGAACTGCTTGTAGGTTGTTGGAAAGATGAAGAGGCGATACCGACGCTTTTATAAACATTGGGATTAAGCCCTTTGCGGTGGGTGGGTGCAAATGGCAATAACCCGGTGCGTTTTGCGGGCATGACGCACGAAGCTGCATTGCCCTAATTAGGCAGGCGTACAAGGTTGCACTGGGATCATTAGCCTCGTAAAGAAGTGCCGGCGAAGATGGGCAGTCGGCTCCGGGCTCAGCATACCGCTTCCAGCAAAAGTCGCGCCGGTGTCATCTTTACCGCAAACGGCAATGATGGGGCTGTCGCTGCTGCTACAAACCACCGTTGGTGGGTTTTACGGGGGTCGATACGGGCTGGCTATTATGCTTATTATTCGTTCGGGGTATTTCCCGGTGTTTGTCGTGTTTGCTACTCGACGGTAAATTTGCGACGGTGATCGAGTAACGGCATGTTTGTACGCACGGTGGCAACGTGGTCGGGGTCGAGATCGGCCACAATCAACTGGTAGTAGTCGCCGTCACCATCGATATCTTGGGATAAGTCTTCGTCGTAGCACTTGCCTTCGGCTACAATTTCACCCCAGGGCCCCACTATAAGCGAGTTCCCGTACGACTGACGCTTCTTCTTTGGCGGCAGGGGGGTTTCTGGAACGCCAAGTGCAGCGGCGCTGTCGTCGCCTCCGACACCAGCATCGACGTCATGCACCCCGCACTGGGCGGCCATAACCACGTACAGCTGGGAGTCGAGGGCTCTGGCCTTGCCGAGCAGTTGCCAGTGGGCTGCTCCCGTCACCGTGGTGAACGCTGACGGGAACGTGACGATATTGGCCCCGTGTTGGCGGAGAGCCAATGCCACTTCGGGAAAGCGGATATCGTAACACACCGCGAGGCCCACAGAAAAAGGTGACTGACCTACGGCAAACGGCTTCACGAGTGTTGTCCCGGGCTCAACTGCTTTTGATTCCATAAGGATAGGCCCGTTGGGAACGTTGACATCATAAAGATGGATTTTTTGATACGAGTGGGCCACGGTGCCGTCGGGCTCGATCCAGAGGTGGACGTTTTTGATGCGGGCGTCGGCAGTAGCTCCTGGCTCGTGCACCCCGATCGATACCCTCATATCGCTATTGGCCTGGCGCAAGTGGTGGCGGACATCGTCGACAAACCGAGCCAGGTGCTGGGCTAACGCAATCAGATGAGCAGCGTTGCGCCCAAGATAGTCACTGGCTTCAGGTAGGAAAAGCACTTGAGCCTTAGCCTTGACCGCTTGGTCAATGAGCTTATTCACCACCCGAGCATTGGCGAGCGGGTTCAGCAGCGAGCAAAGCTGTCCCACGGCAATCCTCATTTGATCCGTTAGTTTCAAGTTTTGGTGTGACGTGACGCTGAATCGTTGCTAGGGGGCGTATAACTGGTGTTTGCGTATGGCAAAGGTATGGGGCGTATGGCTGAGTCACAATAGGGGGGGCAGGCGTACGACTAAACACCGCAAAGTGCGCGCGAGTCAACTGAGGGGTTTACACAGGTAGACAGGCCTTTTGATCGCAAAAAATGCGAAGGGCTACCATATCATCGCCAAGGCCACACACGTAAAATGCCACCTTCCAGGGAGCCGTTAAAAAAGTTTAATTTTTTTGCCGATTTTTCTTTCGCTTTGTGCTGTAGGTTTAAGATTTAGGCTACACATTGTCTAGGCGTTCGGTTGTTGGCGGATATGTGGGGTAGGGGGGGATGGAAAATTTGTTCGGCATTTCCGGGCGGGGTTGGTGGAGACGAGACCATTTAGTCATATAGTGTTTGATTTTGGGTAATATGAGTGAATAAAAATTCCCTTTGCAACTGGGAGGGTGGGTGTACGGCGCTAACCCTGGGGGTCACTGCTCCAATTTCATATTTTTAGTCACATTTCCCAATGCGGGAATTTTTCGCGATTTCGTCACTGAGCCAAATGCCCATTATCTCCCCCAATTACGGGGCAAATATCGACATTGCCTTCGTTTCAACCTCGATGTTGAAAAACAGCCCCTTCGGCAAAAATGTTTCGTGTAATTGGTGTCATGAATAATGGGTCACTAGAGGGAGGGTCACTAAAGGGAGGGTCACTAAAGGGCGAACTATTCTTGCTCACACGAATTCACTCTATCGATCCACTGCTCAATGTAGGTAGTCTCAGGCGCCGGCTTGGTCTGGGTAGCGGCGTTTTTGGCGTCAGGGTGAGGGGGGGCGCTGTCGTCAGTGGACGACTCCAAAAGAGTGTCTGACGGCTGGGTCAGCGGAAGCTGGTGGAGGAACAGCTCGAGAATGGCGTTCTGGCGTTTGTTGATGGCGACAAGCAGGCGGATTGCTTCGGTCAACGCCACGACGTCGCTGACCTCGCTGCTTGCGCCCTTGAAGGATGAGGGGGAAGGACGGGCCTCGCCGGCGGGGTTACCGGGGTCAAAAGCGTCCGTCGAAGGTAAAGGGGGTGACGGAGGCATGGATGAAAGCCGTTGGCACTAATGGTTCATCAACGGGAAGTAATGTGGCGAAAACCCAGGGGTTAATGGTTGCGGGTGGAACGTCGTAGAAGTGTGTCAAAAGAAAAGATAAAATGAGTGGATAAAAAACGACACAAAACCTGGGTTGTCCTGCGTCAATGTGAGACATTCTCCGGGCCCAGCACCAATTTAGCAGGAAAAAGGGGTAAATGGCACGGCTAACTCTAGCGAAATGTCAACATTTACTTTCAAGTTATCTAGAGGGATGGCCTGCTTCATTTTTCCATTGATGTGATGGTGGTGGGCACGTGCCGTATGGTCGAGAAGTGAGACATACACACAGCCCAGAGTAAACATGTGCCGCATGACATCAGACTACAGATAACATTCCGATGACAGACTCGTGAATAGAGTCGGATAACTGTATAACGCGTGGACACAATGTGCTGTAGGTTAAAGAAAACATCTGTTTCTCGTAGAGCAATGCCTATTCGAGTGCTGGTGACGTTAATTACATCGCAGTTCATCTAGTTATCGTTTTCGCTGCCAGGTCCCTAAAGTTGCTCTACCGCAGCGCGGGTACTCTAATGAGCGTAAACTCGGAATTTACAAGCATCTAACGGGCCGATGTCGGAACTAAATTCCTGTGAGAGATGCCCTGTTTTCACTCATTAGGGTTTTCAGAAAAGGATTTTACAGAGTCCACACTCTAGTGAGTTCCAGTTTGTGGGAAAGCATTACACTTGGAGATTCGATAAATGTCTCTCAGTTTCGTAATTACACGAGTGTAAAGCAAAAATACTCCATCACGTACGGCATTATCCTCATGTGAACGATGAGTTGGAGATGGCAGTGAAAACAAAAGGCGTTGTCGTCTATTGTGTTACTCGGTTTAAACCGTTCGTCAATCTTTTAATTTCATCCACTCTCTCATCTCCACGTTTGCGTAGAGTTTTCATAAAAATTTCTTGCTCCAAAATTTTCAATTAGCCATCAAATCGATACCGGAGACAGTTTGCTCAAGAAGCATAACACTTCACCTATTCTTCCAACGTCTCTAACTCAACTCGTGTTCAGTTGTATGTTTGGTTGTGCGATGAGTAGCCCACTAATGGTTACGGCATTACTCATAGTGCAACTGTTGCTGATCAATTCTTACTGCATCATCATCAATTAATAGTCATCAGCAGATTCAGCTTGCAAACATGCATTCATTTACGTGATTGTCTTGAAATAATCGGTAATCTCCGAGAGATCGAGCAACATCTCCGAGATCAGTTTTCATTCGAATGACCGCCAGCGTCATCATCAAGTCAGGTCCTTCACAGTAAAAGTCATTTGAATGATCTGATCTCTCCCAAATTTAATCTCACTCCAAAATGGGCAGTAGTTATTGCGAGTTGTGGCTTTTTCACAAATTATTGCCAATACTCAATGGATCTCCGTCAAAATCAAATACTATAAGGCTATATGCATCTATACTAACCTATGGAAAATATGTAGGTCCATCATAAGAGATACCGGGCAAATTCCGATGGTAATAAATAATCTGCCATTCTTAGTATTCTACCAATCTGCACAAATCTGTTGTATAATTCCAGAAGATTCACTGTGTTCTCGTAAAAATCCGGCAAAAAAGAAAGGCGGGATATCGAGATCAGAACCGACTTAAGACATGTCAATATCCAGCTGTTGATAACTTGCTTAGCTTGGTTCCAATTCCAACGTCCCGCCGAGTTTAAGTACTTACGAAGTTACGGTCTACTTTAGGATTACCCACGAGCCAATTTGGACAACCGTAACTCTGAAACTTAGCATACCCAAGCCGAGGCGTGGGAACGCCTCGTCTTTAATGCCTGTTCACGTTCTAACATAATTATAGTGACGTGCGTCCTTGCCCAGTTACCTGTCAAACAGATATCAGACCAAATCCTCGTTTGTCGTCACTTTCGGGGTAAATGCCCTGCATAGAGGTATTGGACCTAAGTCAAGATCGCACTTCATACATCAAAATCAGAAATGGTTCTGTAGTCTAGTTGGTTATGACGCATGCTTCACACGCATGAGGTCCCCGGATCGAGCCCGGGCAGAATCACTTTTTTGCAACTCATCTTCCAACTTCTATTAACAGGGGATCCAAGGATCTATTGCGTCTTTCTCTCTTTGAGTCTACAAGTGATCTATGTCATTAGTCGTTGCTATTAATACATTTGACCCTCGGCGCTCTGTTCCACGCGCTGGGTATTACCCCTAAGCACATAGTTCAGACGAACCTCGGGGAATTCGTCATAGCTATCGTCCTCTTGTGCCAACAACAGAACGGTACGCTCAAACGGTTTAGGATGCTCTTTTAGCGTCTTGTCTATACGAGCACAAATCTCCTTCGTCGATAAGGTCTCAGTTTTATCAAAGCCACACTTCTCGTAAAACGTCATCAAGTCATGGGGGACCATCAGCAACTCTTCGTGTTGCTCAATCATCTGGTTAAGCACCTCAATCGCATAAAAGAACCCTTCGCCACGTACGTGAATGCCGTCCTCGGGCAGCAGACCCGCCGCTGGTTTAGCGAAAAGCACATTAGGAGCGATCACGGTGGCCAAGTTGTGGATGTCCATCTTCAGCCCAGTTTCTTCGTCAATCTCGGCAAACAGCGCCACCCAAGAAAAGAAGTACAAAAGCACTTCCACAAGGTTACGGTGACTCCGCGGTAACATACAATAGCATAATTGAAGCACTCGCTTGCGTAATCCTGCACTCTTCTGATGCTGCGATAAGATCCACAAGTCGTAAAGACCGAATGTGAGTAATGGGTTAGGCAATTCACGCAACCATTTCTTCATCAATGCCGCCAACTGGACCGCGCTTTGATTGGCGAAATCCGGCAGGCGATCGGGCAGCTTGTTGATGGCATCGGTCAATTCCCGCAACTTCTTGATGTTACCGTTAAGCCGGAAGATACCTTCTACCAGCATGTCCTTTTGCTTCAACGCCAGGATAACGTCGTCAACGAAGATGGGGATGCGAAGCTTGCATGGCCCTACCCCCAAGTCCAGATCGGTGCCGTACTTTTTAGTGAGGTCAACAAGTTCAACGGCAAACACTCCCTGATCTTTAGGGGTCTTCTCAGCGCCAAATCTCAACTTTTCCCAGAAAGTTTGCGGCTTCTTGGTTTGGATGATTGGCAACAATTCGTCACGCAGAGTGCCAAACAGATGGCAAAAAGCTTCGATGGCAATATGGCGCATCACCCAGTGTTCCTCTTTCAGCAACTCAGAGTAGTAGGTGCGCTTCTTGGTCACGGGAGCTTCAGGCACTGCAGGTTCCAGTTCTTGGCCCAAGATCTCGTTGAGATGCAGCGTCGGGTTGATTTGGTCTTTACCCAGATGAGCTCTCACTGGCTTGAGCGGCTTCAGGCGCTGGTATAACGAATTGTGATGCTTGTAGGCATTAGGCCGTTGTTCACGAGCTTGTTCCGCGGCGACGATACGAGGGATATCGTCCAACGTCAACAGTTTTTCGTTTTTAAGCATATCGGTAGTGCGATCCAAGTGAGCTTGATGAGTACCTTCTTCTTCGCGGATTTTGAGTACGGGCTTACCCTTCAAATTGAATTGGTCATCTTCAGGGGTAAGCGCGTTGTACAGAAGCAACAGCGTCTGCAGCACCTTGCGCTGGCCCAACTCCGACACCAGAAGTTCGTCATCTTGATCACGTTTGGCTTTGTCGGCCTCGGGAGCCTCCACAATCACAGATCTCCGAGCGTTTTGCTTGATCAGACCCGAAAGCTTATGCGATTGACGGCGGGCGCGAAGTCGAGTAACATCATCGAGCGTCTTGGTGTAGCCTTCAACGGCTTCGTCACCATGCTTCAGAACCAGCAATTGTCGCAACACGCGCTGTTGTTCAGCAGCGATGCCGCCAAAGTTGACCTTCATCGCTGCTCTCAGACGGGCGAGGGCAATTTTAAGCAAATACACCAATTGTTCAAGATCGGTGACACGATCAAACCCACCGGTATGTTCTTCAACACAGTTGCGGCAAAGGGCTACCAGGGCGGCAGTGTCATAGCCGGCCTGAGCATATTCCAGAGAAGGGATAGGTCGATGGCAGTTGCCACAATTGAAACATTGTGGGTGCCAACGCTTATTGTGCTCACGGTGACGAATACACAGCTTCTCAATCAGCTTCTGGCACAGTGTACACGCGTCGGTCAGATTAGGAGGTACCGCGAGCTTCTGGGCGATAAAGCTGAGCTTGGAATCATCAACTGGCAGATTGACTCGATCGCCGACGTCATCGGACAACTGTTCATGGCTCCGCATCACCCCGAGGAACGCATCGATGGCCTCGGTCAGGCCAAGCATGCGGTTAACGGCGAGGGCGTTGTATAAACCAGTACGGATAAGCAACTTGAGGTAGTGAGCACAGCCGGTGATCACCAGTAGAAGCTCGGTCAGAAGCGTCCCCAGTTGCGAAATGTGCACCGATTTGCGGAGAATAGCTAAGTAGCTCATAATCTTACCCAGAATGTTTCTTGGTTCCTTGCGAAGTTGTTGGAATGGCACATGATCATCTTCCAGATCCAGCGGAGGCTCGATGGTCTGTTGCACCCGTTCCAGTTGCTGAAGCGCAAGTACGCGGTCCATTGCCTTGAACAAAATCTCCACATTGAGGATAAGCTTACCGGTAGCCAAGATTCCTTGAGCCTGATTAGAGATATGAGCATTGAGTAACATGTCCAGGATATTGGCAGCAGTAGCCTCTTCGTACCCTGAAAGCGTGAGCCAACATTGCATCACCACAATTTCAATTTGCAGCTCGATGGCATAAAGAAGCTTGGGGTCATCATCACCAGCGTTACCCTGTTTAAGGTCATTAAGCACCTGTTGAGGGTGAAGAATGCCGTACTTCTGCTTGAGCCCTACCTGATCGGTTTCAATCAGCACGTTCCAGAACTTGTGCACCATGTAACACTCAGGATGCCACTGTTGGTTGCGGCCACCACGGTATAACTCGACGAATTGCTTGACGATGCTCAGATGACAGCCTTCACACTTCGCGGCAAATTGACGCAGGTAGTGGAAGTGACAATAGATGTTATTGTCATGCTCGTAGTACAGTTCATCCGCCTCGAACACTTTGTGGCATACTGCACATTTGAAGTGTTCAAGGTGGTACTTGTTGCCCAACGCGGTGATGTACGGTCCTCGTAACGCCTTATTGCAGGTGAAGCAAATGAGGTCAAGCCGCTTGAAGTAATCGTACTCACAGAGAGCTACGAGCAGCAGCTCATCGCCGGGGCTAAGCTCGTAAGGGAAAAACTTAGCCAGACACGGCTTGTTACACTGATGGCAGCAAAAGCAGTCGACGTGGAAGGGGAGGTTAAGCGCACGCACAAACTGGCCGGTGATCTCTCCTTTACACGCATGACACACTTTCCGCGACTTTTTGCGCACCAGGCGTCGCCGAGAGGGGTTGTTGGTGGTGTTGGTGGAGAGAGTATTGTTAGGAGCTGAGGGAGCGGTGGTGGTCTGTGTGGGAGGGAGCAACTGAGGGATCACGCTCAGGGATGTTTGCTGGACAAGCGGCGGCGCTCGCGGTCGTGGCGTGGAGTCTTTGGTTGCCTCTCTCAGAAGGTCTCGCAGCGTGTCGCTGCTGCTTGCAGCAGAGACGTCGGGTCCCGGTGTCAGTCGTTCCAGCCAACTTGACTGAGTGTTATTGGTGGTGGTGGTGGTGGACGAGGTGGTGGGTACCAGCAGCGACAGCGTCGGTTTGTGGATGTGAATTTTCGGGTTAGGGTTCAGATGCTGGCGCGGACGTGCCGTCGGTGGTGGGGCAGCAGCTGCCTGCGGTGGACGAGGACCGGCGGGACCGCGATCGGCGGGGGTGGTGTAAAACTGGAATCCGTAGGGTTGGCTCACGGGTTTGCGGGTGTGAGCTTCACTAGGAGCGAGAGGATCATCGGTGGCAGATATGGTAGGCGCTATCGGCAGGATCGCCATCAGATGGCGGTGCAGGGCTCGCGTTGGCGGCGGCAGCGGCGTGGTGCCAAAGTCGAACTCGTCCATGGGAGGGTTTGCTGCCGGTGGTGCCAGCGGCGACGGGTTCGGCATTGGCGGGATGAGCTGAGTCCACAGCAGCGGCGGTCGGTCGTGGCGGATCGGCTGGAACAGCCCTGGCAGGGCCAGCTGGCGCAGCAGCGGCGAGAGAGCATGAGTCTGCGAGTGTGAGCGAGCGTGTTGGAAGTGGAACAGCAGGCCCAGCAGCAGCAGCATCGGCAGGGGCTGGGGCAGCTGGCGCTGGTGGTGGTGGTCAGGCATCGGCGAGTGGTTGCGGGCGGGTGCCGGTTGCTGATCGCTGACGGCCACCCCCGGGGGGAGTTGAAGCATGGAGTGGGAGCGGAAGCCTGGGTCGACGTGGTCACGGACTTTGGGGGAGGGCTAACGACACGCCAGTAAGCAGAAGGAGGCGGGGTTCCGACACGAGGAGAGGATAATGAGCCACAAATAAGTGGGGAATAAACGGCTGGGGCGAAAACGTCGGGAGGGCTCAGCGCCGAAACGGTGTATAGGAATAACCACGCAGTTGACAACACGCGAAGGTGATCCAGAACCTAAACGTGTGTGTTGGCTAGCCAGAAATTTTTGTGCGCGCGCGACCGTCCTCGAGGGGGGGTGAGGGGAGGACGTGTAGCTTTTTTTTTTTGTGGGTGAGGGCGGTGATATGAGGCTAGCGGGTGAGGCCAGTGGCAGAGTATGGCGAGGTACCCAAGCAGAGAAAGGGACCAGAGAAGCTTGTCAAGAGTGTGTTGAATGATTGAAAGGTGATTGTAGTGGCGATCAGTTGATTGGGAGAGGTGGCGTGAGTCATTTGTGGGCAGTAGTAGTGAGTGGCGTGGATTGTGGGGTGGTNGGGGGGGGGCGGGAGGACCAAAAAAAAAAAAAAAATTAGGGAGCGCGTTTGCTAACAAAATCGCGAACCATAGAGCTAATTTTAGGCGCCGTAGCAGTTATGAGCCCCGCATACTAGCCCCTATATACCGGCATAAATAGGGTCTGCGGTGCCGTAGATATGTTGACGTCTCCACGGCTAAGTGAGGTTAGCCAGGGGTGATCCCCCGTATACGAGCCGAGCCGACGTCGACCCTGACGTCAAATGATTGGTAGATAAGAAAACATAGTGAACTTGCCAGTTTTGAAGCGCGTTAACGAAGGAAGCGTAGACGAAGCGGTTCGGGGTTTGTTTGGGAAAGGTTCGTGTGCCTACCGCATTCCCTAGAGCCAGTGGGGGTTCGGCGTCGGCGCAAGCGGTGACGCTTAGGAGGGAGGTCATTTGCCGGGGGCCCCACCCCTTTGTGTTTACGCTGTGACGTATATGCTATATTTGGCTGCCAGTTTGCGACGATGTTGCCACCCTGTCGATAAACGCGTCTGCCTGGATATTCACATGAACTAGGCGCTCGCTTATCGGGTACAGCAGGTAACACCTCACGACAGTGATGGGCAGAAATGTATTTATAGACTGTAGGGACAAGTGTAAGGTGGAGGCGATTAAGCTTAGACGTGAGTTACGTTGCTATTGAAATGGTGACAATTTGATCTTATGGCTGGTAAGTAACCCTGGGAATCGAACTCATGGTGACGGAGGGTATATAGAGGATGTTTGAGGTTTCCATGAATATTTACAAAATGAGTAGATTGACTAAACTTTCAAAGATGAACCAAACAAATAATGTCAATATCGGTTGAAGGGACATTGAAGCAGTTAATTCAAAATTGGACATCACGCTTCATAATGTTATAACATTAGCATTCGTCGATGGTCTCATTAACTATAGCCAAGTGAGTATAGCTCTAAAAGTTGAAATCAATAAACACTCGATACCTAAACTCAACTCTACATTCTCCTGTATCACTTTATTTCTCGCCGCCTGCGGCTATGGGCGGAGGTGTTGGTCCTGCCATATCGCATCGCATCTCATCGCACTATATATATATATATATACCCGATGGCGAAGCGGAAGGCAGACGACGCCGAGGCGTTGCCGACAAAGAAACCGACCAAGACACTGCCCAAGCTCAGAATATCATTATGTATCCCGCTGACAGTGATCAGTGGTAAAAACGCCGCCAACCTCCAGCAGCAGACCGCCATCATCAACGAGATAGCGCGGGCAGCTACGTTGTACCAAGTGGGCGAGATCGTGGTGTTGGAAGTCCCCGAAATTACTGAGCAAGTAGTGGGTGGTAAAAAGACGTTTGACGAAGACGATGACGCCACTACCGAAGCTCCTAAGACGATGAATGAAGCAGTGGTGGCCGCGGGGCTCTTACAATATTTCGTCACTCCCCCTTACCTTATAAAGCTGGTATTCGCTAATAGTGCCTTTCCCGAAGTCACTAATAAGTTTAAGTATGCTGATAAGCTTCCTAAGCTTACGCTGTTACCGTTTATGGCCAATAACGACGTTAATCGTCACTTCCGAGAAGGTATTGCCATCGCTAAACATACTCCTGAAGTGACCAAGAAGGGTAAGAAAGAGAAGGCTAAACATAAGATTTCCGTCACCAAATACGTCAATGTTGGCTTAGACGAACCGGTCGAGCTCGATGAACTGCGGGAAATCCCCGTCCATAGCCGCGTCACTGTCGATATGAAGAACCGCAAAGTGGTGGCTCCCGAGACTGCCTACGGAGTGGTGGGTAACAAACTGAGTTTTGGCTACTATACTCGAGTGTGTCTGAAGCTTAGTCAGGTGTTTACTGAGCTGCTGGTTCCCGAGGGGTATCTGGGGTCGGTATTTGTTAACTGCGACGATTATTTCCAAAAAGGTGAGGGCGAGGATAATTACCGCCATTTGCCTCAATTCCTGGCGGGGGCGGCTAAAGGCGATGTGCTTGTGTTGTTAGGCAACTACCGAGACTACGCCCGGGCGTTTACTGCCGATGCCGCCAACTTGGCGGGGATTGACTCGGTGGCCCAGATGTTTGACTCGCGGCTCGAGGTGCCCCGCGGGGCACGGATAGAGGACGCCAGCTTGATTGCGTTGGCGCTGTTAGCACTGCGGGCATAGTAATAGACAATGGTAACTGAAAGAGTCAAAATTGAGTCGGTTGGCCGAGTCGAATCAAGGTTTTGATGCCAATGACTCACGTGATGACTCACGTGAGTGACTCATTAGCGCATACAATTTGATCCGCGGTCGGGGTGCTAGCGGTATTTGGCGGCTAAAGGCCAGTGAAAAATTCTACCCCATTTCGGGTCACAAAAAGCCACTTAATGCGGTCGTGTATTCACCTATGCTGATGCGGGCGATGCCGAGTCACCCACGACAAACTCGCTAAGAAACCACCGGTGGAAGCGGTAATCGCCGGCGAGCTCCGGGTGGAAACTGGTACCAAGCACCCGGCGCTGACGCACCGCCACCACCACTTTACTACCGTCGCCACGCTCCACCGTCGACAACACCTCTACCCCTGGCTCCACTTTAGTCACCACTGGCGCCCGGATAAACACTGTTTCAAACGGTTCACCTTTCAACCAGGGGAAGGCCACTGGCGCCGTGAACAGATCGAGCTGGCGGCCAAACGCGTTGCGCCTCACCTCGACGTCAAGCGCGCCAAGCGCCACCTGATCGGGCTTACCGTCAACAATGGTGGTGGCAAGCAAGATGAGCCCGGCACACGTCCCCCACACCGGGTGGGTGGTGCAGTAGTCCCGCAACGGCTCGACCATCCCCGTGCGCTGGGCAATGAGCAGCATCGCCGTCAGCTCGCCGCCGGGGATGACTAGCCCGTCGCACCGTTCGAGCTCCGCCGGTGTTTTCACCTCGCAGAAGTGCCACTGGATCCCCGGGAACGGGGCGGCGGCCACCGCCTGGGCCAAGTATTCGAGGTGTTCTCGGAAAGCTCCTTGTAGCGCAAGCACCCCGACGCGAAGCTGGCGGTCCGAGGTCATGAGTCAGTCAGTCAGTAAAGAGATGAGGGGTGTGTGCAAGGCGAGTACTCTTTATCTGTCGGTGCTTCTAGGTGTAAAGTGGGTGACAGATTTTTGACTCCGGAACTAGCGGCACATATACTGCGCTCCAATATTTCACCGGCGCCGCATACAGGGCCGCCATTGTTTTGTGGAGGTGGGAGCGCCGCCACCGAGAAAACGAGTCATAAATTTCTCACCTAAGCCCACCCGCTATATAAGCCCCTCCCGTGCTCCCCCACCAAAAAACCCAGGAATTTTTCACCCCATCACAAACACATGTCGGAATCACAGTTCAAAGTCAACGCCGGGTTGGCCCAGATGCTCAAGGGCGGGGTGATCATGGACGTGGTCACCCCGGAACAGGCGAAGATCGCCGAGGCCGCCGGCGCCTGTGCGGTGATGGCGCTTGAAAAGATCCCCGCCGATATGAGAAAACTGGGCCAGGTGTGCCGGATGCTGGACCCGAAGATGATCAAGGGGATCCAGGAAGCTGTGCTGATCCCCGTCATGGCTAAGGTGCGGATCGGCCACACCGTCGAGGCGCAAATCTTACAGGCGCTCTCCATCGACTATATCGACGAACTGGAGGTTTTGACTCCTGCTGATAAGCAAAAGCACATCACCAAGAAGGACTTCTCGGTGCCGTTTGTGTGTGGCGCTAAGGACTTGGGCGAAGCTTTGAGACGGATTAATGAAGGGGCGGCGATGATCCGCACTAAGGGCGAAGCCGGAACCGGTGACGTTTCAGAAGCGGTGAAACACATTACCGTGATTAAGGATGAAATCGCCCACTACCGCGACAACTGCCACACCGACGCCGACTACCAAAGAGTCGCCGCCGAATTGAGAGTGCCCGTCGACCTCTTGAAACAAGTGTTGGCCGCCGGTAAATTGCCCGTGGTCAACTTTGCTGCTGGCGGTGTTGCCACTCCCGCCGACGCCGCGCTTTTGATGCAATTAGGCTGTGACGGTGTGTTTGTTGGCTCCGGTATTTTCAAGCTGTCGAACCCCGCCAAGTTGGCCAAGGCGATCGTCGACGCCACCACCCACTACAACGACCCGCTTAAGCTTGCCGAAGTGCTGACGGACTTGGGCGACTTGATGGGGGGCATTGCCATCGGTACTATTGACGACAAGGCGCGGTTGCTGAAGATCGGCTGGTAATTGGCAAATGATCGAGTCGTGTTATATATATGTATGGCTGGGGGACCTGTCCTTCCAGTCATGATCTCATCGATTAACTATACGCCCTATAAATAAAATTCTTCATTAATGCACAAATAACGGCGCCACCTTCGTCGAGATGTCGTCATTGTTCTGGTCGACAAACACAATCTGCTTGATGAACCGGTTGAGGTCCTTGGGGATGCTGTGGGTGCTCAAGCCCAAGTCGTCCTGACACATCAACAACATGTCGGGCTTTAAATTCTTCAACACCGTGAAGTACCCCTGGATGTTCTGGCACTTGAGCAACTTGTAGTTGTTTCTCACTTCTTCCGGAAGCGTCGCCGTCAGCTTCTGGATGTTGTAGTTGACGTCGTCCTCGTCCAAATTCGGCGGCAAGATGAAGGTGACATTTTCCAGGTTGTGCAAGATCTCCAGCAACGGCAACTGCAGGTTGAGGATCAGATGGGAGAGCGTGAGGGCAATCAGCTTATTGGTGTACTGGCGCTTCAATTTGCCCGGGGTGGCAGTGTCGCCTTCACTGGCCTGGAGTTGTTGTTGGGTGGCGTAAGCATCGTACACCTTGTAGCCCACTGCGATCAAGGCGGAGACACAGGCGGCGGCGAGCCACAACTGGGGGTTCTTTTGGATCTTCTTGACGTTGACAGCCATGCAAACGGAGACCGGGGTATCAGGAAAAGGGCAATGGTGGAAAGTTGTTGAATCAGATAAGTGGTTCGATAAACCCCCTCACCTTGGAGATTTTTCGCACTCAATAACAGTCGCGGGGAGCGTTTTGGGTGCGCACGTGACCCCGGGAGGCCCGCTTTTCCCATAGTAAACTGGGCCAGAGCATTGCTCGTGGCGACCCAACAGAAAGGAGGGGAGCGCTCCGAACCATCATCACGCACACGGGAACTGGCGGTACTAGCCACCCCCCCCGGAATCCCGTCTGTCACCCTGCTAACGGTTTACCACTAACCTCGGCCTAAAATTTAAAGTTGGACGCTGTTTACCCCATGTAAATTTAGGTATGCATTATATTCATGAGTTAGCGGGGGCCCGAGGTGCGTGGCGAGCCGCGGCTTACCGTGGGTAGCCATTATTTGTGGGCCCCTCACCCGCACGCACTTTAAACACTGATTTAAGTAAATTGGTACGGGGTGTGTGCCATAGACAACTAAAGAGGAGCACGGGGGTAGTGTAGTCACGAAAGTCAGTGTTAGCGGTAGTGGGGTCACNGAGGACGAATCGTTTTTTTTTTTTTTTTTTTTTTGACGGATGTCATGTGATTTACTGGGATGAGATCGTATAGTCTCTAGATCATTTTCGAGATGGATCAGATTTGTGGCCATCGACTGTTATCCTGTGTGTCCAGGGTCTCTTTCTTTTTTTTGTGAGAGTTTGTGAGAGAGGGCACTGCGATGAAATAGGCATTCGCGATGCGCTCTGAGGGGCGCGGAATTATTTAGCAGTAACTGTTGACTAACGGTATACATAGTGGCGTCCGCATTCGGTAGGTCGATCCCGGGGTCCACCTACCTAATGTGGTAAGTCGATCCCGCATCGATCGAAAATCTGTCTCTATCACCACCATCTTGTGGGAATAAACCGTCAATCACACCATCCCTATTTTTTTCACCACCGAAACCACCCTTATATCCACCTCCCACGACACCCAATAAATGTCCGGGTCCCGTCCGTGCCCTCCGTGTCAGCCTGGTTATCTTATCTCCCCTAACAGCCGCCATCGCTCACCCCACGTATCCGGCACACAGCCGCCGATACGCAGACACCGGTTATGCCGCTTAGCATCCCCGAGCCCTCGTATAAAGCCACCAGCATCCCCATTTCATTTTCCTCTCATCGACCATCACACATCATCCAATGGCACTCCACCCGTTTGACTCGGTCAAGGACTACGAGATCAGAGCCGCTTCTAAGGCGGTTAAAGACGCCCACCCGGCGCTGGACGACGTCCACTTTGTGCAAATTGACCGGTTAGACCCGCCCAAGAAGGACATGATCCGCTACTTGGATGCCGAACACTCGGGTTTGCCCGTTCCTGAAATCCCCAGAGTGCTCTACTTGTACTACTGGACTAAAGGGTCCACGTTCAACAAGGCGTTGGTCAACGTGACCATGGGCCACGTTATCACCAAGCAAGAATTGCCCAAGGGGGTGGTCGGCCCCATCTTGCCCGACGACATGGTGGAAATGGAAGAGTTCTGCCTCAAGCACCCCAGAGTCCAGGAAGAGATCGCTAAGCTTAAGTTGCCTCAGGGTTACGCGGTGAGAACCGACCCCTGGATTTATGCTACCGACGACCCTAACGAAAAGAGACCGCTTTTGCAATTCTTCATGTACGTGGCTGCTGCCAACGGCCACTCCGAATCGAACCACTACTCGTTACCCCTCAAATTCTCCCCCGTATTTGAAATGTTCACGAAAAAGTTCGAAAGAATGGACTACTTGCCCGGTGGCTACGACGAAAAGACTGTCCCCACTCAACCGTGGCAACAGGTGCCCGCTGTCGAATACTACCCCGGTATTAACGGTGTCGAACAAACCCGGGTGGTGAAGCCGTTGTACATTGACCAACCCGAAGGTCCTCTGTACACCGTCAAGGGCGAGTTGATCGAATGGCAAGGCTGGAGATTCAGAGTGCTGACCAACTGCCGTGAAGGGTTTGCCATCTACGACGTCTCGTTCAAGGGGAGACTGTGCTTCTACCGGATGTCGCTTTCGGAAATGACGGTGCCCTACGGTGACCCCAGAAAGCCCTACCACCGTAAGCAAGCGTTTGATTTGGGTGACTGTGGTTTCGGCTCTTTCGCCAACAGTTTGGCTCTTGGCTGCGATTGCTTGGGGACGATCTCTTACTTGGACGGCATGGGCATCCACGGCAACGGGGAGCCTTTTGTCATCCCCAACACCGTGTGCTTGCACGAACAAGACGACGGTATTTTGTACAAGCACGTCAACTACCGTACCAACAACGCCGTCATTGCTCGTAAGAGAGAATTCGTGGTGCAAACGATCGCCACCGTTGCTAACTACGAGTACGTGATCAACTTCAAGTTTGCCAACGACGGTCTGATTAACGTCGAGACCAGAGCCACCGGGATCTTGCTGACGATGCCCATTGACGAGAACGTCACCGTCCCCTGGGGTACTGTCGTTGGTCCTAACGTCATGGCCGCCTACCACCAGCACATCTTGCTGTTCCGTTTCGACCCCGCCGTCGACGGTCACATGAACACTGTTGTCTACGACGACACTGTTAAGATGCCTCGTGACCCCGTGCTTAACCCTTACGGCATTGGCTTTGTTGAGCAACGCAATATCGTCGAAAAGCCTGGCTACGTCGAACAAGCGCCGTTGGAACACCGCACGTACAAGATCATCAACGAAAACGTCGTCAACCCCGTGTCCAAGGGTCCCGTTGGGTTCAGAGTGGAAATGCCGGCGAGACAGATGTTGCTTGCCGACCCCGACTCGTTCAACGCCAAGCGGGCTCAATTTGCCACTCAGCAATTGTGGGTGACCAAGTACCACGACAACGAGTTGTACGCTGCCGGTGAGTTCACCAACCAGCTGCAGGCCGACTCGGGTGTGGGTGTGTGGGCCAAGCGTGACGAAAACGTCCGCAACGACGACGTGGTGGTGTGGGCCACCCTCGGGTTCACCCACATCCCCCGGGTGGAGGACTTCCCCGTGATGCCGGTGGAAGTGCACAACATCAACTTGTGCCCGTTCAACATGTTCGACAAGAACCCCGCGTTGGACTTGCCCCAGCTGACCCAGCTGTTCAACAAGCTGAAGTTGTACGACAGCAAGACTGTCGAAGCCAAGCCCTGTTGCAAGAACAACCTTTAATCGTCTATAGCATGAACTTAATGAACAACGTGAACAAGATATGAATGTAGTTCCCTAGACACCGCTGACTACACAATGTGCTGACGTCGAATAGCCTGGTCTGATTCACAATTTAAAATACGTAAAATCTTATTAACGCATTCGGCACTCAATGCACAATATGGTCACCGCATTTCTCCTGATATGACTGCTTCATCTTGCTAAAGTAGTCTTCCCATGCCACCCGCTGGGCTCATGCACGTAGCGATGTTATCAAAACCACGGCGCATGCATCGAGACTCGCTGGGGATAAGTTACGACTCGACACAGGCCATGAGTACGCAATATCGAGCACCTATAGTGCTAGTTGCATTTGGGAAGTATCTTAAAGTAGATAGGGTAGCCATGAAGCTCAAGTTTAAGTCTCTTCTTGCTCGCTTGTTTGCCCCTACCCCCAGAATCCACGTAGAACAATTGTGCTCTGCCCTCAGAACCTATTATATTTTGCCCTCAGAACCCATTATATTTTGCCCTCAGAATCAATTGTACCGTACCCTCAGAAACCGTTTATCAATTGCACCGTGCCCTCAGAACCCGTTGATCAGTTGTGCTGTGCCCTCAAAACCCATGTATATGCTGCATCGTGCCACTAGAGCTCATAGGCTCATTATGCCGTGACCTTTAAACCCATTACTTTGGCGTCAAAGATTAATGTGCCTTGCCTTCAAAGTCCATGTATCTGCCATGCCGTGCCCTTAAAACCCATTGTGTTGTGCCGTCAAAGCCTCACTAGAATGAAAACTGTCAACGGTAGTCGAATCGCATAACTTCATGCGTCGGGATATATTCATTGAGTTGGCTAACTGCTCGAGGTGAGGCAATCACCATTTTGATGATGCTATTTCCCGGCTAAAGGAAGCCTTTTATAGTGAAGCCGCCCCCATGTCATCACTCATGAGTTTCAGCCAAGTTCGGGCTGAAATTCTTGGGTGTTTCAAAGCTCGAAGGGATGGCAAGGCCTTTTCATGCATGATAGTTACTTTATTCACGATATTGGTATTTCATTTGCTGATGGAGCGGGGCTGTTGTTTCAAAGTGAACGGCCGAGATGCATTGTGTTTAAGGAAATCGCTTGCCTACCTTTGATCTGGATGGGGTATGGTGATACCTCTGTTAATTGAGGCTTATTGATCATTTTTGAAAGCAGTGATCTCTTTGACATGAATATCTGATCCCATTCCTACGAGTGACTATTCAGCAAATGTTCCGGTTCCTCATCCATACGTCTTGTAACTCCGTTTATAATCTCCTAACTCCATTTCCCGATGAATGTACTTTCTATTGGGTGATAAGGAGTTTGTCTCAATTTCACCCATCGTTGCCGTACAGGGCGACTTGTCCTGCAATATTCTTAGTCTAGGAGACTTCATTTTGAGCATTTGAATTTTACACGAATTATCATGTCGTCCTTTCAATAGCTATTGCGATGCTCTCTCTTTTTACCACTACGATACTGATTTTCGACTTTCGCAGCATGAGCTTCTCGTTCGTACCTTCACCATCGATATCGGCGAGTGGAGAACAGTCACAATTGTTACGCCTGAACGTTCATCAGGGCCTGATCTGAGGGCACTTCTTCACCAGAATAATTATCACCCTAATCCAGCTGGACGAGTGCTAATCTTTTATTTTAACGTTAAAACTCAGTGATACATTGACAACTACCAAAGCCAAAGGAGCGGCGGAGTTTTACTTGATAAGCCGCGCTGATGCTCCATCATTCTTACCAGAGAACATCATGGCGGGGCTATTGGTGGTTGTCTACGTTGAATGCTATTGCTGATTAATGTTACCCATGTATTAGATCATAGTATTTAGACTTGGTGTTGGTAGTCGGGGAAGGCTCTGAGGTTTTGTTCGAGGTTACCCTTCTTCGACATGAACTTGACGTAAGCACCGTCGTCCTTGACTTCACCGTTTTGCTTCTTGGCGATGTATTCTTCTCTGTCCAAAGGAGTGAAACCCCACTTCTTCGAGATGATGATCTTTTGTTGACCGGGGAACTTGTAACGGGCTCTTCTCAAACCTTCGATAACGACGTCCTTGTTCGAGTCCTTGGTTCTGCACGACATGATGATTTGGCCGATGGAAACTCTGGCAGCCAAACCGTGGGGCTTACCCCAGGCACCTCTCATACCTTGTTGCAATCTATCGGCACCGGCACACGACAACATCTTGTTGATTCTCAACACGTGGAAGGGGTGGACTCTGATTCTCAAGTGGAACGAGTCACGACCCGACACCTTGGTGATGTACTTGTTGGCGCAAATACGGGCGGCTTCAAGAGCTTCCGACGACAATTGTTCGAGTTCGTTCGAAACCAAGTGGATGCACAAGGGGAAGTCGTCGACCGAAGCCTTCTTACGACCCAAGTCGTAGATTCTGATCTTGGCGTCGGGGACGGCTCTGTTGTACCGCGACTTAGGGTAGGGCTTGTTCTTGCAGTATCTGTAACAACGGGCGGGACGACGAGGCATGGTTACTGGGTTGGTGGTAAAATTTTTGCTTAGTTTTCCGCCGCGACAGTGCGATGGTGGTGACTCAGGGCGCTAACCCTAATGCACGTGACAAAATCTACCTCGTGAAAACACATCAACCAGCTCAAATTTAGTCTACCAAAAGTGACATAAGCAATCTTGACTACTGTAACACCATACATAACCTATAATATTATCCATTTGTTGCCTCCAATCATGTTTTCTCGTGGTTTTTGCTTGACACCCGTCGCTCGAAGTGAGCGAAAATGAGCATTAGTAAGCACCATCACGAATGGTGGCACCACCATGATTAGTCAGACTAACAACCCCTAGAAGCAACTACAGAGGAGAAAAATCGGGTATCTTGGTAATTCCGCTCTTTTCAAACTAGACAATGCTCGGTTATGAGGGATGCCCTGCCATTCACTTACCAAAATGAGCATTATCGAAGGACATGTGCCCAGTAAATCAAATACCGGCTTCATGGGTGCCTGAATTATACCTTTAAGGCGACAATCTAGTCAATCCAACATTGATGGTACTAAAACATTTATAGTTCGGGCTATATCGACTGCTGCACTGATGTTGTTAAGGACCATAAATTACGGTTATCGATATGAGACTGGATTAAAAATACTAGTTCCATGCCAACTAACAGTATCCGTCCCCGATTTGATGTGATTTACGCTGTTAGTGAATCCAACGTCGTCGGTGGTGGGTTTGGAGAGGGGTGTGCCTATCAGGGTGCAATTGCCTGCATTGTGCGCAGCCACGCATAGCGTAGGCGCGGCTGCAAATTCGTCACTAAAAGTCATCGAGCGGAATACGAAATAGACCTACTGATTTCACCTTCCTGCGATTTCAATATCTCCACGAGTATTCGAAATTCAACGCATCAGGTTTACTTCTTACATCAACAGTAGTTGTATGTTTAGTAGTAGTCGCAGTACCTGATCTCAAGACCACAGCGTTCGGACTAAATAGATATCCTCATTCACATGCCAATCTTTTTTGAATCTTAGCCACGTTTGATACCCTTGTTAGTAAATGTTTCTTTCGTTGGTTCACCCAAAACTCCGGGAACTCCGAGCCTCGAGCTGTACCCTCCACCTGGTCGACGTAAGTTCCACGTGTCGTGTCGCGTCGCGTAGGGTCGGGGCACCGCGACCCCGAGGAAATTTTCTTTTTGGCCACTTGTTGACATTGACACCAAACAAACCACCAGTTATATCATGTCGTTTGCTGACCGGGAACAGCCGAGAACTCTTTGCCTTTTCGACGTCGACGGGACGTTGACCCCCGCCCGGTTGACCGTCTCCGACGAGATGAAGAAGACCCTCGCCGAGGTGAAGAAGAAGTGCGCCATTGGTTTCGTCGGTGGCTCCGACTTCGAGAAGCAAGTCGAACAATTGGGGCCCAACATCTTGCAAGAATTTGACTACTGCTTCTCGGAAAACGGGTTGACCGCCTACAAGCACGGGCAGAAGTTGGCGCTGCAGCTGTTCATCGGCTGGTTGGGCGAAGACAAGTACAACCGGTTGGCCAAGTTCATCTTGCGCTACCTCTCCGACTTGGACTTGCCCTTCCGTCGTGGTACTTTCATTGAATTCAGAAACGGGATGATCAACGTGTCCCCCGTGGGTAGAAACGCTTCTACCAAGGAACGTAATGACTACGAAGCTTACGACAAGCAACACAACATCCGCGAAACCATGGTGAAGGCGTTGCAAAAGGAATTCCCCGACTTCGGCTTGACATACTCCATTGGTGGCCAGATCTCGTTTGACGTGTTCCCTACCGGCTGGGACAAGACCTACTGCTTGCAATACGTGGAAAAGGACTTTGACACTATCCACTTCTTTGGCGACAAGACCTACAAGGGCGGCAACGACTACGAAATCTACAACGACCCCCGCACCGTCGGCCACGCCGTCACCTGCCCCGAGGACACCATCAAGGACTTGAAGCAAATCTTCAACTTGTAAGACAATAATACATTTTTAACGGAACTTTTATTTGATGTAGAGTGTAATCCGTTAACCAAATTGACCAATTGTGGACATATGAAGTCATGGTGTTCATTCTTGGTAGTGACATTGTTTTGCCATTGTTTTTCACTTGTGCTATTAGTTTAACAATCAGTGCCATCAAGAGCGCCATTAGGACCACTTCTCCAGCAGTACTCTAAATCAAGCAGAAAGCTAACCTTCGTCCTCTTACGGCTTTAAATTGCGAAAGCCAGCCGTTAACTTTCAGATAAAACCGAAATGGTCATAGATTGTAACCTCCACCTGCTTATTATTCAATTTGAGCATTAAAGTCTCAAACAGTCGCTAAGATTATATTCTCTTATTGAGCCCACATGATTCTTGATAATTTCCTCGCACCGGGCCAATATTACGTGAGTGGCGCATGCGTGTGTTTTTGTCCCTCACAAACACCGACGATAATCTCCGCATCAATCCAACGGGTAAACAATGACTTTTAAGAATTCAATGAAAATAGCAACTACTCTATAAATTTATTGATAAAATAGTCATCCATCTCTCATTAGACCTCTTCTCTCGTCACTTCCCGTGGTCGACGAATTTTCAGCGAAATGTGCCAGCGCGACTTTGACTGAAAATTTTACCAGCGACCACCAATACCATGTCGGAAAAATCAGCGCTGCCCGCCCCCCGGCCGAGAAAGTTCATCAAGCGTCCCGATGACTCGGCGATGAAGGCTCAGGTGGCCCAGCTCCGCGACGAGATCAAGCAGTTGGACGCGCAGACCGCCGAATTGACCGCCCAGATCAACAAGCTCCAGATCGACCAGAAGGTCAAGGACCGCCAGCAGGAATTGCGCAAGGAGATCAAACTGTTGATCAGCAAGCAAGGCACCGTCAAGCAGCAGCGCAACAAGATCAACGACGAGATCAAGCAGATCGACACCCAGATCAAGAAGCGCATCGCCGAAATCCAGGCGCAAACGCTGAAGAACCAGTTCAAGAACGTCGCCGAAATCGACGCCAGAGTCAACTACTTGGACTCGCTCGTCGACGCCGGCAACTTGAAGCTCGCCGACGAGCGCCGCTACGTCAAGGAAATGCTGCTGTTGCGCAAATTGCGTAAGGACTTTGGCGGCATCGAAAAGATCCAGGCGTTGATCGACGCCGACAAGGAAAAGATCGCCGACCTCAAGCAGAAGTTGCTGCAGGTGCAAAACAAGGAGTTGAACGCTCAATTTGACAAGGTCGACGCCGAGCTTAAGCAGATCGATCAGGACAACAAGGGCACTTTAACCAAGCGTAACGCGTTGTACGACAAGCGCGGCGCCCTCAAGAAGGAAAAGGACGCCAAGTACGATGCTATCCGCAAGGTGAGAGGCGAGTTTGACGACGAAATGAAGAAGTTCAAGGCGGCGATGGCCGACGAGATCAAGCGCCGGGAAGAAGAAGACAAGGACCGCATTGCTGCCGAAAAGCAAGCCAAGCTCAAGGCCAGGGCCGAGAGAGAGCTCGCCGAAGCGCTGACCCCGGCGTTCACCACCGAGATCAACTCCATCCACAACTTGTTGCTGTACTTTGACCCGCTGTACGTGAAGCCGGCGAAGAAGGACCCCTTGGGCATCAACGGGTCGTTCGTCACCCAGACCTCGGTGCGTACCGTGGAAATGCCCGCTGACGTGGTGGTGGTGAAAAAGGAACAAGAAGAGTTTGTCCCCTCGCTGAAGCTGAAGAAGGGCAAGCTGAAGCTGAAGAAGAACAAGAACTTCACCGTCGACCCCGACGTCATCACCGAGTTGCTGGTGTTGCTGATCCCCTTCCCCACCTCGGAGGAGCTGGTCGCCGACACCATCAAGGTGTTGCAAGAAACGTTGACCGCCTTAGAAGACAAGCAAGAGGAACAGACTAAGATCAACGTCGAGAAGGCCAAGGCGAGAATCGCCGAGTTGGAAGCCAAGGGGGGTGACGACGACGACGAAGAAGAACAAGAAGAAGACGCCGCCGCTGAAGAAGCGTAGATGGTATAGATAATATTACGAAGCCTTAGACGTTAGCGCGGCGCTACCATAAATGACGGCGCTACCATGTAGCTCCATTGTCGCTTTTCGCTGTACTGTGGTGGTGGCTTCCTTCCCCACTTTCGCGGTGACTCAGGCCAGTCCCCGGGGCCTGACTCGGGCCCGCCCGCCTCCCGGAGCGCACCAACACTTCCGCACGGATTCGTCCGAACGAATATATACCGCGCCGTCTGCCCCCTCCGCGAACTCCCCCAGTGACAGGCCAAGATGATAAAGAGCTCCCTTACCGCGCTGAGAGTGACGTTGAGAACCCTCGCCACCCTGCTGAACGCGTCGCTGGCGCCGGCGACTCCGAAAAAGCGCCGCCCCACCAAGTTTACCGATGCCCTCAACAAGGGCCCTTCCTTCGAAGACTTCGTTATGGGTAAGGCTAAGGATATGGTGGTTGATCCGTTGGAACAGGCGAGAGCTGATCCCAACGCTAGACTTCCCAAATGGCTCAAAGTGCCCATCCCCAAGGGGAAACTGTACCACCAGGTGAAGAACGATGTCCGCGAATTAAAGTTGGCCACCGTGTGTGAAGAGGCCAAGTGCCCCAACATTGGCGAGTGCTGGGGTGGTAAGAAGAGCGAGGCCACCGCGACCATCATGTTGTTGGGCGACACTTGTACCAGAGGGTGTCGTTTCTGCTCGGTGAAGACGAGTCGGGCCCCGGGGAAACCCGACCCGATGGAACCGGAAAACACCGCCGAAGCCATCAGCCGGTGGGGCTTGGGGTACGTGGTGCTTACCACTGTCGACAGAGACGACTTGGTCGACGGTGGTGCCCACCACTTGAAGGAAACCGTGGAGAAGATCAAGCAGAAAGCGCCGCAAATCCTCGTCGAAGTGCTCAGTGGTGACTTCAGAGGCGACTTGGACATGGTGGAAGTGTTGGCGCTGCTGGGACTCGACGTCTACGCCCACAACTTGGAAACCGTCGAGGCTTTAACTCCTCACATTCGTGACCGCAGAGCCACCTACCGCCAATCGTTGGCCGTATTGGAGCGCGCCAAACAAACGAAGCCGCTGCTTGTTACCAAGACGTCGTTGATGCTTGGTTTTGGCGAATCGGACGAACAAGTGTTGCAAACATTGAAGGACTTGCGCGAGATTAACTGCGATGTGGTGACGTTTGGTCAGTACATGCGCCCCACTAAGCGCCACATGAAGGTGGTGGAGTACGTCACCCCTGAAAAGTTTGACTACTGGAGAGATAAGGCATTGGAGATGGGCTTTTTGTACGTTGCCAGTGGACCCCTTGTGCGGTCGCTGTACAAGGCCGGGGAGGCGTTCATCGAAAACGTCATCCGCAAGCGGCGCCACAACGTCGGCGAGACCCCGAGATTGGAGAGCACCATCGCCCCGAAGATCGAGGTGTAGGCTTTTGTAATGATAATGATAATGATAGACCTTCGAATAGACACCAACTCACCGATATTGAAACATTTGTATTTGCGCAATCATTGACAACTTAAGACTTAAAACATCAAGCTGTTTTTCTTACCTATAAGCTGATTACACATGGAGTCATTAGCAGCAGTCAATAAGGTTTAGCAGTCAATTATAGGGCCACTAACCACTACTTCTTAACTCATAACTTACCAAATATTGATGGTGTGTTTCTGTACCTTTATTGACCCCAGAAACACGATTTATCTGTTATATTATTTGATAAAGCGTTGATGATCGGTTCTTTCAAATATCATTCCCGCTGGGGAAGCCAAAGATCTAGACACCATATTCTTTGATGAGATAAAATCGCTCGCTTAACGGCAATTGTGAGAATAAACTACGATCATTGAAATTACAGTAGCAGCCAGTCTCTTCAAGTAAATGTTCCATCACTACAACGGTTGATTTCCTCAAACCACACTGATCTACGCTTGGTTTGTATATGTCTTGTATTTGTGGTTTGTGTATATGGGTACAAATCTACCGGGATATGTGCCACTCTAGATTATCTTCTGTAGCGAGCAGTTTCGCGGCGGTTGCCTCCACCGTAGTAGTAAGGCGCCGGGTAGGACGCGGGCGGCGCACCTTGATGTCCTCCGTACTTGTAGCCGTACTCGTAGTCGCCAAAGTAGTCGCCACCACCAACTTCGCCAGGCACTGGGTACCCGTAGGGCAGGTGGCCTGGGTGAGGCAGCGCCGCGGCCTGTTTAGCAAGATAGTGAGCCATCATCTGCTGCTGCTGCTTATAGTGGCGGTTGTTGCCTCCGTGGTGAGGCACGGGAGCCGACAGCATGTACACCAGAGGCAGCGCTAGCGTGTAGTAGTGTTGACCTTGAGGGCTCATTTGCGGGTAGGGAGGCAGCGGCGCTTGGTGGTAGTAACCATTATACAGCGGCGACCGCAGCGCCCGCGGTGCCCCCGCCTGCGGGTAGTAGTAGCCTGGCAGTTGTTGCGGGACGAACGGCGGAGCCTGGTAGTACAGCAACAGCGCCAGCAGCGAGTTGCGCAGCAACTGGCGCCGCGAGTCGTGGTGTTGGTGTTGAGGGCGCTGTTGTTGTGGCCGGTTACCAGTCTTTTTGCGCCCCTGAGCACAGGGTGCCTGGCGCCGTTGGCGCGGCGGCTTAGTCGCTACCTGCGGGTTTTCGTCCAGGTCGATGATGATCAGCACGTCGTCGTCATCCAGCTCCAGCACCATATCGGCCTCGCCGGCCTTCAATGGGCTGAGAGTGGGCAGGGCCGTCACCAGCACCGAAGGAGCTAAAGCAGTGGCGTCGTTAATGTCAGCTTCGCCAGCTTTGACCACCAGGTCGTCTTCAGTGCACTCGTCTTCGATAATATCGTCAGCGCTGGTACTGGTTTCCAGCGGCGCCAACGGCGACTTAGGCGACCTTTGAACCGGTAATTCAGGGACTGATTCGGTAGCAGTAGCATCAGCGGCGGCGGTGCCGTTGTTGCTAGTTTCAGCGTTGGTAGCCTTGGGATTGCGCTGCTTACGCTTCGCCTGCTTCTGACGCTTTTCCAGCAACACCATCATCGCCCGCATCGCCTCCTGGCGCTTCGCCTGTTCTTGGCGCTTGCGCTGTTCCACCTGGTTATGGAGCTGGTCCTGGTACAACTGATATGTCAGCCCCGGGGCACCGCCCACCTTCTTCTTAAACAGGAATTTGGGCGGGTTGCCGCACCGGTCTTTGCCGAAACTGATCTTGAGCCGGTGGTAGCGGTCGTACACTTGTTGAGCCTCGTGCTTAAACACTTTAGCCAAGTGGTCGAGACATTCCTGCTTCGGCAACTCGAATATCAGCACCACTCTCACCGCATCAGCGAGGTTGAGGAAGTTGACGAAGCCACAGTCGCGGTTGTTAAAGAAGTTGATTTGCTCGACGTCGCCGAAGCACGAGAAGTCGTGGCGGAGCACTTCTTCCAGCGGCAATTTCGGCGCCGGCAGCGTCGCCTGGCGTCTGATGCCAATGTAGACATTGCGCAGGGCTCCTGCTTCCACCGCTGTCGCCACTTCAGGTAGTAAGGGACCAGAATGCACTTTAGCCCAACCCACGGTCACATCGACCCCTTTGATGATCAACTGGTGGTGCAACTGGTGGGTGAGGTAGAACTGGTAGGCGATGTTCTCGTCGACAAACGTGATGAAACACACCTTCTTCTCCGGGTGGTATCGTATCAGCTCGACGATGCCGCCAGCTCTCACATTGTTGGCGATTTCTTCAATGGTGGTGTGTGGGTGGAGGTTGCCCAAGTAGATCAGACGGTTACCTTTGTTGAGCACGTCGGCGCTGGGAGCGTAAGGCGCAGGCGGTAAGATTGCTAGCTGTGGATCATAGGGCAGCTGGGGAGTGTGTGGGTAGAGCGCAATGGGAGGTACCGGCAGCAGTTCCCGCGAGTGGCGGTGGTAAGGGTAGGGACGCGGTGCCAGTGTCACGCTCAGCAGCGCCCCCATCCCGAGGACCAGCAGCAGCGCTGAGCGAGTAGGCAGGTTACCGATGGGCGGCGATAAACGGCCGGCCAGCAGCAGCGGCAGTACCACAGTAGGGTAGTCGCCGTTCACGGTAAGCATCGGCAGCCGGCTGTCGTCGCCGCTGGCGCTAGTGTCATCGACGCCGTTGGCATCAGCGTCAGCTTCAGCCTCGGCTGCTTCCACGGTGATAGTAGCAGCAGCCACGGGCTCAGGAGAGCCTGGAGGGGTCGAGCGGTGGTCGCAGCGGTCTTTGGCAAACTGGACCAGGGTAAACTTGATGTCGTAGCGAAACTTCAGCTTGCGTGGGATCCCCGATTGCGACCGCTGGAGGTCGTTGGCGACACGTTTAGTGTAGAACTCTAACGTCTTGATCGCCAGGTCAATCAGGGTGAAGTGGACGGTGGCACTGCCGCTGGCTCCGGAAGCATCGAGACTGACGTCAAACCGCTCGACATCGCCGAGCTTAGTGCACTGGTGGTGGATGAACGAGTGGGCGCACTCGGCGCGCAGCTGCTGGGCCTCTTGCTCGTGGGAGAACACGAGGTCGGCGGGGATATCGTCAAGAGTAAACGCGAGGGTTACTGCACGCGTAGCGCCGTGATCGAGAATGTAGTTGAGCGTTTTAAGCTTGATCAAGTCCTGCCCCGGTGTATCGGCGCTGGGGTCGTTGACGACGATCTGGAGCAGGTCCAGGTGGTCTAGCCGCAATTTAAGCCGCTGCATGTTGCTGATCAGCTTGGTGTAGCGGCGGTGGAACTGCTGGCACACCTCCAGGTTGACAAACAGCACCACGCACGTCTGGACGATCCCGGCGTCGGTGTTGCGCGTGTACATCTTGGTGTACTCGATGGGCCCGGCCTCGATGGTGTCCAACACCTCCAGCAACGTCACCAGGGGGCTGATGTTGCGGATGTGGACGGTGCGGCTCGGCTGGGGGATGTTGTCAGTAGTAGAAGCCACCAGGGCCCTCAGAAGCGTCGGTAGCTGGGGGTTGCTGTAGCCCCCATAGTTGTAGCTGCCGTTGTAGCTGTTATTGTAGCTGTGGTGGTGGGGCGCCGGCGCCGGCGGCGGGCGCTGGCGGCGCTCGTGGCGGGCTCCCGGCGCCCGGGGCGGTCTCGCCACCCACCCGGGCACCAACACCAACGGGTCTTCGGCAGGGTAGTAAGGGTACATCGGCGAGGCAGCGGCAGGTGTTGCGGGTGTGATTTAAGTTCGTAGAAGGCCGTGGCGCTCAGGGCGGGTTTAACACGTACCGCGAGGGCGCTCAAAGGGTCGTGGCGGCGTAAGGCAACGGGGATACAAAAACCACCACGGGCACAGGCAAGGGAGGCACGGTGCAACGGCGAGTAAAGCTTGAGGGAGGCTCGCTGGCAAAGAGCTCGACGGAGAAGGGTAGGGCACCAGAGGTGTGTGTATTTGGAAAAACAACTGAGCACCGCGGTTTAGGCAGGGCAAAAGAATAATGAGGGCGACAGTGTTTTTTTCCGTGAGAGTTGCGCCTGCGGGCGCCTGCTTGTGCCTCTGCCTGCTTTTTTTTTGCGACTCTCGGTAAGCGCTCTCGTACCAGGAACCCTGGTATTAAGACCTATATGACACACCCACCACTGACACAAATCCCCAACTAGGGCGAAACCAGCAACGTTTGCGGCGCTGGCGGCACCAGGGGGAAGTTGCTTGTGGCATACATCCTCCAAGTTTGTGGTGCCACCGTGGCAAAACCAAATTATTTTTGGCTCGCCGACTATAAATAGCTACATGGCGTATTCAGCGCCAGTGTGGGCGCCAGGGGCAGGCCAGGTGGGTGGGGAGGGGCGCACCCAATGGGCGCCACCCCTGGCTCGATTAGGCATATTTTTTCTCGACGAGTGCGACGAAATGCGACGGATGCGATGCTGGCGCCCGGCGCTCGTTGAGGGACCAGCGCCAGCGGCGACTGCCGGCGGTGGGGGGATGGGACAGATGGCGGCAAACAGCCACGGCGCTACTCCATGCCATCGGCACCGCCGGCGCCGTTGTCATCGGCTTGGCACGATAGATCCTAAGTGGTAGCTAGCACACCCAGTTTTTCTACTCGCCTATAAGGGAAATAGAGTGGCACTGTTTCAGCGCCATTGACTGGGGTGGGCGCCAGCGCATTCACTGGTGGAACGCGGCGTCGGCGCTGGCTTTATAACGCCATTTCCACCCGTTACAGCGGTGCGGACCTCCGATTACGTGAGCACATCGCCTCCCGACACGGGCGGTTCGGTGCCTGGACGAGGTTGACAGCCTCGGCCACAAAGATCTAGAACCCCTTTGCGTGGGGCAGCGCCATCCCCTTGCCTTCGCCTGCAGTAATTCGGCGCCGCCGGCGTCTAGGCGAGAACCCTGAGCGCGCCCCGGCAGGTGATCGCGAGGCTGGTAGCGCGACAACAACGTGTTACATTAACTACAATATGACAATATATTGCCCATAAATTGCTAATAACAGGAAGCTGGCACAATTCCAACTTTAATAAGAATTATCTGTTCTTCCTATGGTTTTCCCTGCCTCGATATGATCGCTCAAATTCGTGTCTCACTCCAAATTCACGGTGACACCTTCTTCAAGATTTAAGCTAAAAGTTGAGTTTCCAGACTACTTCGAGGAATTAGACTTGAAACGGCATATCAATATGTGCATGTAAATGTTGGCTTGTCTCCAAAATTAATTTATTTGCCTTGTTTTCATTGATGAGACAATCGAAACGTATGGGGACTGTAGTGTACCTCGATATGCTCTTGCAAATGATCGAGCTGGTATAGCAAATCCATACGGCTGAACTTTGACGCATTCGAGTCATTATTTTTTTATGAGAAGGCTTGTATTTGATTTCATTCAGTTTAGACTAAATCAAACCTCTCTCATCTTCGCCTTTCATCATATTACTCGCGATCGGAAAGCTGTCGTATCTGAGTATGAGCTCTACATGATTTGAGTTTTAATTATCGTCCTTTTTAAGATACTAGGTTCATCAAACTCGGTTTTCTTTGTCAGCAACCTGGCTACAAAAGTTTAATATCAAATCGTCATTAGTTCGTTAATCTATGCAGTCATATCTATCTTCCGTAGGCCAACACCTGTGAGCGTTCCAGCCGCTTTACCCCAACCAGTTCCGCCAACGTGCTGGGAGTCAGCACCTGGTCGCCCAGCGGGTCAAACTGTAACCTGATTCGTTCCTCTTCCTCCCGTCGCTGTTGTTCACGTTTCTGCTGACGCTGTAAGCGCTTCTCCTCCAGGTCATTCACCAAAAACCGTTCGTACCACGGGACATTCATGTTTCGTAATTAGTAACCGTAAACCACGATCAAGTGGGAAAAAGTTTTGTCACGAGGAGCTGGGGGGACTATTTATTTATGGGCGTGAGCCGCACGCGCGGGGAAAGCAATATACGTCATATAGTCATGTGTCTTCGTGGGTTCTGCCGCACCATATGAAACCGGCGTCGATCATCCGACTATATAAACCACGCCACCATCCACCCCTTCATACTCGCTGCTAAGAACTACTCATAAACTGGTCATGCGCTTGTACTAAAACGAAAAGGTCGGGTAATCACAGCAATACCCAACAGACACCCCCCTGGGGTAGCGTGCTTTTTCTCGTATCGGCGGGGAGGGAGAGATTGCCCAGTTGTGAGCCATTTTCTTTTTCTCCCGCATCCAATAGAATCAAACCACGACAAACGATGGGTTCTCCAAGAGGCAAACCAACCGGTATTGTTTGGTTCCAAAGCTGGTTGTGGTCTACTAGTGATTTTGTTGATATTTTGAGGCTGAGATCCCGCGGAATCTGGTGGCGTTTGGCGTTGGCTGGGGGTGGTGTTTATGCCGCGGTTGTATGTGTGTTTATTGGGTGAGACCAGCACAAGCCCCTCCCGGTAAGCGCACGACCAGTCACGAGACGGCTAAGCCAGCTGCGGTGCTGGTGCCGCTGTCCCTAATTCCAGAGCGGGTAAAACACGCAATTACTATGCCGGTATTTCCCTCACACGGTCGGCGTGTGGGGGAGATCTGTTGAGGCACGACTGCATTAACATCGACCCAAAAGCGACTCCGATACTCTGCAGGGCGACTCCGAAATCCCGCGCTCGGTAGAGGTTTTTGTGTGCGACACGACTGCGACTTTCGGGGACGAAAGCAAAACTGTGGCGAAAAGCACAGTGACCAACGTGGTCTCCATGGTAACCACGCACACCCCCCCCCTCGCGTACCACACCCGTCCGTACCTTACTGATAGTGGCCCCCGAAGCCCCCAAACTGTGGTTGTCAACCCAAACGGTGCCCCCGATATCCTCCGGTGTTTATCTAGCCTAATCACCACGGGGTAATTTAAGAATTAGCTCTGATTGTGACCTCAACCCTGCCAACCTTAATCCGCCCCCCGAGGCCAGCGGCTATCTCTGCTATTGTTTCGTCGGTAGTGCCAGCGGTCTATTATTGTCTCTGATACCAGTCTCCCTCTCGGCCCTCCCCCTATTAACTATACTTCCCGCGTCCCCCTCTCGTTTACCAGGGCCAACCCCCGTTGCCCCTATCAACCTAAGCACGGATAACCACATTGCAAGCATGACGCGGAAAAAAAGAAAGCCTATCGGCACCCCCTCGACGTAACCTTAAATGAATTTTTCCTTCCAGAGCTAACCCCATTCCGACCGTCGTCACTGTGCACGATTGGAGTCTATCTTACCCCATGGGCACGTCTGTGCAGGCACATCGCCAGCACCCCAGCTAGTGTCGGGACAGTAGCCCGATCGACCATCGCTTATCGGGTTATCACAGCAACAAAGCAAACCACAGGCTAATCTTTCTACGACACCCCGGTATCAGTGACTGTGGCTTTTCCTGACCACCACCAGCCTTGTCCTATTGTTGTCTTTTAGGGGTTGAGGTCTTTTTTCGCCTCCTCGGTGAGAAGAAAAGAGACTCGCCAGAAGGGGGCTCGTATTCACGCCCCGAACATACCCCAGCAACTGGGCGATTGCTGTCGGGCCCGGAGTTCAGGGTCCCTATGGTGTGCGGGTAGCCCTGGTACAATGGTGGCGGAAGCTCGTTCCAGAAACAGGCTAAAAGCAATGGGTATCAAAGAGATAAACAAGGACAACAAGGAGATAGTCGATGCCCCGGGGGGAAGGAGGGGTTCAATGGCTATTGTTTGCAGAGGGGTGATACGAGACCACAGCCCCCACGGGCATCAGGAGACAATGCCCGTGTGCCATTGTCTACCGAGGACTATAGAGGTGGAGGAGGGGCAGGGTGGCCTTTCGGCATAACGGAAGAAATATTCGCATGATGGGGTTACGGGAGACGCCGCCATCGCCCCTAACGCGAAGGTCGATGGAGATCCGAAGTTGCCCGCCCCGCTCCGCCACCAAAATGGCCAGCAAACGTAATCAGCGTGATATGGTGTCCACATCCATGGTGTCGGATAATGTAGATAATTAGTTTGCCATCATCTTACGTTTGCTAGCCACTCTATTGCTAGAAGTGCTAGTGAAGAGAAAAATTTCTTGGGGCCGAGGCGATGCCCTCAAATACCCTCGGAGGGGCGCCGCGCACAGAAACTTTTTAGGGTTCGGGGCTGCGCAACCAGGTAAAATAACACAAGATTAACCTCTCTAATGAGCAAGGCGGGTTTCGTCATCACGTGGCGAGAAAAACCTTATTTTATTATCGGGGCGTTAGGGGTATAAAGACGATAGCAGTCCCTGAGGAAATTTCCTCCCCTCGATAACCGTCGACGCCGCGATGCTCTCCTTCGACTTGTTCCGCGTCATCCTGAGATTCGAAATGGTGGTGCTGGTGTGCCTGATGACGGGGATGTTGATGATCATCCTTCCGCTCATGGCGATGTTCCTCTTTGACATCGTGGGCTACGTCTACTTGAAGTACACCAATAAAATCACCGCTTAGACCCGGTGTGGCTTTTTGCCAATGAGACAGCGTCTGGTCGTTCTCAGTGCCGGGTGCACTGGGAGCTTAGCAGATGGCCCTATTTATTTTGGACACGATTGATTTTTTATTAGCATTTTTGGATATGTGGCGTTAATGGATAAGACATATTAAGACCTGTGTATGACCACCAAACTGTGGGTGACGGCATGAGGCGGTGGGGTCTCTCCCCAGCCAGCCCCGCACTTATTTCACCTTAGCCTGCGTCACGTGTGGGGGATGCACGTGAATCGGCACGTGATACGTTCTAAATGTGGTCGGTGGTTTTGACTCGGGCGCGGGCGCGCCTTGACACGATCGTCCGATTCAAATTTCCACCCGAGTCGCCGAGACTGCCCGCAGGATTTACCCCCGTTCCGCCAAAGTCCGAGCCTGGCTTTAGTTATCATAACTGCCCCTCACCTCTTATCAGTAGATTACCACAGTCTGACGTCAGTGCCATTGTTTAACAAAGGTATTGTCACCTGTCAACTATCTACACTATCCACACAACTGAAACCAATAACCAAAATACTAGATGAAACACTCCACTCCCAAATTTTACCGTAATTCCCTAAGGGTATAGTTGGCGACCCCATTTCATCTCGCTAATGTCGTTTGTCCCCCAATTCTTCGTATGCGAAAAGCTTATTTCCCCAATCGGTGCCTGCTGGAGACGTTTATGTAAACACTAACCCTAATGGCTCTCCAAAAACATAGAGCTATGCGGCCCATCTGTTTTGCCCGCTAAATATAGCTTTGCAGGGTCAAAAATCAAGAAAAAAGCCAAAGCACCCAGCCGTGCAGTGAAGGGCATTTCCCTGCCTTCCCAATACACAGACAAATCTCCCACCCGACACCGACACGACATTTTCCCGCGGGAGCCAAGTGTCTAGAAGCCGGAAAGGTTTGGGTGGTCGCTGGTGTCTGTAGCACACTCCCCCTTCCCCTATAGGGCGCCGTTCACCAGTGCTGCGAAGCCAGCGTTTTTCCCTTACAAACAAACGGCCAGCGGGCGCGCGCAGCTGTCAAAGCCACAGTGCGGCACCTATGTCGTCAGTGGTGATTTCAGTGCCACCCCCCTCCCCCCTACCGCGTCGCGCGTATGGAGATGCCCTACCCTAGACCTGCCCCCCCGATCGATTAGGTCATTGGTCCAGTGCCTCCCGTCCCGAAACAGAAAAATTGCGCTCCCGAGCGAGGCTTTTTCGGTTACTGCCCTCCCAAATTTTACCCGCGCCGCAGCACACGGACATGATTGACCCTGTGGTAAGCGTAGTGAGCACAATGATATGCCGCAAGTGAACATAGCCCCGATAGGCTTATTGTGACGACATCGACGCCCACGAAGATAACACTGGCAAACCAAGGTAGTTAAGAGGGCGCTGGCTAAGCCATGGCCTTCATTACATCGTCCATACCGCCCACGTTGGCCCACGTTGGCCCACGTTGGCCCCTGCGGATTTGCCAAGGCTCCCCCCTAGTCTTAGCCACTGCGACAACGCCGAGTGGGAGGCAAGGGAGCATGCCGGCATACGTCAGATGAAATGCACCGGGGCTTATAGTTACCCAGCAGGCACGTGGTTCACAACGGGGGGGGGATTACCACATGCACAGGTCGGGCGAGTTATTTTTACACCACAAAACTCCCTCGTCGTATTACTTAGTGACAGCGCCTTGCCGTGGCTGTTTTCCTCTATCCTCGTGAGATATACCCCCACCCACACCGTCGCTCGCCTACGATGTGGTACAAGCGAAAAGGGTTGTTGGCGGCGCTCCTCGCCCTCGTGGTGGTGGTGGACATGGTCGTGATGTACCGCCGCTTCGGCCACGCCAAAGACGACGACTTTTCGGTATACGAGCCGCCGGTCGAAGGCCCCCTCCCCTCGCTGAACGCGTGGCACCCGGTCAACGACGGCGCCGACAAGCTCGCCCTTGCCCGTGGCGACTTAGCCGATAGTGCCGCCATCACCAAGTTGTTTGGCCTCTTTGAGCGGCCCAATTTGAAGCAGGCCCGCCACACTTATCTGACGATCTACGACGATATCTTTGCCGACAACGGCGTTGACTCCGTTATTGGCACCTTGCTGATGGCGCAGCGGTGCGATATCTACTTCACCCGGCTTTTCCAGCGTAATATCAACTGGCTCGTCGACCCCCACGAGGACCTCAGCGGCGAGTGGCGCGACCAGCGCACGTTTGAGGACTTCGCCGGCCACAAGAAGAATAAGGAGAAATACGTTAACGACAAACACCTCGAGGTCAGCGCCGACGATATCTGGGCGAGTGACCCCGACTACCAGGAATTCATCAAGCCAGTATTTGAAGAGGCCATGGCCAAAGTCAACCGCCACGAACAGAGGTTCCATGACGTCGCCCTGCATGTGCGCATCTTCAACAAGTGCTATGTCACCAACGACGATGAATACCAGGTGAAACAGGATAAACTGATGGTGGACACGCAAAAGCGAGTGCTCCACGACGTGGCCATTTTCAAGCCAGGCCAGACAACCGTAGAAATCCCCGATAAAGTGCTGCAAGTGGAGAAAAAAGTGTACCCGTGGCTCTCGTTTGATTATCCAGTATTTGAAGACCACCGGGGAATGCAAAAGTTTGTCCCCCCCGATTACCGTAAGGTTCTCAAGGGTAAGGAGTACGACGTCGTATTCCAACCGCTGCTGTCTCAAGGCCGCAAAATCACCAAACCGGCGCCGCTGGCCCTCGGCAGTGATGGCCACCCGCTGTGGCTTAACCAGTTTAAAAATAGACTCCAGGGTAAGGGGATCGTGATGCTGATTGCCGATAAACACGTCAATGATGCCGTTAAGTTTATTCGCCTCCTCAGAGCGTTGGATAACGTCTACCCGCTCCAGATTGTGTATTATGACGACCTTTCTCCAGAGCTGAAACAGCGGCTTGTCCATGCCGCCAGAGAAAAGATGATTGTCCCGCCTAAACTGTTCCACGACGTTAACCCCGACTACTTCAAACCGGGTTACATGGACCACACTAATGAGCGAGGGGAGATGGTGGGGTTACGCCCGCAAACCATCCACTTCGTCAACGTCTTCCCCGCCATCTCCAAAGAATACCGCAACAAGTTTGGTGGTTTCGGCAACAAGTTCTTCGCCACCTTTTTCAACTCGTTTGAGGAGTTCATCATCGTCGACGCCGACACTGTACTTTTACACCCGCCGCAATACTTCTTCAGCATGGACAAGTACGTTGAGAAGGGGGCCTACTTCTGGAAGGATCGCCTCATGACGATGCGCCGCCCCAAGCTGGATGGCTTTTTCTTCGATAAAGTGCTGCCGCTGGTGGTGGACCAGGTCATGTTCGGCATCCCCATCATCACCAACTTCACGTTGGATAACGGCTACTTCAACAAGCTCCAGTACCTCCAGGAGCTGGGGGTGGTCACCGTCGACCGCAAGCGCCACTTCGGGCTGCTTCTCATGTGCATTATGCTTCAATTCTATGGCCTTTCTCGCGACCGTCTGTATGGCGATAAAGAGTTATTCTGGGCCGGGTTCTCCGTTAATGGGGATGAAGACTACGCCTGGAGTGACCACTTTGCCGGCCTGATCGGTCCGTTAACCCCGAAACACTGGCTGCTTAAACACGGCAAGACTGATGGCGACAACCCTGAGAACTGGCGTAAAGCGAGAGAAGTGTGTCTGCCTCACCCTGCCCACGTGCTGGGCCAGGATAATACCATTGCCTGGTTCAATCTGGGGTTCCAGACGTGTGGTAAAACCGAGCAGATTGGTGACAAGGGCGTGAAGAAGGACTTCGAGCAGCACCGCCAGTTCCGGTGGTTGGAGACGTTGGACGAGTTCCGCGCCTTCTACGACCTGCCCTTAGATATCGAGGCGTGTATCGTGCCCCCAGAAACGCTGTACGATACTATGGAGCGCAAGAACGACGAAGGAGAGCCAGGGGTGGGCTGGCACTGGGCCAAGGAGTACTGCAAGCAGTACACCTACTGTGCCTATGATCGCATTGGCGGCAAGCGCCGCACTCAAGATGGTGAGGAAGAAGACACCCACGCCGACGGGGTGTTGGTGACCCCCGGTGTCGAAACCCGCCACTACTACCGGTACTTGGGCGACGTGTGGATCGCGTCGGAGTAGCTTAATATATACACTAGCACGTAAGTATAATACTGTTAACGGCATTGGTAAAGTTTGACTTCGCTTATTCACGTATTATCACCCCAATGCGCTCTAAATTAGGCCTATTTTGAATCAAGATTCAATAGACTTGAATCAAATCATTGCAGCCGTCAAGAATTAAATCAATAAATATGACTCCGACACGAGTGATATTAGTCTTCTGATTTCAAATCATCAAGTAGCGACTTTTGATCATTTTTGTTTCCGGAGGGCGCCAATACGTTGTTGAAAATCCTTCTTCGCATCTTCAGAATTGAACTCAATCGATACGTCACTGTCGTCACTCAGATCGCCGCCAGGACTGCCGCTGCCGGTAAGACTCATAAGGTGAGCGCGTTGGCTATTTGTAGGACCGCTCTCAGCAATCACCCGGTTGAGGTTATCGGCCGACGACTGGAGCCGGCTCTGGTACCGACGGAGCTGCGACACGTTTGCCAGCCACTTTTGCCGTTTATATTTCTTATCCTGAGGCAGCAGGTCCAACTGTTTCTCGGTCAGCTTCGCCAGCAGGAGCTCGTAGAGCTGCTGGATGTCCATTGTCCGCTTCCGCTTGGGACTAGTGTATACCTCATCGTGCGGATGACGCTCCACCACTGGGTTGTACCCAATTTGCTTCACCATATTCGCCAGAAACCCTTTCGTCGGCAGCCCTCGCAGCGGCGGGGTCGTCGGTTGCAGTCTTCGCAGAGGTCTAGGCGGTGTTCTCACCAATGAAAGAGTACGGCGAGCCGGGTTGGCAACGCTAGCATGACGGAGCCGCTCCTCAAGTTCGCGGTTAGCCTTATCGTCGCGGGCTTTGCGTCGTCGTGCCATCTCCCGGTCAACGTCCTTAGGCATATCGTACTTATCACGATCACGGCTTACTCCCTGGTATACGGTAGTGCGTTCGTTATAGTCATTATTGCCTCGTCTGGCGGCAAACTGAGGGTCTCGGAGCATCACCGACCCCCTAAGCTCCAGTCGCTGGCTCTGAGAGTGGCGGAGGCGTTGATCTAAATGGTAAGCACACATCTCCAGTTTCAGCAAGTCCACCGCTTCAGTACACGGCTGCTGCGACGTCTGGTTGAACCCTTTACACCGGCCAAAGTCGGCAGCAGCGCCAACGACAAGCACCAGTTCCTGGGGCAGTTCGTCGACGTGGAGAGTAAATCCCAGCTTGCCGTTAAGCGTATAACGATTTACTGAGGGGTTAAGAACCCAAACGGCGTCGCCAGGGTGGAGCCGCCAGTACTTATCGCAGGCAGCCCCGAAAAACATCACCTCCACCTGGTTATTGTAATCGCCCACTTTCGCTTTGAAATATTTCACGTTGGCCGTAGTAAATCGAGGAGCAGGCAATTTATAGGTGATAATCCCCGTGAGAGCCCAATTGGTATACTGAGGCTCAGTAAACCGGTTTCCTGGATTGCACTTGGCAAAGAGCTTATTCACCGATAAAAGCTTGATTTGCGGCTCCGTTATCAACTGTTCAAGGTCCTTTTCCGCGTAGAATCTCCGTCGCAACTTCGTCTTCGAAAGCAGGCACGTCAGCGGGTTCCCGTCATCAATCTTGGCGGTGTTGGTAGTGTCCCAGGCAAACACCCGAGCGCCGTAATCGATTGACGGGGTCAGATCCGTACGTGCTGCTTGATAAAGTTTGTTAAGAAACAGCAGCGGTGGCGATTGGGGGGCATTGGCGGCAAATGGGTGGGGTGGAGGCGGGAGCGTCCCAGGGGTAGCGGGGGTTTTGGCGGCCTTGTCGCGGTTCTTTCGCCGGCGAAGAGCCTCGTACTCGGCCTCGAACTTCTTGAGAAGGTCCTTGACGTCGTCGTCCAGCGAGTCGGACACAATCTCGTCGTGGTTGGGCGTGTCCATGGGGACCTAAGGGGAACAAGGTATGCTGGGAAAGACTAACGCGCGACGCGTACGGTTAAGCCGACACGCGCGATCCGCAGCCAGGCCAAAGAATGAGAGACAATGGAGGTTACGAAGGAGCGAGCTTTTGGATTAGAAGTTTGGTGTTATTGAGTTGTTAGATTTGGGTCTCCGAGACGGAATGAAACTTTTGTAACATTTTCACATTTCCAAGCTAGTAATTGGTGCGAGCTATAAGTGCGTGCAATCGCTTGTTAGCCTCTGTGCGAGTTTGTTAGGGTTGTAACAGGTGAGTGCGATGACATGTGCGAACACGGCAAGGGAATCCTAAATACTCGCGAAATTCCAACACAATGGCCTTGCTTTTCAATAACAATGCCGTTTCATTGGTGGTTGACTTCACTCTTGGTATTTGAGTCACCAGCATAGGTTATGTTTGGTCTGGGTAGACGTCATTGGACATTCCGTGGGAAACCGGTAGCATGTGATATGAAGTCACCGCCCAGCCCGCTTGGTTAAATCAATTGCAGATGACCACAGACACAATGGGCTGAACAACAATAGTCAGAGTAAGAGGCTACTCACTGTACGTGAAAGGCTCAAGCCGCCCTGTCTTCGGTTAAGCTTTAACTTCCAACTCCGTCGAACATTGAAGGCCGTGGTCGGTTCCGTCAAACCAAACCTAGAATTGTCGATGGAAAACGTCGACAATTATCCTTGGGCCTCAAATGAGTTCAATCGGCATTCGATATTCAGTCTGTCGAAGCATGGTAGTCATCAGCTTCAGATATTAGTGGACGTCGTTCCAAGGCGATATTTGACGTTGCCGCGGTGACCTGTGCCAAGTACTTACAAGGTACCGAAGCGTTATCAGATGGGTGAAATTTGCCGTCGCCAAATCAATATATTTACTGATACCACGATATCGTTGTTTATCCAATTGTGGTAGTCAAAATAGATCAATTGGTTTGACCCAGTAATGTTGGCCATCAACCGTAAATATCTGCCAAATTTAGACCTTTCGCGGCGCAGTAAACTAATGGATTACTCCTATAGCTTACCTCGCTCACTAATCAACGATCGCTACATTTGGAGGCCAATTTACCACGTCTATAGCCATTAGCTGCCAAAGTCCTCTACGACTTCGTAGCCCACTAGAACTCGACGAAATCAGTGTCTGCGTCGATCCCCTCAGTCACAGTTGCTTCATTGTCGGCTGGTGCCTCCTCAGTTTCACTTGCTTAACCTGATTTGGCTGTTTACGTCGCAATTGCACCGCAATGGTGTTTTGGCTCGAGTGTTGATAGCACTGCCAAAAACAGACGCATCCACTGAGAAGCCGTATACCGGACGCTACTGCCACCGACCCCCACTCAATAGGGGCAACAATGGCGCTGTACCCATGAAATAACTGGCCCGCGCTGATCTCGCCTTCATTACTGACCCCACCTATCACTACCAGCCACGGTGTCCTCTCCCTGGTGGACTTGCCTCCCCTGACTACTACTGCCTCACCATAGCTCATCCCTCATCCGGCACCTGGGCTCTGCACGCGCTCGACCGCATTGGGCGAAAACCTAAATATTTGACTTATATAAAACAAACAGTGCGGCCATCGTTTTTCTAGCCAGCGTTCCCCAGAAGCCAGCACCCCTCTGGCACCACCACCCACCCCATACCACACCCCTCGATGGCCTCACGTCCACAACCGTTACAGCCGTTGACCCACCATGACGTCAACGGCCGCGGCATCAACACCCCGATGAAGCAGCTGCCGGCGCCCGCGGCGCTGAAGCTCGAGCCCACCACCGCCTCCAAGCCCCGCAAGAAGAAGGAGAAGCTTCTGGCGTTGTGCAAGACGCCGCCGCTGATCGTGCGCACCCGCAACGGCCGTGACTACCGCCGGGGCAACTTCTTGGGCGAGGGCGGCTTTGCCCGCTGCTTCCAGATGAAGGACGCCCTGGGCCAGATCTACGCCGCCAAGACCGTCGCCAAGGTGCTGATCAAGAACGAAAAGACCAAAACGAAATTGTTGCTGGAGATCAAGATCCATAAGCTGCTCAAACACCCCAACATCGTCAACTTTGTCGACTGCTTCGAGGACGACGTCAACGTGTACATTTTGCTCGAGATCTGCCCCAACCAGCTGTTGATGGAGCTCCTCAAGACGCGGAAACGGGTGCTGGAGCCCGAGGTCCGGTTCTTCATGGTCCAGATCGTCGGCGCCATCAAGTACTTGCACCTGAGGCGGGTGATCCACCGTGACCTCAAATTGGGCAACATCTTTTTCGACCCCCACATGAACTTGAAGATCGGCGACTTTGGCCTCGCCCTGGTGTTGCCGCTGGCGGACCTGCGCAAGTACACCATCTGCGGCACCCCGAACTACATCGCCCCCGAGGTGTTGGGGGGCAAGACGACGGGGCACTCGTTCGAGGTCGACATCTGGGCCATCGGCATCATGATGTACGCCCTTCTCATCGGCAAGCCGCCGTTCCAGGCCAAAGACGTCAACGTCATCTACGAGCGCATCAAGCGCACCGAGTACCTGTTCCCCCCCGACAAGCCCATCAGCGACGAGGCACGGGTGCTCATCACCGACTTGCTCTCGCTCAACCCGTTGGCGCGGCCCCTGATCAACGACATCTTGGCCTACGACTGGTTTAAAGGACTGTTTCCGGACAAGACCCACGAGATGTCGTTGGTGGACACCCCGCCCCACCTCGACAACATTCTGCGGGCGCAGCTGGCGCAGAACTTCTCCACCACCAAACATAATGCTGGCATTTACACCCCGCGCCTGCGGGACCCGGTGGAGATCTTGCGCACCGACTTACAGCTGGAGCAGCCGCGGGCGTTGTTGCCGACGCTGTTGCTGCCCAACGATACCCGGGCCAAGTACCAGGAGGTCGACCCCGCCCTGCTCGGGCGCCCGCGCAAGGTGAACTTCAACACCGACTTCAGCGCCACCATCAAGCGGCTAGACAGTAACTGCATCAAAACTTACCAAAACATGCGCCGCCTCGGCGTCAACCCGCGCGCCGAGCTCGAAGGGGAGTTGCCCCAGTGCGACAACCCCACCCTCATCCTGAAGTGGGTCGACTACAGCAACAAGTACGGCTTCCTGTACCAGCTCACCAACGACGACATCGGCGTGTTGTTCAACGACGGCAACACCTACCTCAAGCTGCACAACCTGGACCGGTTCTTGGAGTTGATCCACCACGAACACGAAGGGTGGACGCTGGTGGAGAACTCGTTGCTGCACCCGCCGGCCCAGGCGAAGCGCCAGCTCGAGATCGTCGAGTTCTTCGCCAAGTACATGAACCTGAACTTAAGCAAGGTTAGCGACAACGAGGAGCGCACCGAGACGGTGTTCTTGCGTCGCTACACCCGCACCACCGAGTACATCATGTTCGAGATGACCAACGGCAACTACCAATTCAACTTCAAGGACCATCACAAAATGTGCATCAGCAAGTCGGGCCTCGCCGTCACCCACATCTCGCCCCAGCGGGTCACCCAGACCCACCCGTTGGCTGTGGTGCTTGCCCACGAAAACTTCCCCCGCGGCGACGTCCCCGATTGCATGGCCAAGATCAAGGTGATTCGCGACGCCATCAAGAGCAAGGCGTTCGAGTTCCAGCAGGGGGCCTAATCCATAATGCATGACGATATATCCACGAGCTACTAATTAAATCTACAACCCCTTTAGATTTGCCTGAACCGTAGTCATCTACTTCTTGTAAATTGTAATTTTTGTGGCTATATCATCAGCAATTGACGTCATTATATAGAGCTCATCGTCCTTAGTATTTCGAGGTGTGGATGTTGGTGTCTTGCAACGCCTTGTTGTCGACAAACCACGACACGTCCTCGTGGTTGTTGTTGACCACTTGGGCAGGCAACCCGGAGCGGGGGTTGTTGAAGATCTCGGCCAACGCTTCCTTCTTACCTTCACCTTCAGCGACAAAGGCAAGCAGCTCCACCTTGCGCAATCTCGGCAAGGTGAAGGTGACCCGGCGAGGAGGGGGCTTGGGCGAGTCGTGGATGGCAACGACGTCCTCGTCCTTCACCTTCAACGTGTCGGCGTCGGGGAAGAGCGAGCAGGTGTGGCCATCGGGACCCACCCCGAGCAAACCAAGGTTGATCTCGTCGGGCAACACCGCGGCGTAGTCCTTGGCGATCTCCTTATCCTTCTCAAGGTCGGCGCCATCGACTTGGCCGTCCTTGCCAGTGACTTTCAGCGCCGCAATGGGGACGACCTTGGGCGGGTTTTTGAGGTGGCGCAAAAGCTCCTTGTTGAGCTCCAGGTAGTTGGAGTCGGCGTGGTCCAAGGGCACGAGCCGCTCGTCGACAAAGTAGATGACCCATTGAGCCCACTCAATGTCGTCGGCGACCTCCTTGTTGTCGACAAGCGCCCGCTTCAACATCTTGGGCAACGAGCCCCCCAGCACCGCCACGGTGAATTGCTCGCTCTCCTGGATCAGGTACTTCTGCTGCTTCAAGATGTACTTGCCCAAGCCAGCAGCAATCTCTTGGGGTTTGTCGTAGGCGTATACGTTCACCATGTCGTTCGTCAGTGTCGGGTCGTCGTCGTGCGCGGGTCGAAGCTCTAAAGGGTGTGCGGACGGCACGGATGCGATAGCAATCGAGAGCAAGCGACGAACGATTGTTTGGTGAAGGTGGGGAATAGAATTGGTGGTTTTTAGACGACCAATTGATCGGGTACTTGTAGATAATTCTATAGAAATCGCCATCGAGGGTGCGCTTGCTGTCATAGGCCAAGTGGCCTCAACTAATAGCCTCCAGTCGACACTAATTCTGAAGTAAGTCATATTTTTAGTAAGCGCAGGGGAAGCAGGGTTTATTCAAAGTGTTTTTTCAATTCTATTGGTAACTGGTCACGAGAGTTTAGGGGATTTTTCATCGCCGTTTCCTCAGGTTGGTGAGGATCATGCGTTAGGGGTCAAGCCGGATTCGCTTGATGCAGGCACAAATCAGCCTCGCGGCAATGTTACTGAACATTGAAAGATTGAAGATGGAGCATTCGACGTGTGCTCAATCATTGACAGATACATCAATTGCGACATTTAAAGATTATTCAGTGGTGCGATTTGTCTACCCGACTTTGTCCTAGGTCGTGTATCACGTCTCAGTTGCTACTACGTTGAATTTGAGAAATTTCGGAAAAACTTTAATCGACTCCACGAATTTTATGAAAATAGCAGAGGAAAAATGAGCAAAAACATAGCAGTCAGTCTATATGACAATGAGACTTATTATGGAAATGGTGGTGATAGGCAAAAAAGAGCATTTTGAGGAATTGAATCCTCTTGACTTCCCAGACAGGACTCGAACCTGCAATCTTCTGATTCGTAGTCAGACGCTTTGCCATTAAGCCACTAGGAACCGCTTGATTTTTTTTTTTTAACATAACATGGGCATTAACAATATCTAAGTGGAAAACTTTCATACACACTCCCTTGAGTTCCTCAAGTAGTTCTATACTCCAGAAAAAAACCAGTATAGATATCTGCCAGTTCAACAAGATAGCTTATATGTACCATCCACTTTGAAGTGGTGGCCATTCCATTGGATTAAGGAAGGTGTTCGACTTGATCCAGCTTCCAGCGCCCACTTCTACGGGGCATCGAACCCCGATCTCTTCCGCAGAAGCATGCTAGCCAATTACAAATCATAGTCATGAGCATGGGCACCAGTTCAGTCGATGTACTCCTTGTACAAACACAGATAGCAAAGCAATCAAAAAGGTCAAATGAGCGTCATATAGGTTTGATAAAATCATGATTCGCCTTCGAGATCCTTACCAATAATCGGTTTCAATCCGAAGAGCGGACAAGGCATAGATTAGACTATTCACAACCGGGCTTCAGAGTCTACAGGGATGGCACGATCCCCTGGGGGAACGTGAACACTCGAAGACTGCGAAGCAAGTTGATATAAGTCATCATCTTCATCATGTAGTACCGGCTTCTGACCTGGCAAAATCAGCGTCTGCGAAACAGGCCGCCATGGAGCCAGGGGACCAGAGGAGGTTTGAGTCACAGTGGAGGAGAAAGATGCGTAACTCGCAGAGCCAACTGGCATAGTCCAGTCTGGTCTTTGAAGTTCTTCAACTTTCTCAGCGACATCGTCGGTAGGGTCCGCTTCATCTTCAGATAAAACGCCGAATGGGTTCTCCATTCTAGGGGGGGAAGCTTGGCGCTTCTCGACGGGGGGCGTCGCCCGCCCTGGGACAACTGTCCATCCATCAGCATCAGGCACTGGCTTGGTAGTGGTAGTTTGTCTCGCTTTCCAGGCTTTGACGTTCTGGTTGCGAGTCTTTCTCTTTCTGTGGACGCCGTTAGCATCATTCACGGCAGATTCCTGGATAGCACCCAAGATGGGTTGGGCTTGGGTAGAACCAAAAATTGGTTGGGCTGAAGGGGTATCCACTAAGGGGGCTTCGGGGTTCGTCTGTTGGATTGGTACTGAGGCAGCGGTACGCTTCCTTGCGTAGTGGGGACGAGCTTTCGCACGCTCTTCGATGGCCTTCTTGGTCTTCTTGGATGCTTTCTCGCACCACTCGCCACAATGTTTCATGCCACAGGCGTAGCAAGACGCGAACTTACATGAATTGCGACTGTAGTGCTTTTGCTTGCAATTGTCACAGTACTTGAGGCAATCCCTAATGTGATGGCCCGGTTGACGGCAGTAATGACATACCGTAGTGGTTTGTCGAATAATCTTGAGATTGGTCGTCCTTGCACCGTCGGTGATCCACAGCTTGGGGGCCTTCCCTTCGAAAGAGAAATTAATGTAGACCTTAAGGAGAGTCTTACGGGAGACCGTTTTAGACCACGATTGATGGATGTCTACGGGTTCCTCACGAATTATTTCGTAGTTCACTTTTGATTCTTCGAAATGAGCTTCGATGTGCTTCTTCTTTCTGATTTCACCACAGTTTGTGGTGAAAATAGCTCTCCCTTGTATAGGGCTGGTGTCACCGACAGATGTGATCCTCATAATTGCACAGCTTTCAAGAGCAAGCCATGTCTCTGCTGTCCGTTCAAAGTCGTCACTGTCATCCTCATAGAGGTCATCGAGTGACTGGGGTGGCGGTGTCATACAAAGGGGGATGTTGTCGAAATAACGTTTCACGTCTAACTGGTAGTTCACTGGATAGGATCCGCGGTAGTTCTCGAGTTCTTCCTTGGTGAACGTGTCACCAACAATTGGAAGAAGCTCTTTGTATCCAATCCCAAATTCGCCGTGGTCAAAGACAAGATATCCAGATTCAGCTTGACGAAACTGGATCGTCGAACCCGCAAAAATCTTGTATTCATCGAGAAGCGACTTAAGTTGTTGACGCTTTTCTTGGATTTCACCTTCGTTAATTGGGTTAGCCTGGAGCCAGGATTTGGCGTTGTCGTATTCAATGAGGGACTTGTTTTGTCTCTCGTACTCGAACTTATGGGATTCGCCTGCCTTTTCCAACTTCAGCTTCTCGGCCAACAACTGCTGCGTCTCTTCGTCAGGCGTTTCGTCCATAGGGTCGACGTCGATTTCGATATACCTGATTTCACATTGCTTGTAAAGCTCTTGGTGGTGTAACATCTTTGCAGTCGCTTTGTCAGACGAAAATTCTCGCACGAACTTGTCTTTAGCATGATATTCCGCATGCTTTTCTTGAACTTCCGTCAATTGGTTGGTAGAAAAACGAATCTGGCGCTTCATCATATTAGTTTGCACTTCAACATAATATGACAAGCAAACTTCAGAGTTAACTTTCTCTGTGTAAGTTGGATTGACCGTAATCGCGAAAAGAGGATATTTCCGAGCTTCATCAGTGTAGTCTTTGTGGTCATTCATAATCAAAGCTTGGAAATCAGGAGAGAGTCCCCGAATCTCGTCTTTGAGTCTAGCTTCGTTGCTTCTCATAGGCTTCTTGCCACGACCTTTGGCGGATCTACTGGCATATTCTTCAGGCGTTGGGGCAATGGTATAGCAGACCGGCTTCTTAGTAGGGGAGCACGCTGTCACGTGATCAGGATTCTCACCATCCACGTGGGGGGTGAGAGCGTGGGTAGGGATGGAGGACATGCCAGCGGGGCTGGTAATCGACTCAGGGTGATCGTAACGGTTTCCATGGTTAGCTGCATTCTCAGATGGATCAATGGTATCA